AAAAAAGAAGGAAAAAAACTAAATGGATTTTCAGAAAGGGTGAATGGCTGCTGTGATTCATCTTTTCTGGTGAAGAGTGGAACAGCAGAGGGTGGGGGATAATGTTCAGTGACACATCAAAGGCCTCGCTTCAGCTTCGGAGACACATGCAAGGAATTAGTCACTGCGTTTTAGTGCAACAAAACCCTTTTTCCTCCCTAAATTCAATTCTTCTCTCCCACTGATGGCCAACTCGCTGCAGCCCTCGGCTATTCCATGTGTGTTCTTACATCCTCTGCATCTCATTGAGAGGTTTGGGTTATGATGAAGTTGCCCTGCTATCAAACCAACTCCTCTGCCGTGGATCACAGCTCCAGTGAGAGGCTGGAAATCCACAAACAGGATTTAAAAGGAGCAGGGAGGGGGAGAGGGAATGGCAGGTTTGTTTTCCAGGGTGGCTGAGCCATGCTGATGGCTTGCTGCCACCAAAAAGAATTTAAAAAATGACCTTTTTCCCCTTTCTTTCTGCTCGTGCTTGTTCTCGCCCTACTGTGAGCTGCTTCAAAGAGCCAACCTTGCTCCCAGTTCTGCACCCTCTCCCCATGCCAACAAATAAAAAGGAAAACCGAACATTATTTTTATTTTTCACTGCAGCTGGAGCCAGCACGAGGCAGTCTCAGTTGAGCCACTGCCTTTCAGCATCCTCCTGATGACAGCAGGGATTTCTGGGGTCCCGGGAAAGCTGGTTAGAATTCAGGTTGTGTCTCCTCAGTGCACACAGAAAAAGATTGCCTCATTTTCCAGGAATTAGGAATATGTCAGAGGTGGGGGTAAATCCTGCCTTTGATTGTGGACGGCTGTATCCGGGTTGAATCTGGGCAGTTTCTGCAGCAATAAACTCTAATTCTTTGCATTCTGGAAGCACGGCAGGGTGATCCTGCAGCCTGACCCCCCTGTAGCACCAGCACAGGCATTTTGAAGCCACTTATTACTTTATAAAGAGATTATTTCCTTTATTTTTTTTTCTCCCCCCTGCGGCATCAATCATCCTGACAAGATCTGCTTCTTTTAAAACATACATCCTGCAGCTTAAAATCCAGCCTTTCCTATAATGAAGATCCCAAGCAGTTTATGGAAGAATGCAGTGTGCATACACTATATATCTATATCTGTATCAACATAAAAAAAATACACATATATATATAATATTTATGGGCACACCAGAGTCAATTATTGAGTTTTCCAAGCCTGATCTTTGAAAAAAGAAGGAGCCACCATGCCGAGCATCCCGACCCTGTGGAGCAGCTCTGCCAGAGCCTCCAGCTCCCTTCTCCTGGGCAGAGCCGGCGCCCTGACGTCAGGGTGTTTTTCTGCAGAGCTCGCAGGATGTTGCAGCCGGCCAAGAGCAGTGTTTATGTTGATAACATTACAAGTATTTCCTCTCCGTTTCCGAAAGCAGCAGGGAGGGGGAGCCGAGGGGGAAGGGAGACTCGGGTTTCTCCAGCTTTGGGGTAGGACTCTCGAGGCCTTTTATGTTAAGGAGTGGGGAAGGATGAAGTGCTGGCGTTATTTATGCTGCTTTTGGGAATAAGGAGTGGTTTAGAGCAGGGGCTGGGAAGTGGGAGCTGGGCTGGCACAGCCCTCCCCCAGCACAGGGCTCTTTGCCTGCTCCCTGCTCCGGATCTGGTTTTAAGGTGATAAAGCAGCTCTGGCAGCTGATTGCCGGTCACAGGAGCAGCTCCAGGGATTTGGATTTTTGGTAATGATGTGCACAGCAAGCTGGGATGCTCCCAGCATCCCGTTCCTTCTGACAGTCACAGTAATAAAGCCATAAAAACTCAGGTTCTAGACAGACTGCCCGCATCCAGCTTTCTTCACCTAAAGGGGGCAAGGCTTGGGGAAATCCAGCATTATCTCCCCTTGCCAAGCCCTTCCTCCTGCTGCAATCCACTCATGGATCAATGAACTGATTAAATGTAGAATCAAGGGGGGTTTAGAGCTCTCTGCCCGCTGATGTAATCCCAGAGCTGTGCTGCCAGCTCAGCGAAGGAGGGACCCTCATCGATGGCTGGACTTGATGAGCTGAAGGATCTTTTCCAACCTAAACAATTCTGTGATCATCCCACCATCCCAAAGGGGCTTTGCAGCCAGTCCAGGAATCTTCTGTAGCTCTTATCCGTGTAGCAATCATGGTTTATGGAAATAAACCCAAACTCTTTTATCCTTTGTGGGTTATTTCCCGATAATGGAGAGCAGAGAGGGGATTCCTGGCTTTTCCTTCTTTGCTCCCACCCTCTGTGTCCTGCTTTAATACCAAGGGAAAGTGTGGGGAGGATGTGGGGAGGCTCTGTCACAGCTTGCCCAGAACAGGAGCAGAAATGGGATGAGTGGGATCCCAGATGAACAGGGATTCTAAATGAGTGTGATCCCAAATGAACGAGGACCCAATGTGAATAGGGACCCTAAATTAATGGGACACTAAATCAATGGGAATGCCAAATGATTGTGGTTCCCAAGTGAATGGGATCCCAAATAAGCAGAACTCAAAATTAATGGGGATCCCAAATAAAAAGAACTCAGAATGAATGGGGATCCCAAATGAACAAGACCCCAAATAAACAGAACTCAAAATGAATGGGGATCCCAAATGAACAGGATCCCAAAAGAAGGGGAACTCTTGAGAAACAAGTTGGGGGAAGAGAAAGGAGCCATATCCACGTCTGTGAATGGTGTTTCGTTGCAAATATTCATCAAAACACAGCGAGTGGTCACTTTTTTTCCTAGCAGTTCTTAAAGAAAAGCTGAGTCTTCCCCTTTCCCTTGCCATGGTGTCCTTGGTGTGGCAGTGGTGGGCTCCCAGTGAGGGAAGTGGTTGTGATGATGAGATCTTGGTGCTTTCATCAGCCCTTGTGAGGTTTTCAGAGCATCTCTGTGCCATCATTTCCATTCTCTGGAGTTTCAGTGTTCAACTTCCTCCTGTTTTGCATATGGATCCCATCAGGATGAGCACCTTATTTCAGTGGGATTCCACAGTGGGATGCTTGGACAATCTGTCTCCTGCAGAAAGGTACAAAGATGATAAAATTATGGAATTGTTTGGGTTAGAAAAGGACCTTACAGATCATTCATCCACCTCACTGCTCTGGACAGAGGCATCCTCCACTAGCCCAGGTTGCTCCAAGCCCTGTCCAACCTGGTCTTGGACACTTCCAGGGATGGGGCAGCCACAGCTTTTCTGGGCACCCTGTGCCTCACCACCCTCACAGGGAAGAATTTATTCCTTATAAATATTGGATTTTCTCCCCAAAGCCAAACCTGTGTAGACCAGGCTCGTCTGAGATTCTGGCAAGTGTCTGACCAAGCTGAGTGGGGTGTATTAATCACCATGAGTGGAACATGTCATCAAACCATCAAACTACTGGTTGTGGGTTTTTCCTGACATCCCACCCTGGAGCACAGCCTGGGGGAGGCATTGCAGGACCAGTGCTGCTCTCACCAGTGACAGGAGGACTGAATCAGCTCAAAATCATGCAGACAGATATTTTAACTGGTGATGAAACCCTCTGGAATGCTGGCTGCTCGCACCAGTGGGACCCTTGGAGAAAGCCCTGCCCTGCTTGCAGCAGCATGGATGGAGCCTATGGAAAGCTCTTATCTCCAGAGCTTGGTTTCCTTCTGGTTCAGGGTTTGTCTGACCTTTTGGTCACTGAGTAAGGTCGATTTTTGCCAGGTTTTCTTTTGAAGGGGGAGGAAAAACATGTAAGTAGGTGGTGCTGGTGGGAGGATCCTCTGGGGTGAGGTGGGAGGATCTCGATTGCTGATACGGTTTCCAGCGCGCGGATGACTTCAGAGTTGTCCTTCTGCCCGGAGTTTGGGATGGGTCTAGATGAAGCAGATTTAAATAAATAGAAGAAGCACAAACAACACAAGATCTATTAGAGAGGGAGGGAATAAAACCCGTTCTTGGCAGCTCCTCAGGTTGACTTGGCAGCGAGATCTCACAGCTCTCTCCTGGGAGATCCTGGAGATGCAACTGGACACAGGACAAAAGCCTGAAGGACGGGAGTCGTGTGGCAGCTGCTGGCCCATGGCAAGGAGCAGAGCTGTGTCTGAGCCCTCTCTGGGCTCGGAGCAGAGGAGAGGTGTTGGCCCATCCTTGGAAGGCCCCATGGCCACGTGCTGGTCTGGACTTGGCAGCTTTGGGCTCTGTCCTGGCCAGCACGATGACGTCTCACATCTCTGGGCCTCTGGATCCGTAGGTGTTTGGGAGGAGATAATGATACCCATTTCTCAGGAGCTTTCTGAGGTCTCCAGAGGAAAGAAATCACCATAAAAATCTTGTATTAGAAAGGGCTGGGGGAAATGATTTTACTGATGTCATCGTCCTGTAATTCTGCTGGACGTTTCCTGGGAAGCACGTACAGTATGGGCGTGCAGCCTGAACTCGCTGATCTTCTTGGATTGTTTGTGAGTGCTTGTTCTGACCACATACACAGGGAATCCAGCAGGGTTTGAATGGAGCTGAGTGTTCTGCCCCTGCCCAGTAACATTTCAGGTGTCAGTGAGGCTGGGGGAGCTGACCTCTCCTTCATTCCTGCCTCCACTTCTGGGCCATTTGGGATCAAGGCTCTTTGCCATGGTCTTCAGCTAAATTGCCTTTGAATTTTCACATAATACAGCCATTTTCAGACCACTATATGAACTATTTATTAATCTCCTTTAAGACCAGATATTTGGTTTTAATGCTCAGCTTGTTCTCATGCTCCCCCACAGTTCACCCATTCTCTGCTTCATCCATGGACACTTTTGGTGCTCCACCAGACTGGGATTTCTCCGTGTTCTTTCCCCTTGTTGTATGAACTCAGCCATAAATCCTTCCCATCCAGATGCCTGCAGGGGCTCCAGCCACACTTCCACTCCTCCCTCTGAGCTTTACAAGATGCACAGCAACATCCCCACCTTGGATTATTTTGGGATATTTCATGGGGGTTTAAATAAGTGTTCTGTGCTTTCCTCCCCAGGTCAACATGGATTTGTGGTTCTTTCTCCTTTTGCTCGGAAGTGGCCTGATAAGTGTAGGTGCTAACAACATTACAACAGGTAAATTTGGCTCCTCATCTCTCTTTTATCCCATCTTTTGGATCAAAGGAGCAAGTGTGAATGTGCTCAGTGTCTCATTCCTTCTGCCCTCCATGTAGCTGTAACATAAAATGTTGGAGAGAGGGTCATGAGCTTCAGGTGCTCATAAATGGGGCCCATGGGTTTGGCTCTGAGCAATATTGATCCTCACCTCCAAGGGCTCTAATGTTTGGACATCCCCATAAAGAGCACCTGTTCAGGTTATTTTTTTTTGACATTTGTATCTCCTGCTGTGCAAAGCATTTCCTGTCCTGCGCTCAGGATTTGTGGGGTGTTTTATCCTTATAGTTACAGTCACACGAATCTTCAGCATCTAAGTCCCTCAGTATTGTAGAAGAGAATCTCACAGAGCTTCCCCTGTGCTTTTCCCTTCTCAGAGCCACCCACAACAGTGTCCACCTCCCCCAGGAGCCCCACCAAAGCTCCTACAGCAGGTCCTGAGGATGGGACCACACCCAACACACACAGACTCAACATGAGCACTCCAGGGACTGTTCCTACCACAGCACCAAAACCTCCTCCAACCACAGCCACCAGGATCTCCCCCAATGCCACCTCTGGCAGCCTCAACATCTCCTCCACCCTGGGGACAACCGTGCCTGTGCCTCCAGCCCCATCCCTGCTCCCCAGCGTGACGCCGTCGGCCCCACGCGCCACCGTCCCCAGCACGGAGGCAGAGACGACAGAGAGGAATTTCAGCATGGTGGTGACAACACAGGAGACCTCTTCTGCTTCCCACAACGGTAGGCACCTCCTCCACCTCTTCTTCTTCTTCTCCAGGCCACCCTGCCTCTGGGTTTGTTTCTTTGCTCTTCTTTTGTTTGGCTGAGAAAAATGGAGCGAAAAAACACTTTGGGGCCAATTCCATGGTGTTGCAAAACAAGAGGACTCTCAAACCTCTTCTGATCTCTTAAATCAAAGGCTTGGGCCAAGATCATCTAGTGAAAGACACCCACAGGTGCACTAGATGATCTTTGCTTCCAAACCAAGCTATCCTGTGATTCTCTCCTTACATTATCAGTTTTCCCCATTACTTGGGCAGCTTCAGTCTTTGAAAGGTGCAGATGAGAGAGAGTTGTCTCTGTTGCCATCCTGATCTCATTCCCCTCTTGGCACATCAGGAAAGTGACCCCATAAAACATTGTTTGGCTGCTCAGTTCAGGTTAAGAGTGAAAAATAGGCAAAAAGAGGCTGAAGTGACCAGAAATCTTTGCTGAACTGTGGCTCTTCAGCCATGGTTGGCTCATTGTACTGTTTGAGACCCAGTTTGGGTACTGCCTCTCTGCAGCTTGCAGTAGGAAGATGGCAGTGCCTGCTAGACCTTGGGATTTAGTGGAAAAACAGGATTGGTAACTTGGTTGTGGATTAGAAAACCCTGAAGCAAGATGATGGTGGAGTTAATGCAGGGAGGTGTCAAGTGTATATTCCTTAAGAACCAATTTCCCAAGGGATGTTGGCTGCTCTGCACCTCAGTGAGGTGTGTGTGCCCTCTTCCTCTGGAAATCTCTGGAAACCACAGCCCCTGAAGCTGCAGTGAAGTTGTCTTTGCTACCAGCATGGGAAGGGATGTGGCTGAAGGAAGTTCAGAACCCAGCTTTTGTAGTGTTCTGCCACCCCTGAGCTCATCCAGCTTCCTTCCCAACCCAAATCCTTTTTTGCAGAGTGAAGGAGTCTGGCATAGCCTTAGGCACACACATGGGACAAGTTTGGTACCAATGTAGCCTACATACAGGAGAGATGGAGGCAAAAGCCTTAAGTGCTGCTAATATCTGGATTTTGTAATATGTCTGCTCATGGCAGGGCTGAATTTATTAATTTTTGTGTCTCCACTGCCTTTTTGTGATTTGGGTTACCAGTTTTGGTGAACTCCCCTGGTGTATGCCTTGACACATTGGCCATTGCACCATCAAGGCCAGAAGTGGCTCCTCACTTGATGTCAACCCAGAGAACAAATGATCAAACCTGATTCTTTCTTTATCTCAAGTAATTTGCCAAGGAACAAAATCAGTTTTAGGGCTGCCCTTGTCATTAGGGCAGCCCTAAATTAGATTTAACAGGAAATGGTGGTGTTATCATGGAAGAATTAAGTGGTGCTCAAGAAGGGGACTGGGCCAGAAGGTCACACGTTGTAGGGGCAGTTCCTCTTGTCCAAACCCAGCAGGATTGTCCTCAGCCCTGCTCTCCCTGGCACAGGTTTGTTCCAGTGCCCTCTGGATGAGACATCCAACCCAGCAGGTACAGACTTCCCTTGGATGCTCCTCGTCCCCATCCCTGAGCCCAGCTGCTCCTAATTGAACTCTTGGCTCAGCCACACTCTTAAAATGATGCCCCAGTGTTATCTCTTGATATTTAAGTGCTGATGAATTATACCAGTGACTCGCTGGTTGTGGGTTTAAACAGTAAGTTGTGTTTAGTGGTGTTAAAGCTTGGCTTCAGCTCCTTGTTCTGCTGATAAAAACTCAGGATTTGTTCCTTTTTCCTTACTCAGAAATTCATTTGAACATCATGGTTTTATAGCTAGTGTTTTAAAGGAAAGATTTACAGGCAGATGATGAGAGTTACTAAATTTGTTCCTGTCTTGGTCTTTGATCCTTCCTGACTTACTAAAATGTCTTGTTCCTTTGTTGCTAAGAGACTTTTGTTTTCTTTTTCTGCAGGTAACTCTGACAGAAGAGGTAAGAATGTTACATTTCATTGCTCTTTACTCAGTAAAAACAATTCCAGAAGCATTCTGCTATTAGAGAGCTCTCCTTAGGACTTCCAAATGTGTTTTTATGAAGCCTCTCATAAAGCTCTTTAAAAGAGCTGGTGACACACTGATATCTTAATTTCTGTTGAGCTTTTCTTTTTAGAACAAACCAATCCCATTCCAATTTGTACATGTCCTATTAGGTACCAGTTGTTCCTGCTCTGAGAATGTCAGCATGTCCCTAGAGGTGGATGACCAAAGTCTGAGAAGCCATTCAGGAAATTTGCTTTTGGTGTTTTATTTTTTTTTTACTGCTGAATTGTCTTTATTGACTGTGACTTACACAATTTGATCCAAACCCATCCTGCAGATGATGGGAATAATTATTGTTCTCATTCTGTTGGCAAGCAGTAACACAAATCCATTTCTTGTAAGAGAACAGCACTTTAGGGACATTTTTCCATCTCTCAGCTCTGAGAACTGGCATCTCTACCAGAATATTTGCAATTAGTGATGGCTTTAGCACTCCAGGAGCGGGCAGAGCTGGGCTGGCTCCCACCTGGAGGAATCAGCTGCCTCTGTGTGTTTTCATGCTGGCTCTGAGGGGTGCTGCAGCTTTGCAAACTCTGCCTGCTGCTGCTCTCTGTGCCTGGCTCACCCAGCCAGGGAACAGACAGATGCTCTGAGCACACATTTAGCAGAGGGAATAAAAGGGATGCAGGTCTGAGGGAACTCGTTTGAAATTGTGGCTAAGCCTCTGCAGAAATGCTCAGTGTGATTCCCTCAGATCTGGCCTGGTTTTGTGCTCTCTCTGCCATCGTTCACCCTGTTCCTGAGGGCAAAGGAAAAAAAAATGGAATACATCTGACTTCCTAATACGATTTATATTAATATTGCTAATGTTATTATAGATATAGTTAGGAAATCGGATTAAATAAGGGATTTTTAACAAGAGCATAGAGTGATGGGACAAGGGGAAATGGCTTCAAACTGGGAGTAGGTTTAGATTTGATATTGGGAATAAAGTCTTGGCTGTGAGGGTGGTGGTGCCCTGGCACAGCATGCCCAGAGATTTGTGGCACCCCCATCCCTGGAAGTGTCCAAAGCCAGCTTGGATGGGGCTTGGAGCAGCCTGGGATGGTGGAAGGTGTCCCTGCCTGCTCTCTAAGGTCCCTTCCAACCCAAACCATTCTGTGACTGGTTTTGTGGGCAGATGTTGCCAGCTGTGAGCAGGGATGGGCTGCTCAGCCCCATCCCTCTGCCATGACTGCACCCAGGTCAGGGTGACAGCCTACAGAGCACCTCTGCCTGCAGCTGGGACGTGCTCCCAAGCTCCAGAGGAGGCTTTGGTGGCTCCTCAGAGGGGAGCAGGAAATAAATAAAACATCCTTTTTGCCCCACCACCTCAGTTCTCCAAGGCCCTACATCATCTTAGAATTCTTCCATATTATCACAGGCAGAGAGGAAATGGGGATTTGAATTAAAAGGGGATTTAGATGGGATATTGGGAAGAAGATTTAAGCCTCCTGCTGCTTCCAAGCTCTGGACTGCTGTGGGTGCTGCAGCCCCAGGGGAGCAGAAGGTTGAGTCCTTGTCCCTTTTCCAGGTGGATTGCCAGCATGGAGCCCTCAGGCTGGGGCTGGAGCAGGGCAGGAGCTGTGGAGGGGTTGGCACAGCTCAGCAGGGCTGGCAGGGGGCAGCTGGGGACCCTCCAGCTCCTCTCCTGCCTGGGCTGTGCTGGGTGGGCTGTTAGCAGTGGGAAAGCTCCGACTCCTCATCCTGCCAGATGTGTGGAAAGAACAGCTGCAAAAAAACCCAAAAACCTCCAAACTCCCTACACCCTGCTGCCAGAACCACCCCTGCCCACAAATCACCAGGCACTGCTGTCCCGCAGCTCCAGTCCAGCTCAGCACTGCTTAGGCTGAGCTTAACTCCAGCCAAGGCAGGAAAAAATGGTCCAAAGGTGACTTAACACCACGGGTTTTGGCATGGCAGCTCTTCTTGCTCTCCTGCAGGCAGGATGGAGATGGTGGATGTGCTTGAAAGTCTAAGTGAGGGGCCAGGGCTGGCTGTGGTTGGGCCAAGACCAACCTGTTCTTGTTTTTGGGAAGTGTCAAGATGGGGAATGCCAAGGCTCATCACCTTCCGAGGTGTGCAGGAGGCAGAATTCCCAATAAATTCCTTTTGGGCTTTCACATTAGGGCAATAGATGAGAAGGACAAAGACATGCAAAACCAGGGTATTTTAATTTTTTTTTATTTGCCACACTGGGTTGTTGCCTTGAAATCATAACACAAAAATCATATGTTTTGGAACATAACATGTTCTAAATGGAACATGTTTTAATGGAAATAACATTCCCAGACCTCACAGCACAGAGGGACAAACACAGAAATATAATCAGAGTGCCCTTGGGTAGCTCAGAAATGGACAAAATAAACTTCTAGGGGAAGAAAAAATTAGGGAAATGGACAAAATAAACCCCTAGGGAAAATAAACCCCAAGGAAATCTGCTGGCTGAAATTGCTGAGACACATGGAGCAGGGATCTGCAGGGAAATGGATGCACAGAAGGTGGAAAAGGGTCGAGCCCTGGAGCCTCCTGGGGCTGTGTAGACACAGTGTGGTGGCCCCTCAGATGGAGGGAGCTGATGGGAAATGGGAATATCCCCAGCTGGCATGGCTGGCATCCACATTTATGTGAAAAAAAAAATGTCCTTCAGGGCTCTTCTCCTCCCTGGTTGGAGCTGCTTGGCTTGCAACCCATCTGGGTGATTTGCCAGCACCAACCACTGATTCACTGACCTCCAGCACGAGATAGAAATGGCTTATTTAAAGGAAAAATAAAATCTGTCGTGAGTCATGGAGGATGGGAGTGTTTCAGACTCATTTAAGTGTTTTTGCAAGGGAATTGTGAGGTACCTGCCCTTGAGGAGCTTCTGCAAGGGAGCCAAATTGGGTCACACTTGGTGGCCTGGTGGTGTCTGACCTCTCCTGCTCTCTGAACTCTGTATTTCCAGGGAGAAAAGAGGAGGGGGTTGGACTAGATGGTCTTTGGAGGTCACTTCCAACCCAAATTATTCTATAATTACAGAATCATGGAATGGTTGAGTTGGAAAGGATCTTAAAACTCATCCAGTTCCTTCCCAGACACCTTCCACTGTCCCAGGGTGCTCCAAGCCCTGTCCAGCCTGGCCTTGGACACTTCCAGGGATCCAGGAGCAGCCACAGCTTCTCTGGGCAGCCTGGTCCACACCACATCTCACCCGTGGAGGTGTTCAGATCCCAGATGCAGCAGAAGCTTTGTCCTCTTGTCCTGTTTGACAAGGAACTGGAAGCAAAATCGTGGTGGTGTTACAAATGTATCTGTGGGATCTTGGGTCACAGTTTTCACCCATTTTAATATAAAGTTTCTTATCATATATCAAACAATCCTTACACCAAACTCACAGTAGGAACTTCTCTGGATTCTTAAGTCTCAGGCAGAAAATTTTGTAGATTTCTTTTTTGTAGATTTCCAGCTGACAAAGGAAATTTCTCCTGGTGGCTGCTGGGCCACCATGTGCACATTCAGTTGTGCAAAAGGAACCCCAAAATAACCCAGTCCCAACTTTCTCCATCACTGTTTTCATCTGCAAGGTCACAATTTCACAGTGACCAATTTTTGGAGAAGATTGAGGTGCTCTGAGTGGTGGTTTCAGGTTTTAATCTCACCTGGGAGTGTCTGAGGCACATGCTGCTCACTCATCCTGTCTTCAACTCTCAGGCTGGAAAATTGCAACATCACTTAATACTATTTATTATTTATTATGTTTTTATTACTAATATCATCATCAGAATTGTTCTTCAAGCAGAAATTGTAGAGCTCTGCCCTGTTAAATGATGGCTCTGGATGTTTTCCAATGTCCATAACCACACCTTTCTCTTCCTCTTGCAGATGAGACTCCCATTATAGCTGTGATGGTGGCCCTGTCCTCCCTCCTAGTCATAGTATTTATTATTATTGTTCTGTACATGTTGAGGTAAGAGCTGCTTTAATGCTGGATTCCCTTGTTTGACAGAAACAATTCCTGAGTGAGCAGGAATGAGCCTTTTGTGCTGTCTCTCAAGCTAAAGGCTGACACAGCTGGTGCTTTGAAAAGAAACCTGGGAGGACAATGAATGAAAATGATGTTTGGGGTTATCTGGTGAATGATGCTCATTCCTTTCTCTGCAAAGCTGCTCCTCCTGTGGGGAATTCCTGTCCTGCCTTTCAAAATGTCACATTTGGCAGGGTAGATTGAGCTGAAGCCCTGTCAGTGTGGGGAAAAGCAGGTGAGGTTTCCTTGTGAGGCTGCAAATGATGGATTGAGTAATCCAGGGAGGCTGAACACAAATGTGTTTCAATGTGTTATTCCTTGATTCCCATCTTGATAGCAAGCAGGATCCAGCATCCAAACTTTGTTTTGGTTACTAAACCTCACAGGATCCCTGTGCACCTTTCACTGTGAATGGCAGGAGCTTGTGAGGAGTGTTAGGTGATGCTTTAATTGAAATTACAGCACAGTAAAACCTTCTTAGGTCCATTTTTTAGAAACCAAGCATCTGCCCTGGTCAAAATTAAGCATTCCCAGCTCCTGAAAGCATAACTAAGAATGTCTTTCTTCACCTGCAGTAAACATTTTAATTTACTCACCAGTTTGGTGATTAAGTAAGTCTTAAAAAAAAAAAAAAAAGAAAAGAAAAGAAAAGAAAAAACAATTTCCCTGTGTCTCCTGGCTCCAGGCCTGCCCTCACAGCAGTGAACCTGAGGAGAGTTTTGCCTCAGGAGTTCAGCAGCAGCAGAGTTTGAGTCCTTCCCACCTGGCTTGCAGCCCTGAAAGAAAGGGTTTGTGTTCACTGCCCAGTGATTCAGCAAAACTCAGAATTTCAGGCAAAGGGAGCACGAGCAGCTGCTCCAAGTTAAAAACACATGGAGCAGGGATTTGCTGCAGGACAGATCAACCTGGGCTTGATGTGCTCTGCTGGATCCCCAGGGAGCAGGGACTCCTTGGGGTGTCCTCTGGAAAGAGCACCCTTAAAGCTTCTCCTGGTTTCCAGCTCTCTCTGGGCTCCTGCAGCTGTTCCAGTGTGCTTGGTGAAAATTCCTGCTCACAGGCAGGATTTCAGAGGTCCTGCAGCCTCCTGGATCCACCTAATTCATGGAGCCTTGAGAAAGTGTGGCAAAAAAATGGGAAAGCTTTTTGGATGCTTCTAGATGGGTGTGATTATAAATAATAAATTCATAAATTCTCACCTGTACTGAGTTGAGTCAGTGTGCTGTTATCAAAATCATCCTTTTGATGTGGCCTTCTCCACATTATTGTTGTTTTTTCACACAGTAATAGGCAGCTGGATTAAACCTGTCTTGCATATATCCTTTGAGCAAACTATATAAAGAGTTCTTCTCCATCGTAAGGAAGAAGTATTGCTACTTCCAAAAGTTTTTTCTGCTCTTTTTATTTTTTCTGCTGTTAGATCAAAGTAGAAAATGGGTAAAATCTGAACCAATAACTTCCTTTTTTGAGAATTTCAGAATTTTGCTACCTTTTAGTGTCCTACTCCTTTTGTCAATATTCATTCTTACTTAGGTCTCATTTGGGAGGGGACCTGGTCTTCCTGGTGGACATTTATTAATTTTTCCACCCCAATTCTCCTTGGCAGGTTCAAGAAATACAAGCAGGCAGGGAGCCACTCCAACTCCTTCCGTCTGTCCAACGGCCGGACAGACGACACAGGTGAGTCCACAGGCTCTCCCCCACCTCTTATTTTTGTAGGCAGATATTTTTTAATTTCTGGTTTTTTTGTTGTTGTTGTTTCCTGACCTCCTTTGTTCCATGTTTTCCATGGTTTTGGCAGACTTTCATAGAAGGGAGGTTTATTTCCCAGTTTTTGTTCCACTGACTCAATGTTTGCCCTCAAGTGGTTGATATTGAAATGGGTGATCACTTCCAAAATTACTACTCACATGCCTCTTGAGTTTTCACAGTGGTTCCTTGACTCAAATGAGAACCTTTTTTAAAAAAACCCCCACATCTTTGGGGAGAAATTAAACATTTTTCTGCTCTTTCAGATTAGGATGATCTCTGATTAAAACTCAGATCTTCACACTAACTGTAGACACCAAACTAACATTTCCAGGAGAAAAAAGGGATTACACTTATTTTCAGTGCACAAACATTTTTGTACTTCCTAAACATGCACAGATGCAATTTTAAAGCATTGTGTAATGTGTAAATTCTTCTGCCCCTGAGCTGTGAGCCAGAGCTGACATTGAGGGTCTCAAGTTGGGCATCTCCATCCATGTAGGCACTGATTAAGATCTGAGGAGACCTCTTAAACTCAGTTCAGCTGCTTTTTCAGCACTCCTTCCACATAAACCAAGCACTCCAAACACCTTCTGAGAAGCACTAACTGGAATTCAGCACCTTTTTTATTTTTTGTTGGCTGCTAAGACCTTTCCTGCCACCTTACCTCACTGTAAATGGAGGTGTGAACTTCATAAACGCTCAGCTGTGTTGGTGTAACCCTTACGTGGCCTTTCTGGGCTCTGCTGAGCAGCAGCTGCCTTTGCTGTGCCCTCCTGGGAATTGTGTCACACTGCTGGTGCCAGACTTTCATGGGAGAGAGGGAGAAGTTGGAATTCAGAGCCAGGTGGTCTCCAACCCCAGCACTGACCTGTCCTCAGTGCCCTGTCCTGCCTCTGGGAGAGTGTGGATCAGAGTGTTAATCATCATAGGATCTCTGATTTTTTGGAGTTGGAAAAGTTTTTTAAGATCATCCAATCCAGCAGCACTGCCAAGTCCACCCACATCCCCAAGTGCCACATCCACATGGCTTTTAAATCCTTCAAGGAATGGGGCTCCAGACCCTTCCCCAGCTCTGTTCCCTTCCCTGGACATCCTCCACCCCCTCAGGATCTTGTTGTGAGAGGCCCAGGAGTGCCCCCAGCACTGGAGGTGCCCCAGCAGTGCCAGCTCAGGGGACAGGCACTGCCCTGGCCCTGCTGCCACGAGCCAGGTGTCACTGTGCTCAGAGCAGCCTGCTCTGGTGGAAGCTGTTAGACCAAGATGCTCTTTTAACACCCCCTTCAACCCAAACCATTCTGTGCAGACACAAGGACAGCCCTAAAAGCAGCAGTGTGGGGTCCCTGTGCTCCCCTGGGTGTGGGTGGGCAGTGCTGGCCACAGGGGACAGCTGGTGGCTCCTGTGACCCCCGTGTGAGACAGCTGCTCACTTTGAGAATTTTAAAAAGTTTATTAAACCTTGATAAAAATACAACAAAGGACTACATAAGGAAAAATTTGCAGTGCTGGGAGGTGCCCTCATGGATACCACGTGGCTGGTTCATCTTCAAGATGGGTGCTCAGTCTTTTATACCCCTGGAGGTTGAATCAGCCAGCCCTGGTGCCTCCCAAAGTCTGTCAGTCAGCTCTTCTTTGGCATTTATCAGTGGAAACTACTTTCTTGTGACTTGGTTGGAGATCGTTTCCATGCCTGACCCCCTTAGCAACAAACTTTTCCATTCCCAGCTGCCCCAGGTAAGGGACACATGTGCACACCTTCTGTCCTGGAGAGCCCAGACTGTCTGATGGTCACAATACAGACTGGGGGAAAAGGGAACTGTGGGGAGAACAGAGAACATCTAGACTGTCAGGATTCTGAGGCTGAGATGACCCTGAGGTGTTAGAAAGTCCTTTTTCTCCCAGCCGTGTGACCAAAGAAGTCAAGATTCATCCATTCTGCTTTTCAAGGTTGTTTATTTTTTCTCATCTATTACATTCTTTCTCTGACCTGCTGAGATCCATCCTGCAGGTCTGGCTGAGGCACAGTGCCTGCCCTTGGGGTGGTGTTAACATTTTATACTAAGAACTACCTGTACTTGATTTACAATAATTTCCCAATACCTATCACCTATGTTAGACAGTCTGTCTCTAAACCAATCCAAAAGTGTCACCATCACAGCAGAAGATGGAGGCCAAGAAGGAGAGGAACGACAGGACACGCCCAGATTCCTCCATCTTGCCTCTTGAACCCCCATTCTAAAACCCCAAAATTCTGCTTTTTCACCCCATGACAAATTAACTATCATTCTACTCAAACTCTTGTGGCTTGTAAATCTTCACACAAAGTTGGTAATTCTTTCCATGGACTAAAATCAAAGACACGGGTGCCAAGGTCTGTGAACCCCTTGCCAGGGTCTGAAGTCATCCAGGGCAGCCAGAGGAACATCCTGGGTTCCCACACCAAACTACAATAACATAACCATCCACCACCAAAGCTTTTCCTAATATTCACACAACAGTTATCTTTTAATTTTGAGATCCAATCCTCTCGTTATCCATCTGTAACACCTGGGTGTCATTGCAGAGCCACAGAGCATGCCCCTGCTGGCCCGCTCGCCCAGCACCAACCGCAAGTACCCCCCGCTGCCCGTGGACAAGCTGGAGGAGGAGATCAACCGCCGCATGGCTGACGACAACAAGCTCTTCAGGGAGGAGTTCAACGTGAGTGCCACTCCTGCTGCCCCCAGGGTCGGGTCTAGGGTCTGCTTCTTGGTGTGGAAAGGCAGGAGTTCCCCCTGAAATGGGAAATGTGAACCCGCTGCTGTCGTATTCTGGCAGGGAGGAATGATGCGTCTGACTCCATGTCCTCAGAAGGCTAATTTATTACTTTGTTGTATGTGGTATTTTTGGGGTCCCCAGGACGAAGGAGGAATGATTGAATCTGACTCATGTCCTCAGAAGGCTAATTTATTACTTTGTTATATGTGGTATTTTTGGGGTCCCCAGGACAAAGGAGGAATGATTGAATCTGACTCATGTCCTCAGAAGGCTAATTTATTACGTTATGATATCATATTATATTAAAGAACACTATACTAAAACTGTACTAAACTATGCTAATGAATAGAGAAAGGATACAGACAGAAGGCTACAAAGAATGAGAATGAAAACTCCTGACTCTCCTCAGAGAGTCCGACACACCTGGACGGCGATTGGTCATTAAGGAAAAACAATTCACATGTTGGATAAACAATCTCCAAACCACATTCCCAAAGCAACAAAACACTGAGCAGTGACAGAGCTGATTTCGTCCTTGAATCTGTCACAAACTGATGTTCACCCTCATGCTCACTGCAGAAAGCAGAGGGTTTCTAGCAAACAGCTCTTTTTCAGAGTTACATTTTTCTGGGTTCAGGAATTATCGTGGATGTCTTGGGGTCTTCCAGAGCTTGCTGGTTGCCTCCCAAGGTCTGCCCCCCACCTCCCAGTCCTCATGGCCTTAAAGCCACAAACAGACAACAGCAAGCTTTGACAGAGAAACAGGAATGAGCCCATCTTATTTCAGTGAGCTGTTAACCCTGAAACACAATGGTGAGTGTGTGGAACAAAGGCTGGCCTTCGGCTGGGAGGAATTCAGGTGTTGTCCTTGTCCCACAAGCCCAGAGCATTTCTTCAGGGATGACTCCAACCTTCTCTTGATATTGCTGGACTCTGCAGCTTGTGACAATGGATCTGTTTTGCTTTGTCAATACAAACATAATGGAATTGGATAGAGTGGAATGGAATGGGTTCATTAAGGTTGGAAAAGCTCTCTAAGATGATTAGCAAGTCCAACCATTAACCCAGCACTGCCAAGACCACCACTGAACCATGTCCTCAAGTGCCACATCAATGCCATATCTACACTTTTTTTTTTAACTTTTAAGGATGGTGACTCCATCACTACCCTGAGCAGCCTGTGCTGGGGCTTGACAACTCTTTCTGTGAAAAGACTTTTCTAAATATCCAGTATAAACCTCTCCTGGCACAACTTAAGGCTGTTCCCTCTCCTCCTGTCCCTGTTCCCTGGAGCACAGCCCGATCCCCCGGCTGTCCCCTCCTGTCAGGAGCTGTGCAGAGCCACAAGGTCCCTCCTGAGCCTCCTTTGCTCCAGGTTGAGCCCCTTTCCAGCTCCCTCAGCTGCTCCTGATCAGGCCTGTGCTCCCAGCCCAGGTCCAAGCCATGATATGGCACCATGAGAACGAGGAGAAGATTAAAAAAAGCCACTCCACTTTGTCCAGCTGCTACAAAACTTGATCCCTTTCCTGGCCGTGCTGTGATGAAACCAAATAGGTGCAATGAATGCCCAGGGAGGGGGGTTTTTAGGGTTATAAATACCTGATTGCCCTGGACACTTCCTGCCATCCTGTCAGCTGGAGGAAGGGATGCTGGATACCTCCAGAACATTCTTTGCTGTTCAGAGAGGATGTGGAATAACAACACTGGAGAAGCACCTCCTGTGCTCGACTGGGAAACCCAGGGACAGTGTCCCCTGTCACCCCAGCACCCCCCACCAAAGGCTCCCTGGGGCTGCTCCTGCCATCACTGGGGTGGTGGGGGCTTAATCAGGTCACAATTAGCAGCGCTGTTAATGAGGGAATGTCACAGGAGCCTCCGTGGACAGGAATCAGGAATGAGCTCGTTGGTGCTGCCCGGTGGGTTCGGAGCTGGAGGCTTTGCTGCCACCTCGTGTCCATGGAGCAGGAGATTCCAGATCTTGTTCCACATCTTTCCGAAGGGATTGGCTCTCTCTGGTCCAGCCCAGCTGTTTAAATGGTCACTTTGAGACTTTGCTGCTGGGGTGGAGGTGAGGGGACACGTCCAGAGGGGCAGGAGGCTCAGATGTGGCATTTGCCAGCACGTTGTTCCTGCTGTGCCATGAAAACCTCATGGAAAACCCTTTTTCTTCTGCCATTTCAGGCTCTCCCAGCGTGTCCCATACAGGCCACGTGTGAAGCTGCTTCCAAGGAGGAGAACAAGGAGAAGAACAGATATGTGAACATTTTGCCCTGTACGTGTCAGAGCTGGTTGGATGGGGGGGGGAACACTCAGGGGCTCCTGCCAGGACTCCCCATTGCTGGTTTTGGGATGGACAAGGGCACAGTTGAGGGCATTTCACCTCCCAGGTGGGTGGCTGTGTCTGCTTTAGCTTTGGATGCCTGTGAGGAGAAGCTCCATGGAGCCAGGAGGCCATGGAGAGTGAAACGGATGGGAAATGCCAGAAGGGACAACTCTTGCCTGGTGGCATTGGACAGTGGGCTGGCTTGGGGTGTCCTCAAATATGCACTCTGTAGAAAAAAAAAACTACCTTGGACAAGATCTAGGGCCTCTCTGAGTTTAAGCAAGAGGAATTTGGGGGCATAAAGGTGTTTTTGCAGCACAGCCAGGAGTATGAACTCCAACACCTGGATTCTCACTAGGGCAGGTACCAGCAGAGTGGAGGGGTTGTCTTTAATGCAGAGTTTTAATTTCCCTCCAGATGATCATTCCAGGGTTCACCTGACTCCTGTGGAAGGGGTCCCTGACTCCGACTACATCAACGCCTCCTTCATTAATGTGAGTTTTGGGATGTGAAGGGGAGATCCCTGCCAGGAGCAAAGCAAGAGAGGGCTGGGGAACCACTCCTGCTGGAGCTGGGCATTTCTGATCCACAAACAGCTGAAGAATCATAGAATCTTTGAGGTGCAAAAGCCCTCTAAGACCCACAAGTCCAAGCATTCCCCCAGCACTGCCAGGCCACCACTAAACCATGTCCCCAAGTGCCACATCCATATGGTTTTAAATCCTTGAGTGTGGCCAGTTGATCATCAGTGCTTCCCAGCTTGCAGGGCTGGATGTGGGAAGGGGATGGAGAAGAAATCAGGGAATCCAGCTGACATGGAAGCAACACTGCCCTGCTCTGCCCCGGGAGGAGATGGGTCCTTTGTGGTTGTCACCACGTGGCTCCAATCAGCTGGAAGGGTCATGTGAGAGATGCAGGCACCTGAAGCAAAGGAAGGCTCAAAAAAGCTTTTTCTTCCCTCCCCAGTAAATAAAACACACAAAACTAACCCCTGTGAGTTCTACAGCCCCTCTTCCAAGCATCAGTGCAGATTTTCATGTGATGCTCTGGATGCAGGGTCTGACTCCAGTGGAAGGGCTGTCAGGTACCACTTCATTAGTGCCTTGTGCCAACAAGGGGGGTCATTCCTGCAGTATGTGAGCATGGGGAGAGTTCCTGTGGAAAAACAGCCCTTGGCACAAGGATTTTCAGTGATTTCAGCCCATCTCCCCTTCTCTGCACAAGGGAGAATGAGCAGCAGAGCAGATGCCAGCTCTGTTTGTTGCTGAAGTAAATGCATGCCATGACTCTTGTGTAAGAGAAATATTAATTTCTCCTCCTTTTTTCTTCTTTTCTTGCAGGGGTACCAAGAGAAAAATAAATTCATTGCTGCACAAGGTAAATTCTTGACTATTCCCATTCCCATTGCTGCACAAGGTGAATTCTTGACTATTCCCATTGCTCTGTTGGGGCAGCTGGGCTGGGTGCCTCTGCTCAGTGGAGCTGTGCCACTCTACCCACAGCACAGCATCCTGCAGAGCTCCCCTGGTCAAAAGGAGGCCTGGGTGCTCCACAGATTGTTCCCAAAATTATTTTCCCAGTCGAAGAGCAGTGCTAGATTTCTTGGTGGATAGAGAGAAGTCCTGCCTGTGCAGTCCTGTTGCTGGAGGGTGTTGTGAGCTCTGGAAATTCTGCCAGGGAGCTGCTTGATTAAATCCCCTAAATCACAGAACCATGGAATGGTTTGGGCTGGAAAGGACATCAAAGCTCACTTCATTCCACCCCACTGCCATGGACAGGGACCCCTCCCTCTATCCCAGGTTGCTCCAAGCTCCCTTGAACACTCCCAGGGATGGGATAGAGAGAAACGTCCTTAGGATCTTCAGAAGTCCAAACACATCCCTAAAACCAAAATTCCCACTCAGAGGGTGGGGATCACATCAGCAACAGGATGTTACCTGCCCATGGGAGTGCTTTGTATTTCCTCTCTGGACTTGCCAGTGGGTCAGGGCATTCCTGGCCAGTTTCCCTGGCTCTGGCTGGAGAAGGAGGCTGGATCAGGTCCCTCAGCACTTCCAGGCTCAGGTTAAGCCTTGGCTCTGCTGTTCCCTTGGCTCACCCTGAGCCTCAGGCTTGGCAAGGCAGAGTAGGCTGAGTTAGCTTCGTGTCTGGCAGGCAGCAGGGAACTATTCCTGTGCCACACTGAAATGGGATCCCGTGGCTAAAACCCAAAAACCCAGGGCAGGACTTCTGCAGACTCCGGGACAGCCACAATTTCCCTGGGTGACCTTGGGCGAGTCCCTGCTGTGTTTGACTGGTTTCCCTTTCTTGAGCTAAATATAAAATTCCTGACCATAAAACAAATCCAGATATCCCAGGTATTGTGTGATAGGATTATTCCTTGGATCAGGCATGCCCAGACACCACAGCACCTGTGGTGTGGTGTGACCTGTTGGCAAAAAATGTGTTGGATCATCTGTGATGTTTGACCCCACACTCAGGGTTTTGGTCCCAAATTGTGAGAGGTTGATCCCAAACAGGACTTTTTGTTTTACCTTCCCCTCAGGACCAAAGGAAGAAACAGTGAATGATTTTTGGAGGATGATTTGGGAGCAAAACACAGCGACAATTGTCATGGTGACCAACCTGAAGGAGAGGAAAGAGGTCGGTGCCAAAAGGTTTCACAGGCTGGGATTTGACCCAAATTGTGCCAAATCCAGCACATCCAGTGCCTGTGGGCATGTCCTGGAGCCATTCCCAGCCTTGTGAGGGTGTCCAGAGCTCACCTGCACCTGTTTTGTCCCCTCACAGTGTAAATGTGCTCAGTACTGGCCGGATCAGGGCTGCTGGACCTACGGGAACATCCGAGTGTCCGTGGAGGACGTGACCGTGCTGGTGGATTACACCGTGCGCAAGTTCTGCATCCAGCAGGTGCCAGGGGTCACCTCCCCATCCCATCCCTCCCCTCTCCACTCCGGGCATCCCAAAGGTGTTGGCTCAACCCCTCCAAGGCTCTGTGAGAGCAGAGTTGGGATGAAATGACCCCCAGCACCCATTTTTAACCGGAGTTGTTAAGAATTAATTCGTCCCAAGAGCCTGTTCACAGTGGTACCACGTGGCTGTGCTGGGAGCAGGGAAGCTGAGGGATGCCAGGGCTGAAATTCCATCCTGAAGTACTCCAGCACTTGCTGTTAGCAGTGTTGGTTCCTGCTCTCACCCACAGACACTTAATGCCTGAAAATAATCAGATTTATCCCCCCAGCTGAGACAAAATCCAACACTGTATGTGTTGGGTTTGATTGCTTTCCCATCTGTCACCACAATTCCTTGTCCTCCAAGGAGACTCTGGGTGTTTTAGTCACTCTGTTTGTTTTCCTGCCTCTCTCAGAAGCAGGCAGAAAAGAGGTGGTGCCTGTAAACCTGTCTGGGTTTTAGGGTGATCCTCCTGAGCCTCATCCTTCACTCCAGTGGCCTGGACGTGTGTGTTTTCCACAGGGGCTCCACATTGCAATAAGGAGAAGCCCCGTGGTTAAAGGCAGAGATGGTCACATTTACACCGTCCCAAGTTCATTTTGTTTTTCTTCTTGAGAAGCAAGAAGAAAGGACACAGATGGCAGCCTGCCCTGTATGAGCCTCTCTGCTGGTTTCTGCTCTGCCCCAAGGGGAAAAGAATCCCAGTGCTGAGCAGGTCCTTTCCCTGGAGAGCTCAGCATCCCCTTCCTCTGCCCCAAAGCAGGGCACGGCAGAGGGTGGAGCTGGCTGTCCTTGTCCCAGCCAGGTGCACTGTGCTCCCCTTGTCTCTGTGTCTCCCACTTGGGGCTTGGTGACCCCCCAGCTGATTCCAAGAGCTTTGTCTTCCCTTCATGTGTCTCACTGAAGACAATCCAGGGCACCTCCCACTATCCAGGCTGCTCCAACCCCATCCAGCCTGCCCTTTGGCACTTCCAGGGATCCAGAGGCAGGCACAGCTTCTCTGGGCACCCTGTGGCAGGGCTCAGCACCCTCCCAGGGAAGAACTGCTCCCCAATCCCCCCACCCTGTCCTGCAGTGCCGGGGTGGGCCGCACGGGCACGTTCATCGTCATCGACGCCATGCTGGACATGATGCACACGGAGAGGAAGGTGGATGTCTACGGCTTCGTCAGCCGCATCCGGGCCCAGCGCTGCCAGATGGTACAGACAGATGTGAGTGTGCCCTGCCCTGCCCTCTGGGCTGCCACTTCCTTCCTTCTCCCACTCAGAGGATGTGCGAGGGTTGTGTCGTCCCTCCTTTTGGGTGATGCTGAATCATGTGGGCTCTTTTTAATCCCCTTTGTAGAATCGTTCAATCATTTAGGTTGGGAATGATCCTTAAGATAGAGTCCAGCCATTCCCTCAGCACTGCCAAGGTCACCACTGATCCATGTCCCCAAGTGCCACATCCACGTGGCTTTCACAGAGGTGGTGCCAGACTTCCCATGGAGGAGAGGAAGAAGTTGGAGTTCTCCAACCCCAGCATTGACTTGTCCTGCCTCCGGAAGAGCGTAGATGAGTGTGTTAATCATCATAGAATCACTCATTTTTTTGGGGTTGGAAAAGTCCTTTAAGATCATCCAATCCAGCAGCACTGCCAAGGCCACCACTGACCCACGTCCCCAAGTGCCACATCCACATGGCTTTTAAATCCTTCAAGGGATGGGGACTCCACCACTGCCCTGTGCAGCTGTGCCAGGGCTGGACACCCTTTCCATGAAGAAATTTATCCAATATCCCACCTGACCTTCCCCTGGCACAGCTTGAGGCCATTCCCTCTCATCCTGTCCCTTGTTGCCCCTGGTTGTCCCCTCCTGTCAGGAAGGAATCTTGTGGAACCAGAAGGTCCCCCCTGAGCCTCCTTTTCTCCAGGCTTGGAGAATGTTTTGTGTCACATCTGCTTTGCTTGGTGTGGTAAATAAAGAAACAGTCCCCATTTGGTGGCAGGAAAGTTGTCACTCACTTTTCTGGGCTCTCAGAGGGCAGGCAGAGGTTGGAGGGTTTGCACCAGCATGGGCGTGGAACATGGCAGAAAAAAAGGAGCACGGGGAAAAAAGCAAAGTAACTTGTATGGATAGAGATGCAGTTATGAGCAGTGAGACCAATTTTAAAAAGGAAGATTTCAGAGAGACTCAGACTTCCTTTTAACTCCTTCCTTCTCCCTGCACCCCTCAGATGCAGTATGTGTTCATATACCAAGCACTTCTGGAGCACTACCTGTACGGTGACACGGAGCTGGAGGTGACCTCCCTAGAGATCCACCTCCAGAAAATCTACAACAAAGTGCCAGGGACCAGCAGCAACGGGCTGGAGGAGGAGTTCAAGGTGAGTGTGGCTGTTGTCCTGTCCTGGTGGATGTGCTGGGATGGTGCAGGGATCACCTGGCACTGGGTGGCTCTGAAAATCCCCTCTGCTTTGCTCCTTGCCCTGCAGAAGCTCACTTCAATCAAAATCCAGAATGACAAGATGAGGACGGGCAATTTGCCAGCCAACATGAAGAAGAACAGGGTGCTTCAGATAATTCCATGTAAGGCTTGTTTGGCTGAGTGTCTGGTGGGTGTGGGGACAGGAAGCAGGCTGGAGAAATGGGGCAAACAGGGACCTTGTGATGTTCAAGGAAAAGGGCAAAGTGCTGCCCCTGGGGAGGGACAAGCCCGGGTACCAGTCTGGACTGGGGGCACCCAGCTGGGTGGAAAAGCAGGAAAGGACCTAGGGGTCCTGACAGGCAGCCTGAACCTGAGCCAGCAAAGTGTCCTTGTGACAAAAGGGACAGTGGTGCCTGGGCAGTGTGAGACAAAACTCTTCCAGCAGGTCCAGGGAGGGGATCCTGCCCCTCTGCTCAGCACTGGGGAGGCCACACCTGGAGCACTGGGTCCCAGCACAAGAGGGACATGGACAGGCTGGGGACAGCCCAGGGAGGGGGCTGCAGCAGCTCTGCCCTGAGGAAGGGCTGGGAGAGCTGGGACTGCTCAGAAGGAGAAGAGAAGGCTCCAGGGGCCTCATCCCTGTCCATCAGCACCTGCAGGGAGGGTGCAGAGAGACCAGAGGCAGGCTCTGTCAGTGGTGGCCAGGGACAGGACAAGGGGCCACGGGCACACACTGAGCACAGGAGGGTCCCTCTGGACATCAGGGAGCACATTTTGGCCCAAGGAGGCTGTGGAGTCTCCATGCCTGAAGATACTCAGACTTTCTCTGGACACAGATGGCAGCCAGCCCTGTATGAGCCTCTCTGCCCCAAGGGTAAAAGAGTCCCAGTGCTGGGCAGGTCCTTTCCCTGGAGAGCTCAGCATCCCCTTCCTCTGCCCCAAAGCAGGGCACGGCAGAGGGTGGAGCTGGCTGTCCTTGTCCCAGCCAGGTGCACTGTGCTCCCCTTGTCTCTGTGTCTCCCACCTGGGGCTTGGTGATTCCCCAGCTAAAGGCCATGCAGGTTATCCCCAATCTCAGATGGTTTTGTTCTGTTCCAGATGAGTTCAACCGAGTAATCATTCCAGTGAAGAGAGGGGAGGAGAACACAGACTATGTAAACGCTTCCTTCATTGATGTGAGTCTTCTCCAATCTTCTTGCCATCTTCTTCCAATGGAAACCACCTCATGCTGCTTCCTTTGGGAAGAATTTATCCCAAACACTCCTTTTATGGGTTTTGTACAGCTCCCTCCACGTGACTTTGCTTTGTGTCATTGGAAGGTGCTGGTTCCTTTCTCCAATAAACCCCCAGGTTTATCCAGCTCCTTGTGGGTGAGCAGAGCTGGAGCCTGAGCAGAGCCTCCAAATCCTGGGCTCACTTCTGCCCCTCTGGGCTCTGCTGATGGCTGTGGAGAAAGGATCCATGTATCCATGGAAATACCACAGCCATGGCCATTTGGTCAGAAAACATCCACCAGATTAGCTAAGGGAGCAATGCACGATCCCAAAACCTTGGAGAGGAGCCAGGTCAATCCCATTACACCTGTCTGGTGGTGGCAGGAGGAGAGGCAGGGAGGTTAAGTGCTGTCCTCACTCTGAGGAGGAGATAAGTGATTGCACATCCTTCTCTCCTGAGCAGTCCTGTGGACTCCAGGGAGACATTTCGGATGAGTATTGATCTCCATGCAGTGATGCCAGTGCTGGCCAAGTCACAGACCCTGCTCTTCTCCAGCCCAATTTCTGTTTTCCTCTCCTAATGACACTGTGATTTTTTATTCCCCCAAAAAGGCTGAGTTTGCTCACAAAAACCAGTTTATTCCCCATTCTAACATCCCTAATTAATTGCTCCCTGCAATCTCCTTTGCTGGGTGCCTGCTGTGGCTGTGGGAGCAGCCAGGAGCAGCTGCCTTGTTGTGCATCCAGATCAGAAAGCTTCCGTGGCACGTAAGCAATTTGGGCTGAGGATTCAATTTCCTGCCTCTGCTGAACTTTGCTTAAATGACAAACTCCAAATGACGAAGCATCTGCAGTCACAGTCTGCAGGGAGGGCACAGGGGAGTCAGAGGGGTTTGGAAACAAAAACTCTTTGTGGCTGTGAAAAAGCCAGAGTCATCCAGAAAAGCCAAAGTCATGCAGCCTTCCTGCTGGTTTTCACAGATCATAGAATGGTCTGGGTTGGAAGGAACCTTAAAGATCATCTAGTGCAGTTTAGTTTTGCTTGCTTCTTCCAAAAATCCCCAATAAAAATCATACCTGGAGCACTTGGAGCTAAGGCAAAGCTCTGCTCCAGCACTCAGAGCTTGCAACATTGCCTAGGTGTGCTGGAAACCCAAATGGATAAAGCCAGGTGTGTGTAGGGGATGTGATCCTCCCAAAATTGAGCTGAGCTTGGCAGGCCAGCCGTGTCCAAGAGGTTCCTCCTGCTGGTGCACTGAGCCTGTTCCCAAATTCCAGGGTTATCGCCAGAAGGATTCCTACATCGCCAGCCAAGGGCCGCTGCAGCACACGATAGAGGACTTCTGGAGGATGATCTGGGAGTGGAAATCCTGCTCCATAGTGATGCTGACAGAGCTGGAGGAGAGAGGCCAGGTAAGCTCCCGGGATCAGCTGCACTAAACACCAGGGGAATAAATAAATGAATGAGCAGCAGGAGTTTGGAATGGGATGGCCCTTATGGGCCTTCCAGCCCAAACCAGTCTGTGGTTCTGGGAGTTTGTGAAGCCTGTGGGATCCCACTGTTAGAGTTTACAAACACATCATCACAGAATGATTATATGCAGGTGCTTTTATGGAAGAGCTCTGGGTGTCAGGGGTACAGACCCAAATCTGACTCCCACATGGCTTCAGGGTCAACACATGTTTATACGCTTATCATTTATATAACTACATATTCATTATTAAACTTATATTGTTCTATTGTGTGCATTGATCTCATCTAAGTGTGGATCCTGTAATCTCCATCAAATCCCCCAAACATCATTCCTCATGATTCTTGTTACAATTAAACAACAATCATATCCAGTTACCAAACAATCATCACATTTAACAATCGTATCATTTATCATAGTCATTAAATGATTATACAAGTGCACTTTTGCATGATCCAGTAAAGCTCAACACCACCTGGTGCTGGGCAGCTGCCAGGAGATTCTTCTATCCAAATCCATGGGAAAATCAGGATTTGCTCATCCTGTGGCCCCCTGTGCTGCTTCCTCAGGAGAAGTGTGCCCAGTACTGGCCATCCGACGGCTCCGTGTCCTACGGGGACATCACGGTGGAGCTGAAGAAGGAGGAGGAGTGTGAGAGCTACACAGTGAGAGACCTGCTGGTGACCAACACCAGGGTAAGAGCCTGCCTGCTCCCCCTGGGACCTCTGCGTGCTCCTGGCTGTGGCAGTCGTGTTTTCCAGAAAAATCCCTTTGCACAAGATTTCTCTCCTGGGAAGCTGAGAAGCCTCAGAGAAAAAGGAAATCAATATTATCTCATCTGCTTCTCCTGTGTTTTGCTGCTTTGGAATGTGGTTGGAGATTGTTTATCTAACAGGTGATTGTTTCATTGGTTTCATGTGAATTGTTTTGACTTATTGGCCAATTGGGGCCAAGCTGTGTTGGCCTCTGAAAAGAGAGTCACAAAATTCTTTCTAGCCTTCTGTCTCCTTTCTGTATTCTTTTGTATAGTTTAGTTTATTATTCTTTAATATAATGTAGAATCATAAAATAGTAAATTAGCCTTCTAAAAACATGAAGTCAGATACATCATTCCTTCCTTCATCTGGGAACCCCACAAATACAATACCTGGGTTTCACTGCCATGAGCCCCTGCTGGTGTTCCATCAGCTCCTCATTGTCCCAAAGGGATTTTATCCCTGTATCCCTGCCTCCCACCCCTGAGAGTCCCTGTCCTGCTGCTCATTCCTGCTGCCCTCACCACCAAGCCTCCCTCCTGCTCCCATTCCCCACATTTCCCCTGCTCCCTGCCCTGGGAATGCCACTCCCTCACAAGCAGGGATTTCCTACAGGGATTGTTATCCCAAAGCTCTGAGCCCCTGGGTTCCTGTGGTAATTGTGGGGTCCCCCAACAAAGGTGAAGAAAATGATGACTCTGACTCCGTGTTCTTAGAAGGCAAATTTATTATTTTACTATATAATATAAAAGAATGCTATACTAAAACTATAGTGAATAATACAGAAAGGATACTTACAGAAGGCTGAAAGATAATGAAGATAACCTGTGACTCTCTCCAGAGTCTTGACACAGCTTGGCTGTGATTGGCCAATAAATAAAAACAATTCACATGTTGGATAAACAATCTCCAAACACATTCCAAAGCAGCAAAACACAGGAGAAGCAGATAAGATAATACGGTTTTCCTTTTTCTCTGAGGCTTCTCAGCTTCCCAGGAGAGAAATCCTGGCGCAGAGATTTTTCCAGAAAATGTGACAGTGACAGGTTCCTTGGTGCAGACCCCTCAGCCTGACCTCGAGCTGTGCCCTCCCCACAGGAGAACAAGAGCCGACAGATCCGGCAGTTTCACTTCCATGGCTGGCCAGAGGTTGGGATCCCCGGGGATGGGAAGGGCATGATCAACATCATTGCAGCGGTGCAGAAGCAGCAGCAGCAGTCTGGCAACCACCCCATCACTGTGCACTGCAGGTAAAGCCTGGCTGGGGCAGCTGGGCCACCCCTCCGAGGGGATCTGCTCCACCAGGAGCTTGGTCAGAATCCCAGATTGTGTCCTGGATAAACTGGGAGAACCTGGGGCAGGACTGGCTCCTCCAGTTCTCCAGTGCTTTCCACTGTCCTCTGGGGGTTTGGGACCCCTCAGGGGTTTTCCCTGAGGCCCTGGTTTCTCTTTCCCAGTGCTGGAGCAGGAAGAACGGGCACCTTCTGTGCGCTGAGCACTGTCCTGGAGAGGGTGAAGGCAGAGGCCATCCTCGATGTCTTTCAGACAGTCAAGAGCTTGAGACTACAGAGGCCACACATGGTGCAGACACTGGTAGGTGCCTCCTGCCCCGTCAGAACCTCAGCAAGGGTGGGCTGGGGGCTCAGTGTTGAGCAAAAACCTCTTTGGTTCAAGGTTTTTGCCCTCCATGGAAGAGGGAGAGGGGGAAGATGTGGGTTCATCATCCCTGGCAGTGCCCAAGGCCAGGCTGGATGGGGCTTGGAGCAGCCTGGGACAGTGGAAGGTGTCCCTGCATGTGGCAGGGAATGGAGCAAGGTCATCCTTGTGGTTCCTTCCAGCCCAAACCATTCCAGGATCTGTGATTCTGTGAAGGTGGGCCAGGAGCTCTCTCCCTTCCTCTTGTTAAGGCATCAAATGCCTCTTAAGCACTGACAGAAGTTGTAGGAACCTCCTTGAAGACATCCTCAACCACAGTCCATACATTCATGAGCTGAAACTCCTGGGAAGGTGTCCTGGAGTGGCTGTGGAGCCCTGCACAGGGGTAGGGTTGGGGCTGGGTGAGGTCTTGCAAGGGTTTTAGGAGAAAAGCCTTTTGGGATCCAGACAGAACCCCAGAGTTTGTTTTGCCATGAGCACCCCAGCAAGGCTTTGGGGGGTCACAAGGAGGGGGGACCTGCTCTGGACACCTGACCAAGCCTCAGGTGCTGTCTCAGGTGTGGATTTTCCTGTCTGAGCCCGTTCTCTCCCAAACCCCACAGGAACAGTACGAATTCTGCTACAAGGTGGTGCAGGAATACATCGACGCCTTCTCAGACTACGCCAACTTCAAGTGAAGAAAAACAGGAACAAAAATCCACAGCCACCCTCCCCGAAACAAATGACAGAAGAGTTGCCTTCTTTAATATTTTGTAATATTCTGTTTGTTAATATACCCCTCCCAAACAAAACAAAAAAAAACCTATGTGTATATATCTTAACTGTTTTAGAGGTTGGTACCATAAGCTTCATATTAGCTGGAGATTTTATATGTAGCAAAGTGTTAGTGCAGATACTGTTGGCTCCTTTTTTTCCAATGTTTTATTGGGGAATTAAATAGCGTGATGTTTGGATTAATATTGTCATACCATCTCTCTTCTGGAGAGTTGATACAGGCTGTTATTTTGTTTGTAAATCTCTTTTTTTTTTTTTTTTTTCTTGAGGGAGTAAAGCCTTTTTTTAAAAAAAAAAAAAAAAGGAAAGAAAGATATTCTGGATCTCATCTGAAACAAAACCCAAACCCCCCCCACTACAACCCCACCAGCACAAGCTTTTCCAAACCTGCAGGGAAATGGTTTCACATTTTTCTGCTGGTCAGCTCTTAAGAAAAATAAGGAGAAGAAAAAAAAAAAAGCAAGCTCATTCTGTGTGTGTGTTTATATATAAATACCCTCATTTTTATACCAAAAGCTAAAAACTTTCCTCCCTCAGGGTCAGGCCACCATGCACTGCTGGTTTGGAAACTGTAATTGCCACACAGCAGCACCCAAATGTTGAGATTTCCACCCCAAAAAAGGAAACCCCAGAAAAACAAAAGGATTTTTGTTGCCTGAAGGAAAGGTCTGTGTGTTTGGAGCTGGGTTTTAGAGAGGGGTTGGGGCTGAGGGTGACACAGTGGCCCTGCCACCCCTGCTGGTGCTCTTTGCACCAGGTGAGCTCCACCCCCAGCTGCTGGAGGAGATTTCAGATTATTTTTCCTGGCATCCTGAGGGATCACAGAATCATGGAATGGTTTGGGGTGGAAGGGATCTCATAAAATACCAATCCCACCCCCTGCCATGGCATGGACACCTTCCACTATCCCAGATTTCTCCAAGTCCCATCCAACCTGGCCTTGGACACTTCAGGGATCCAGGGGCAGCCACAGCTCCTCTGGGCAGCTGTGCCAGGGCCTGCCCACCCTCACAGGGAAGGATTTTTCCCAAATTCCCACTCCAGGCCTGCTCTGTTTCAAGAAGAATCCAAAAAGTCAAGAAATATCTGAAGACCAGGGGTGCAGCACTTGTATATTAGGAAAAAATCAGCTTAATATGGTTGATTTTATTATTTTCTTTGTTATGAAGCAGTGCCTGAGGAAAACACCTTCCTTGTTCCTCCTGCAGTCAGGGCACCACGTCCAGGAGCTCCATCCCCTCTGCAGGCACTGGGAGAACTGGTTTGGAGCAGAATTTCACCCCAAGGGTTTCTCTGGACACCCCAAACTGTGATGGGCAGCACAGGGTGGGTGTCAGGGCTCAGGAACATTGACAGGGATGTCCTAGGCTCAGGATATGGGGTTGAAATCTGGGAAATTCTGGGTAGAAACAGCCCATGAGTCAGAGTATCTGAGTTTTTTCAGTTTTTTCCATCCAGGCAGGATTCACAGGAGGGTTCAGTGGAGGCACACAGGCAAAGGGGCACCCTCAGCCACCCACAACACCCCAAAAGTTGCTTTGCTGCTGCCATCATCCCCACTCCATCACCTGGTGCCCCTCATGAGCCCCACCAGCCCATTGCTAATAAATTCCAGCTCCTAAATTTTGGGGGCTTTGGGCCAAGGCTGTAAGTCACACTCAGAAATAAATGTGGTGACCGCAAAGAAATGGGGACCCTCCTTGAACAGGAGGGTTTCATTTGTCCCCACAAGTGCTCCAACCAAGAGCATGGACCACCCCAACAATTCCCTCCATTTCCCCTTTTTTCCTTCATTCCCAGGATCTCAGGGGGCTTGGGGAAATTTTGGGGTCCTGGGAGCTGCCTTGAGCTTTTGCCACAGCATCTGCCCTGTCCCCATCCTGCATCCAACTGCAAATATCAGAGAGATGAGCAGCTGCTGGGGATAATCCAGGGCCAGATCCTGCCTAAATCCCCCTCCTGAGCTCTGCCACATCCCCTGGTCTGGGAGCTGTGGGCTCCATGGCCACTGCCAGCATCCAGCCCCAGTTTGGGGGTGACAGATTTGAAATTGGGGGGAGAACCGAGGAAATCAGGGCTGGGCTGGGGTAGGGAAACTGAGGCACGGGGAATTTGCTCCCCTCCTTCCAACAAGAGCATCCCTGGAGCTGCAGAGGGACGGTCTGGATCCGTCTGCCAGGAAATGGGAAATGAGCCCGTTCTGGGGGGAATCCCCACAAAGGGGTCTCGCGGTGCTGTTCTGTGGTGCCACATTTGGGGACAGGGAGGCACCGGGCACCGGCACGGGGAGGACGATGCCATCAGCGAGGTCACGGTCCCCCCTGGGAGCGGTGGCCAGGCCGACGTCATTGTCACCGAGCCCTTCAAATAGCGGTGCCTGCCCTGCCGGCCACTGCCACCGCCGCCACTGCCACCACTGCCACCGGCACTGCCACCTCCCGCCCGGCCAGGTGAGGCTGCCCCGGGCACGGCACGGGCTGGGCCCGGGCTGGGGGGTCCTGCTTGCCCCAAATCAGACCCCAATGGGGGGTGGGGGGAGTGTCCGTGCAGGATCCAAACCCCCGCAGCACCCCGGGGTGCTGAGCCCCTCCGGCTTCTCCAGCCCCAAAGGGCACCCAGGGGTGCTCATTCCCTCTGGATCTGCATCCCAAATTGATGCTGGGTCATCCCTTCCAGCATCTGCACCCCAAACCCACCCCAGCCCATCCATGGGTGCTCATCCCCTCTGGATTTCCATCCTAAACCCACCCTAATGTGATGCTGGGTCATCCCCTTTGGATCTCCATCCCAAACCCACCCGTGGGTGCTCATCCCCTCTGGATCTCCATCCCAAACCCACCCACGGCTGCTCACCCCCTCTGCATCCCCATCCCAAACCCACCCGTGGGTGCTCATCCCCTCTGGATCCCCATCCCAAACCCACCCGTGGGTGCTCATCCCCTCTGGATCCCCATCCCAAACCCACCCGTGGGTGCTCATCCCCTCTGCATCTCCATCCCAAACCCACCCGTGGGTGCTCATCCCCTCTGGATCCCCATCCCAAACCCACCTGTGGGTGCTCACCCCCTCGGGATCTCCATCCCCCCACTCAGCCCCCGCGCTCCTACTGAACCCAAACCAGCCCAGGCAGCCCCCACGGGTGCTCAGCCCTCCCGCAGCCCCCCGGGGGTGTCCCCGGAGCGGATGCCGCTGGGACAGGGCCCTGCGTGTCCCCGCAGCCATGGCACCCCGCGGGTCGCTGCTGCTGCTGGCGCTGCTGCTGCTGAGCTGCGCCCTGCCCCGCGCCCGCGGCCAGCACTGGTCCCACGGCTGGTACCCGGGGGGCAAGCGGGACCTGCGGACCCCCAGCGACCCCCAGGTAGGCTGTCCCCACCCGGTCACCCCCTCCGGGTCGTTCCCTTCCCTCCCGGGGTGATGCTGTGTCCCCCTGCCCAGGATTTGTGTCACCCCCTCTCCCTGCTCCTCTCCTCTGGATTATCCCTGCCCGAGTTGCACTGCCCCAAATTATTCTCCCTGGATTATACCCCTCGCAATTAACCCTCCCTCAATTATCTCCCCGATGAATTCTTGGATTTATCCCCGCCCCAGGTTAAACCCCACTCCGGGTTTATCCCCCCATGGGCTATAACCCCCCCAGGTTATCCCCCTCCCTGAATTATCAGAGTTTATCACCCCCTAGTTTATCCCTCTCCCTGAATTATCCGGGTTTATCACCCCCTAGTTTATCCCCCTCCCTGAATTATCCAAGTTTATCACCCCCTAGTTTATCCCCCTCCCTGAATTATCCAAGTTTATCACCCCCTAGTTTATCCCCCTCCCTCAATTATCCGGGTTTATCATCCCCACGGGCTAAAACCCCACAGTTTTCCCCTCTCCCTCAATTATCCGGGTTTATCATCCCCACGGGCTAAAACCCCACAGTTTTCCCCTCTCCCTCAGTTATCCGGGTTTATCCCCCCAAGGGCTAACATTCCCCCAGGTTATCCCCCTCCTTAAATTATCCGGGTTTATCATCCCCAAGGGCTAACCCAACCACCCCCACAGTTTTTCTCCCTCCCTGAATTATCCAGGTTTATCACCCCAGGTTATCCCCCTCCCTGAATTATCCGAATTTATCCCCCCAAGTGCTATAATTCCCTCTGGTTATCCCCCTCCTTGAATTATCCGGGTTTATCACCCCCCAGTTTATCCCCCTCCCTGAATTATCCCCCCTCCCAGATCATCCCCTTTTCCCGTTCTTATTTCCCCACCGATTTACCTTCCCCCCGAATCCCCCGCACCATGGGGGGATTCCCAGGACATCCACCCTGGAATTCCCCCCACTCCGGGGGTGATCCCCCCATCCCGGCTGCTTTTCCCCCCACGGCTGTCCCCCTGTTTTCCCCCCTCCCGCAGGTCCCGTCCCCTCTCGGGCGCTGCCGTCCCCTCCCGTGTCCCCCCCGGCGGGAGGAGCCGCTGCCGGTGAGCGGGAGCGGGGCTGGGGGGTCCTGGGGGGGTCCCGGGACCGGGAATGACCGACCCTGGGGGTGCTGGGGGTCTCCGGGAGCGGGAATGACGGATCCTGGGGGTCCCCAGGTCTGGGTCTGACCGATCCTGGGGGTGCTGGGGGTCCTGGGGGGCTCCCCGGGTCTGGGACTGACGGGTCCTGACGGTCCCCGGTACCGGGACTGACCGATCCTGGGGATCCCCGGGACCGGGACTGACCGATCCTGGGGGTCCCTGGGACCAGGTTTTACCGATCCTGGGGATCCCCGTGTCCGGGTCTGACCGATCCTGGGGGTCCCCGGACCAGGACTGACCGGTCCCCCTGTCCCTGTCCCGCAGCCGCCCGCGCTGCGCCCCTGACCGGAGCCAGCGACCCCCGCGGGACCGAGCCGGGACCCCGCGGGGAATAAAGGGGCCGGGGGGATTCGTGCATTCTGGTGATGGAGGGGCTCGCCTGGGGCTGGGACGGTGGGAGGGGGTGGCACCTGTGCCACAGTGGTGTCCCTGGGGGCGGGCGGGGTCCGTGTCCCCAGAGGGATGGCGTGTCCCGTGAGGGGCGGGGGTCGCGGTCTTGGGGACACAGCTCGGGAATTCGCGTCCCGTGAGGGGCGGGGGCCGAGTTTGGGTTCCCCGTTCCTTAGGGATCCGCCTCCGTGTCCGGCGGGGCGGGGGGGGGTCTGTGTCCCTGTCCCTGTCCCCGTCCCGTGGCCTTGTCCCTGTCACACGGGTGTCCCGGTCCCGTGCAGGGTGTCCCGTGTAGGGTGTCCCTGCCTCAGGGGTGTCCCTGTCCCCTGGTTATCCCTGTCCCGTGCAGGGTGTCCTTGCCCCACGAATGTCGGTGTCCCCTGGCTGTCCCTGTCCCGTGTGGAGCATCCCTGTTCCCGCCGGTGTCCGTGTGTCCCGCAGGTGTCCGTGTCCCATGCAGGGTGTCCCGTGTAGGGTGTCCCTGCCTCAGGGGTGTCCCTGTCCCCTGACTGTCCCTGCCCCATGTAGGGTGTCCCTGCCCCACGGGTGTCCCTGCCCCGGGGACGTCCGAGTCCCCGGGCAGTCCCTGTCCCATGCAGGGTGTCCCCGCCCCACGGGTATCCGTGTGTCCCACGGGTGTCCCTGCCCCGGGGACGTCCGAGTCCCCGGGCAGTCCCTGTCTCATGCTGGGTGTCTCTGCCCCACGGCTGTCCGTGTGTCCCACGGGTGTCCCTGTCCCATGGGTGTCCCTCTCCCTCACGCCTCCCGAACTCCATTTCCCATCACGCCCCGCTCGCCCCTCCCTTCCCCGCGCGCAGTGTGACGCCACTCTCCGCGCCGCGCGGCCACAGCGGCGCCGCCATGCTGCCGGCGCTGAGGCGCTGCCGCCCGGGGCCCGTCCCGCTGCCGACCCTGGCGGCCGCGCTGGGCCCCGGCCCCTTCCCGCGGCTCTGCCCCGCCTGGGCCGTGCCGGCGCGGGGCCGCAAGACCCGCCACGACCCCCCCGCCAAGTCCAAGGCGGGCCGCGTGAAGCTGCCGCCGCCCGTGGACCCCGAGGAGCTGCTGGTGGTGCTGGAGCGGTACCGGCAGCACCGGCTGGTGCTCAGCGCCCTCCGGTACCGGCGCGGGGATGTGGAGATGGGGGGCTGGAGCCGGGGGGCGGCTGTGGGGCAGGGGAAGGGACTGATTGTGGCGCAGGGAAGGGTCGGGGCTGGTTATGGGGCTGGGGGTACTTGTGGGGCAGGGGAAGGTCGGACATGGGTTGCTCTGGGACTGGTTATGGGGCTGATGAGGGCTGGGGGCGGTGGTGGGTTTGGGTAAGGGACTGGCTGTGGGGCAGGGGAGGGTTGAAGGGCTGGGTACGAGGCAGGGGCTGCCTGTGGGGTTTCTAGGGGCTGCCTGTGGGGTTTCTGGGGTACGGGACTGGCTGGAGGGCAGGGGGAGAGGGATGTGAGGCTGCCGAGCCGGGGGGCGGCTGTGGGGCAGGGGAAGGGACTGATTGTGGGGCAGGGAAGGGTCGGGGCTGGTTATGGGGCTGGGGGTACTTGTGGGGCAGGGGAAGGTCGGACATGGGTTGCTCTGGGACTGGTTATGGGGCTGATGAGGGCTGGGGGCGGTGGTGGGTTTGGGTAAGGGACTGGCTGTGGGGCAGGGGAGGGTTGAAGGGCTGGGTACGAGGCAGGGGCTGCCTGTGGGGTTTCTAGGGGCTGCCTGTGGGGTTTCTAGGGGCTGCCTGTGGGGTTTCTAGGGGCTGCCTGTGGGGTTTCTAGGGGCTGCCTGTGGGGTTTCTGGGGTACGGGACTGGCTGGAGGGCAGGGGGACAGGGCTGTGAGGCTGCCGTGGGGCAGGGGAAGGCTGGGGGTGGCTGTGGCTCTGGGGATGGAGTTGGAGGCTGAATGAAGTGCTGGGGTGTGGAACGAGGGAGGGTTGTGGGGCTGGCTGTGGGGTGGGAGGCTGGATATGGGGCAGTGAGGCAGGGGAGGGTCGGGCCTGTGGCCATCTGGGGCTGTGGGGCAGGGGAGGGGTGGCCGTGGGGCACTTTGTGACAGGAGCAGGGAGATGTGGGATGCTGGGGGGTGGGAAAGGGCGGTGGGGTTTGGACTGATGAGGGGTGGGGATGGTGGGGCAGGGTGCTGGGGCTGGCTCTGCTGTGGGGCAGTCTGTGCTCGCAGCCCCGGGCCGGAGCTCAGGGCCCTCCCCTTCTCCCTCAGGGCGGAGTTCAGGGCCGAGGTGCTGCAGAAGAAGCGGGAGGAGCGCCTGGCTGCCGAGGGCTCGCTGGAGGAGCAGGAGGAGCACCGGCGGCTGATGGCCTGGAACGAGGAGGAGAACGCCCGGCAGAGGGCTCGCAGGTCAGCACGGCCCCTGCAGGGCCAGCAGGGCACTGCCCTGGCTTCTGCTCGGGCAGGGCTGAGCCCACTCAGAGTCTGGGATAATGTCTGCAGAGAAGCTTGGGCAGGGTCATTGCTGGGTTAGGAACTGGTTCATGGCAGGGCTCAGTGGGGAATGGTCACTCCCAGTCACCAGAGGTGTCCCCAGAGGTGTCCCAGGGGTCAGGGCTGGGCCCAGTGAGGGAATGGTCACTCCCAGTCCCCAGGGGTCAGGGCTGGGCCCAGCCCTGTTGGATGCCTTTGCTGACTGAGTTCTCCACCAGCAGATTTGCAGGTGACACTCCAGTCCCCAGGGGTCAGGGCTGGGCCCAGCCCTGTTGGATGCCTTTGCTCCTCATGGACTGAGTTCTCCACCAGCAGATTGGCAGGTGACACCGAGCTGGGTGTGAGGGTGGCTCTGCTGCAGGGCAGGAGGGCTCTGCACAGGCTGGATCCAGGGGCTGGATCCAGGGGCTGAATCCAGGGAGATGAGGGTTAACAAGTCCCAGTGCTGGTTCCTGCACTTTGGCCACAGCAGCCCCTGCAGTGCTACAGGCTGGGGACAGAGTGGCTGGGCAGCAGCCAGGCAGAAAGGGACCTGCAGGGACTGATGGACAGCAGGCTGGACATGGGCCAGCAGTGTGCCCAGGTGGCCAAGAAGGGCAATGGCTCCTGGCTGGATCAGGAATGGTGTGGGCAGCAGGAGCAGGGCAGGGATTCTTCCCCTGTGCTCAGCTCTGGTGAGGGCACACCTCGAGTGCTGTGTCCAGTTCTGGGCCCCCCAGTTTAGGAAGGACATGGAGGGGCTGGAGCGTGTCCAGGGGAAGGCAGCACCTGGGGATGGACGTGTCACCTCCTCCATCAGATTTTCCTTCTGTCTGGCAGAGAGGAGAGACTCAGGAAAGAAGAGGAGGAGCAGAAGAGGAGGAAGGCAGAGATTGCGGAGAAACAGGCCAGGAAAATGGAGGCTTTCCTGGAGGAGAAAGAGAAGGAGGTTCTCCAGCTGCAGGTAAGAGCAGCTGGTGCCTCCTGGGAAGCAGGCTGCCAGAATTCCCTGCCAGGGAGCCATGTGGAAGCCGTGGGCTTGTTTTCCACAGATTTTTCAGCTGGCAGCTGGGAACAAAAGCGCCAGCACCTTCCAGGGGTGTTGACAGCGCATGGATGGGAGAGAGCTTGAGCCAGAGCTCTGGGAACAGGGTGGGATAATCCTGAGGGGGACAATCCTTGTCCTTTGCTTCAGGAGGAAGCCAAAAACTTCATCACCCCCGAGAACCTGGAGGCACGGATCGAGGAGTGCCTGGACAACCCACGGAACTACAACTTCGCCATCGACAAGGACGGGCGGATCGTCAAGCGCACGGTGCTCTCCTAGCAGCCCTGGCAGGGGCTCCCGGCCCCCCAGAAAACACAGATCCTTCCTTGGAATGTGTACATTGGCCACAGAAGTGCTGGAGAAGGGGTCTGGCTGTGCTGCCTCCAAAGGGTTAACGCCTGCGGGAAAAGGGGGTGAGGGGAAACTTGGAGGCTCCAGCAGCCTGGCACAGCCCTGTTGCTGTGCCTGTGATCCCACCTCCCACGTGTTTGGATCCCTGCTGCCTTCACTCAAAGCGTGTGGGCAGGAGCAGGAGCACTCCCGAGGCAGAGCCTGGCTCAGCTCCTCGCTGTCAGCTCCTCTGGATGCTTCCAAAAGCAAAGGAGGGCTGAATGAATTTGTAGGAAACACTGACCTTCCCTTTTTTTGTTGTTGGGGGAAGGAATCAATTGTAATCCTGATTTCACACTTCAAACCCTCCTTTGCACATCCCTTGGTGTGGCTGAATAAGAAAATGTGTCTGAATGATGCAGGATTTCTGGTGTCTCCTTATTCTTCCCTTTAGGCATAATTTATTCATCACCACTGAAGGTGTAGATAAAATTGCAATGACTTTGGGTGTTCTGGGTTGTTGGGGTCTTGCAGGCTGTCAGCTTTGTCCTCAAACTTGTGGTTTTGGGCTGCCCAGTGTTGAGCCTGGAGTTTGCTGTGGTTCAGCCATGGTGTGCAGGTCCCTCTCCCTCCTTCCCTCCCTCCCTCTCCCTCCCTCCCTCATTCATTGTTCCTTGACCTGAAACCCTCATTTTTTACCTCCACTTTTCCCTTAAAGTGTCTTCTCCTAAGCCTGCAGCTCAACCAGACAATCACACAAAACCCACAGACTTGTGTCTGAGCTGTTTTTCTGTCCAAGTTTTATTTCTAATTAAGCTCATCACTTCAGTCTGACTCGCAGCCCAGGGCAGGGCTGGGACAGTGATGGATGCAGGATCCCTCCCGGGTGGGTTACACGAACAGCAGCTCCTGGTCACAGGATGAGTCAGTGCCACAGCCCTCTGAGGGGAGAGAGGGGGGAGTGTGAAACCAGACAGCACCCACCAGACCCCAGGGATCCCCCAAAACGGGCCCCAGAGATCCCTGAAACAGCTCCCAGGGACCCTCTGAAACAACTCCCAGAGATCCCTGAAACACACCTCAAGGACTCCCCAAACCAGTTCCCAGGGACCCCCAAAACAGCCCCCAGGAGCTCCCAAAAACAGCCCCCAGAGATCCCTGAAACAGCTCCCAGAGATCCCAAAAACAGCCCCCAGGAATCCCCTAAACATCCAGAGACCCCCAAAAACAACCCCTGGGGACCCTCTGAGCCAGCTCCCAGAGATTCCTGAAACAGCTCCTGGAGATCCCTGAAACAGCCCTCAAGGACTCCCCGAACCAGCTCCCAGGGACACCCAAAACAGCTCCCAGGGACCCCAAAACAGCCCCCAGAAATCCCCCAAACATCCAGACACCCCCTCCCTGGCACTGGGGTTTGACGAGTTCATGTTCACTCCATTCTCTGCTGCTTCCTTCCCGACTTACAGCGGGATCTCTGAATCCCCCAAACATCCAGACACCCCCTCCCTGGCACTGGGGTTTGACGAGTTCATGTTCACTCCATTCTCTGCTGCTTCCTGGGATTTACAGCGGGATCTCTGTAGTTTAATTTAGGGAGGAGGGTGGGATTTTGAGGAAAACTGATGAGAGCAGGAGGGGACGTGGCTCCTGCACTTGCTCAAGCCCAAAAATTTGTTTGCTTCCCTCTGCCCCAAACCCTCCCGGTCTCATCCCTTCCCTGGGGTCTGGATAGCTCATGGAGCGTGGTCTGGCTGTGGGGGCGATGGACGGACACACGGACGGGACAAAGACAATCCCTTGAGCATCCTCCCCTTTCTCAAGACCCCTGGATTCCCTCCCGGGTGTGCGAGGCTCAGGACAGGGATCCCGGGATCCCGTGCCCCCTCACCGCTGCTGCAGCAGATGCCGGGAGCGGCGCAGCTCCCTCCGGAGCCGCAGGGTTTGCGTCCCGACTCGCAGGGCGTGGGCAGGAAGTTTTCCTCCTGGCAGCGCAGCGTCTCCGCGGTGCCGATGTAGCAGCCCAGCTCCTCCCCGCAGCAGATGTTGGGCCCGAAGCAGTGTCCCTTGTTCCGGGGACCGCAGGGCAGGCACTGCTCGGGGAACGGAGGGGAAGAAGGTTGGGAGGAGGGAAGGATGGGGTTGGGAGTGCTCCGAGTTCCCAGGATCTCACCTTCCTGATGTCCATGTCCAGCACAGCGCGTTTGCCCCCGATGGGGCAGTTCTGGATGTAGCAAGCCGAGGAGAGAGTGAGGAGCCCCAGGAGGCAGAGGGCCAGAGCCTTGCAGGACATAGCGGCGGGACAGGGGCGAATTTCAGCTGCCCATCCCAACAGCCGGCCCTGTATTTATAGTCCTGGCTCCTGCTTAGGGATTCTGGCACCGGCGTCACCAGCGTTCCTTAAAAACCACAAGGCATTGCTGCCCACAGCGGAGGGCAAGGCTAATAGCCGGAGGTCGAGGACGTGAGGTCAAGGACAAGCTGTTGGTTTGCTCCTCTGTGATGAGGCTGGCGGCAGCAGGGACGTGTGGAGGGTGTGGATGGAGCTGGATGGAGCTGGAGGAATGTGTAGAAGTTGTGGATGGAGATGGATGGACACGTCGGGGTTGTGGATGGGCATATGGAGGTTGTGGATGGAGCTGGATGGAGCTGGAGGGTGTGGATGGAGCTGGATGGAGCTGGAGGGTGTGGATGGAGCTGGAGGTTGTGGATGGACATATGGAGGTTGTGGATGCAGCTGGATGGACATGTGGAGGTTCTGGATAGAACTGGAGGAACGTGTGGAGGTTGAGGATGGAGCTGGATGGACATATGGAGGTTGTGGATGGAGCTGGAGGTTGTGGATGGAGGTTGTGGATGGAGTGGGGCCCTTCTCTGGCAGTCACTTTGGACTGCTGAGCTGCGGTGTGTCCCGTTGGGAACCCCTCTGGCATGGGGAGGGTAGGGATGAAGGCAGGCAGCTGCAGCTGGGATGTGTCCACCCAGGAGCAGGGTCTGTGCTTCCCTTGGCTTCAAATCCCTCTGGGTGGGAGGAAGAAGCCCCGTATCCTCTGGGATCATCCATGGGATTGTCCTTGTTGGTCCTGTCCACCCATCCGTGCCTGGCCTTGGGGGCTGCTCAGCACGGGGCTGATCCTGCTCTGGGATAACGGCGAGACCTGTTGGTCCTGTCCACCCGTGCCTGGCCTTGGGGGCTGCTCAGCACTGGGCTGATCCTGCTCTGGGATAACGGCGATCAGCCCATCCCCACCCACGTTCATCCAACAGCGCCTGAGAACACCAAACCTCCCGGGCAAAGGCCTGAAATCCCAAATTTCCCCACTGCTTCTCCTTGGAGCCGCACACAGGGATTCAGGGAGGTGTCCTGAGCCACATCACCAGCAGACAAAGCCCCCCCTCCTCCTCCCTGAGGAGCAGCACCGAGGATGAGGCCGAAGGCTGACGCAACCCCCCAAGGTCCTGCTCACCCCAGCCCCTTGCCTTCCTTATCCCAATTAGGAGCTTCCCAGCTTGAATAAATTTCCTTGCTGAGGACAAACCTTGACGTCCACTGAGATCATTACCCTGCACTGGCTTAATTGGGAATTAGGCAGCCCAGAGCCGGACAGCCATGACCTTTTCCTGTCCCTCTGGCTTGCTTCAAAATCCACCACTTAGCGAGGCTGGCACGAGGGCAGCCGGGTCCCTGTCACCCACCCTGGGTCAGTCCCAGTCCCTGGGGATGAGGCAGGCACTGGGATCCATGGAAATGGGTTGGAAATGGGTTGGAAATGGGGCTCAGCACCTGCTCTGTGCTGTCCCAGCAGCTCAGCTCCGGCTGCAGCGCAGCGTGGAGGGAGGGAATTGTCATCCCAGAGCCCCTGTGGCTGCTCCAGGAGTGCCCAGACCCCTGCTGGATGTGTCTCAGGGAGAAAAGTAGGGAAAAAACCCAGTTATCAGCCCCTGATGCTTTTTGGGGACTTGATTTTTGCCTGATTTTGAGGTGTTCATCAGACAGAGCATTCCCAGCTCAGCCACACATTCCCGGTGCTGCAGGAATGTTGGGGGTTCACATCCTGCATCTTGGAAAAGTCCAAGTGCTAGAGCTGGGCTGAGAGCCCAATTCCCTCATCCCAGCTGGGAGTCCCCCATCCATGCTGGTGTCACCCCTTTCCCGATGATTTCGGGGTGATTTGGGGTCAGCTAGAGCTGGGCTGAGAGCCCAATTCCCTCATCCCAGCTGGGAGTCACCCCTTTCCCGATGATTTGGGGGTGATTTGGGGTCGCCCCCCTTCCCCAGGGCTGGGATCAGATGCCGGCTGTGGGAAGCAGGTCCTGGATCAATCCTGCATCCCCTGCGGGGCGCTGCCGTGGGCAGGATGGAGCCCGCCGTGCCAGGGAGCTCCACCTCCCCGGAGGTGCCACCTCCCTCGGGGACAGCATAAAGGACGAGCTGTGCCCTGTGCCCTGGCCAGTCCCAGCCCGGAGAGACCTCGGAGCAAGGGCCCCGCAGGGTAAGAGAGCCGGGAGAGGGGTGGGATTCCCCAAAATCTGGGGGATAACGGGGACTGATCCTCCCTGTCGAGGTCCAGAGGGGATGGAGAAAGATGAAACCAGCCCTGGAGGGGGTCTTTGGAGCTGGGAGTCCAAACCTCTCTGCTCTGCAGGGATTTGGGGTGCTTTTCCCAAGGAAAGAGCTTTTCCTTCCTTTTTATCATTTTTAGGAGATGCTGTGCTGATTGCTGAAGGCAGCGAGGCCCCAAATCTGCCCCAGAGAGGTAAGGTGACAGGGTCAGTGACAGTCCCCTGGGGCTGGGGGTGCTGCTGGGTGTGACTCCAGATCCCAGATTCCTGCTCTGCCTGAGCTCCTTCCCGCGGGAGCTAAAATGACAGATCCCAAATGCTGCGCCCAGCCCGGCCGAACCACCTGCACTCTGCGGGGATTTGGGGACAGAGGGACCCTCCCTGAGCCCCAGCCAGACCCCCTGGAGCCACCCCCAGCGCCCAGGACGAGGCCACCACAGTGCACGAGGGCTTTTATTATTTCATCTCCTATGTACAGAGCCGAGGTGGGGGGGGTCTCTCAGGGTTCGGGGGTCTCAGAGCAGGGGGTGCTTGCCCTGCTGCTGCTGCTGCTGCCGGTTTGCCAGGTGCATGAGCTTGAGGAGCAGATCTCCGGCCGAGCCATCCAGCACCGTCAGGTTCTTCTCCTCCTCCGCCGCCTCCTGAGCGCCCTGGTCCAGGCAGCCGGTGTCCATGGCACACGTGTCTGCCGCAGGAAGCAAAACGTGCCCGTGGAAAGGGTTATTTGGGATCGTCGGGGGCTCGTTTTCGGCTGGGGAAGGGGGTGGGTGGCAGCACAGTTCGTGCTCCAGTTTATCTCTCCTGCTAAGCAGGGAGCGGGGCTGGAATTTCTGGCACATCAGGGAGGATGTGCTGGCCAGGAAAAGCTCGTGGTGGGTCAGCAAGGAGCTGCGAGCCCAATCCTTTAAATCAGAGTGGTTTGGGTCGGAAGGGACCTTCAAAGAACATCTTGTGCCACTGATGCTCGGAAGGGAAACCTCCCACTGTCCCGGGATGCTCCAAGCCCTGTCCAACCTGGCCTTGGGCACTTCCAGGGATCCAGGGGCATCCACACCTTCTCTGGGCACCCTGTGCCAGGGCCTCCCCACCCTCCCAGGGAACAATTCCTTCCTTACAGTCAGCCTGAATCCAACCCTCCCCACATCATCTCCGGGCGCTTCCACTCCACCCCTCACCACCAAAACTAAACCACACCACAGACAACCTTCACCAGCCGAGCCCTCCCCGTGGCCATCCCCCCCTGCTCCCCGCGGTCCCCGCTGTCCCCTGGGGGTGTCCCGTGCCCGGTTACCGGCGGTGCAGCAGATGCCGGGCGCGGCGCAGCGGCCCCCGGAGCCGCAGGGCTGCCCGCCGGGCTGGCAGGGCGAGGGCAGCAAATCCTCCTGGGCACAGCGCCGCGTCTCCGCCGTGCCCAGGTAGCAGCCCAGCTCCGCTCCGCAGCAGATGCCGGGCCCGAAGCAGTTCCCTCTGTTGCCGGGACCGCAGGGCAGGCACTGCGGGAAGGAGCTGCCTCAGTGCCCGCACCCCAAACAAACCCTTCTCGCACCCCCTTGGATCAGAAATGCACCCCCGGGTACAGAAAGCGGCTCCCCACCAGCTCCTCTTCCAGCGCCTGGCGGTGCCACGCTGCCACCAGCAGTGGTGACCTCGTGTCCACGCTTTGGGGTGTCCCCATGACCTCCCTGTCCCCTCTCCGTGCGCTGTCCTGTCCTGCTCCCTGCCGGGCCTCTTCTCCGGGTGCCAACAGCGCTTTGGAGCTGTCACTCCCCCGCCACTGCCCCACCGCGTGTCCCCCTGCCACCCCAAAACCCCTCTGCTCCCGGCAGCGTGGCACAGCCGGCGGTGCCCAGAGGCGGCGGGGAGCACCCCCAGGCCACCCTGTCCCCTCCCGAAGCTCCATCCCGCGTCCCCAAGCGCCCATCCCGTACCTGTCGCAGAGCTGTGTCTGCCAGCGCCCGCTTGCCGCCCCGGGGGCAGTTCTGGATGTAGCAGGCGGAGGACAAGGCGAGGAGGCAGAGGAAGGAGAGGGGCAGCGAAGGCTCTGCCATGGTGCAGGGTGCCCGGGGAAGCTGCTCCAGCTGCGTCTGGCCCCGTGCTGAGGGAGCTGCTATTTATGCTGCCATCACCCCTTCCCAGGGGAGGAGGAGGAGGAAGAAGAGGGATGGGTTGGGTTGGTTTTTTTTGTTGTTTTTCCTTTTTTTTTTCTTTTTTTTTCCTCCCAAATCGCATCCAAGCAAATCTGTAATTGAGATGATTCAGTGCAGCAGCACTCGAGGCTGGTGAATCCCACCCTTGGCTGCTCCAGGGGGCACAGGCCAGCCCTGGGATGGACTTGGGAAGGGGCACTGGATGGGCTGGGGGTGGATCCAGGGAGAGATGATCCTTCAGAAGGTTTGGGGAGGGATGGGGGTTTGGAAGATGCAGTCTGGGGAGGGATGTGGATTTGGGGACAGATGTTCATTTAGGAGATGAGGTTTTGGGAAGGATGCAGATTTTGGGAATGGTGCTGGTTTGGGGGTGATGCTGGTTTGGGAAGGATGTGGATTTTGGTATGGGTGTTGGTTTGGGGGTGATGCTGGTTTGGGAAGGATGCAGATTTTGGGAAGGGTTTGGGGTGATGCTGGTTTGGGAAGGATGAGGATTTTGGGAAGGGTTTGGGGGTGATGCTGGTTTGGGAAGGATGCAGATTTTGGGAGAGGTGCTGGTTTCAGAGGGATGCTGGTCAGGGAGCAATGCTCATTTGGGGAGGAATAAGGGTTTGGAAGGTGCTGCTTTAGAGAGCGTTGTTTATTTGGAGGATTCTGATTTGGGATTGATACTGCTTGGAAGGATGCAGATTTTGGGAGAGGCGCTGGTTTGGGAAGGGATGCTGGCCTGAAGGGGGGATGGTTTGGGAAGGGGTGTTTGTTTGGAGCATGCTGGCCCAGGAGGGATGCTGGTTTGTAGGATACTGCTTTGTGGGACACTGGTTTAGGGAGGGGTGCTGCTTTGGGGAGGGGTGCTGCTTTGGTGGGATACTGGTTTAGGAAGGAATACTGCTTTGTGGGATGCTGCTTTGTGGGATGCTGGTTTGACTGATGCTGCTCTGGGAGGGGAGTGATGGGGTTGGGGCTGGGAGAGACCCCTGGGTGCACAAAAACACCCCAAACCCAGGGGCTGGGCTGCAGCATCGGGGTGCAGGGCAGGACCCTGTCCCCAGAGTGATCCATCAGTGTCACCCATGGCTCTCCTTCCACTTTTCCCTCTTCTCCAAGAACCCAGAAGGGAGGGAAAGCAATGGGAGAGGGGGGACCAAAAGAAAAGGCACCTCTGGGGTTGGCACCAGCACATTCATGTCACCCCTGGGCTGTCAAAAACATCTGTACAGGAAAAACACCATCAACAACCCCCTGCCCCATCCAGCCACGAACATTCCTGCTGTTCCCAGATCCCTTTTCCAGCTGCACCAGGGGCAACCTCAGCAAAGTGAAATTAATGCGCAGAGAGGAATCCGGTGCCTGTGAGCATCCACCCTCTGCTTCTCCCCCCCAAAAACGCTGGGACTGGCTCACAGTGACCAGGAGGGTTTGTCTGGGGAGGCTGGACAATGTGGGGGTGCTGCCAGCTGTGCTCCCACCTCTGGAGGGGTTTTATCCTTTCCTCATCCTCACATAAGGTGGGGAATTGAGGCAGAGAACCATAAACACCAGCCTGGACATCACTTGGGGTGGCTGAATGTGTTTTTTTCCTCCCCTCATTAGTTTCCCTCATTTTCTCCCCCTCATTAACATCCCTTTTCTGCTGGACAAACAGCCCAGCCCCACTTAGAGGGAGGGGAATGGTGGCACCCTGGGTGGGGAAGGGGCTGCTCTGCCTGAGCATCCCAAAGGAAATGGTGATCCCACTGCAATCCTCCCTGGAAAACCTTGCTGCTTGTTTCCAAGTGCTCGAGGGGGCTCAACCCCAGAGGGAAACTGAGGCACAAAGGGAAGTGCTTCATGTATCAGTGCTGGGGGGTCCCAGCCTGCTCCTGTGATTTTGGATTTACGGATCAGCCCGGGGGGTGGCAGTCCCGGGCTTGGGGGCTTGGCTGGGTGACACGAGGGTGATTTCCTCCCTTCCAGGGGGGTGAGGGCGGCCACAGCCCCTGACTCAGCTCTCCCTGGGGCCGGCGAGGTCCCAGATTTGCCCCGTGACGCCGAACCACCCACGCGGGGCAGCCGCGGGGGATTTACCTCCTGCCACCGCCAGCTCCAGCCTCCCTTCCCCATCCAAACCCATCCCTGCACAGCGGGAGCCCAAACCCACTTACGCTGCAGGGCCGGGGAGGACGCAAAAGCCCTCGGCTGGGAAAACTTTTCTTTAAAAGAACCCCAAATGTCAGCTCTAAATTGGGTGTTAGGCGCTCGTGCTCCGTCTCTTCATTACTGTATCGTAAAATTACATTAGCCGGGAACGATCTGCATTCAAATGACTCTGTGTCTGGAATGATAACGCAGGAATATGAGATTAAAATGTAATTATGCTCTTTAAAGTCAAGGAAGGTTAATAAAATGTTTTTCCGAGTTGCAGAGGCTCCGCAGCCGCAAGGCAGAATCACTTACGGGAATCAAGGGGAGGATGAGGTGGGAACGGGGAGGGGGAGAGGGGTAGGAAACACAAAACGGGGGCTTGGGAAGGGAAATTTGGGGTCACCTGGGGTGAGTCATGGGGTAAGGGATCCCAGGGGTGGGCAGGGCCAGCCCTGCTGGGCTGTGATGCTCCCTGGTACCCGGGATACTGCTGGGCCCCCATCCCACACCCTGCTCCCAACCGAGGCCTTGGGTTACTCAGATTCCTGCCCCAAATCCTCCAACACCAGCCCCAGGGCCCCTTCTCCGTCTCCAGCACTGGGTTGGCTCTGTCACATCCCTGCTCTTCCCTAGAGGATGCCTCTGACCCCCTAAGAACCCCCGAGGCTGTGGCTGGTGCCAGGGCACTCAGCAGGGTGTCAGTGGCTGCCATCCCCCTCCCAGCTCCCCTTGGGAATGAGGGAGATGCCAAAGGGATTGGGAAAGGGGCAGCACCCTCAAATCTGCCCCCTTGCTCAGCCAAAATACAGCCCCAGCTCTTGTGGACACCAGCAAAGGGGCTGGGGCTGCCAGAGGGGCTCAGCCGTGGAGATTGTGGAATCTTTGAGGTTGGAAAAGCGCTCCAAAATCATCCAGTCCATTAACGCAGCACTGCCAAGGCCACCAATAATCCATGTCCCCAATGCCACATCCACATGGCTTTTAAACCCCTCCAGGGATGGGGACTCCAGCACTGCCCTGGGCAGCTGTGCCAGGGCTGGACAGCCCTTTCCATGAAGAAATCTTCCCAAATATCCAACCTGAACCTCCCCCTTCCTTCATTAACAGCAGGAGCTTCGTTAGCTCTGGAGCCCCAGCGAGGTTTGTGGGAGTCCCTTTGGGATGGGGTGGAGGTGATGGAGCTTGGCTGCAGCACACAGAGCTCCCAGGGCCGAAGTTTCACCAGGATAAAGGAGAGGGACAACATTCCACCAGGATAATCCAGAGGATGTTGGCAATGGGATGAATTTCACTGATTTCTAGTGAGGATGAACCGGAGGAATGCTGGACAATGGGATGAATTTCACTGATTTCTAGTGAGGATGAACCGGAGGAATGCTGGAAAATGGGATGAATTTCACTGATTTCTAGTGACAACATTCCACCAGGATAAACCAGAGGAATGTTGGAAAATGGGATGAATTTCACTGCTTTGTGCATTTCCTGCCTTTGCCGTGGCTGGAGGGGGATGCAGCAGGGAAGGAGAAACTTCTTGAAGGCTCCAGGCTGGCGAGGGAGAGCTCCCTGCTCCTGCCTGGGGGCTCTGGTGCTCCTCAAATGGCTCTGTCACTGTCACCGTGGCCCCGTGGCTGACGGGAGGTGGGGAGGAGGCTCCTGCACCTCCTCCCCTCTCATCACAGATAAAGATGCTCCTCTGCTTCCCTGACAGCTGGAAAACAGCTTTGATGCCTCTTTAAAGGCAGCCAAGATTGGCTGGGGCACTGCTCTGATCGTTTCCACGGCCAAATCCATCCTGCTGGGCTGTGGACGTCACGCCGGGAGGTCACTGACCAACGAGGGATGGATTTGTCCCAAAAATGCTTGAAGGACAGCATTAGAGGAAATTGCTCAGGCTGCAATCAGCTCCATTCCCCAGCTCCCAGGGAGAGAGCAGGGTTGGGGCTGGGAATTAACGTGCTGGTGGCATCCCTGAGGGAGATGAAGAGGGATTGCTGTGGGTCCAGGCAGAGGAAATTCCTGGCTCTGTCATCCCCCATCTCGGGGTGCAGAGAGGGTCCCTGCTGCCCGCAGGGGTTTCAGGGGGACTCACACTCAGCTGGGGCAGGTGATCCTTCCCTGAGCTCCAAAAATGTGGCAAAATTTATCCCTGGATCCTCTGCAAGAGGGGACACAGCAGGTGAAATGTGCTGCCAAGGGTCCCAGAGGGTTGGGGAGGAGAAACTGGGGGATGAAGGCTCTGAGAACCTGCAGTGAGGTGGAGATGAGCCCTGATGTCCCAGCACCACCTTTTCCCTTCCAACCCCTGCTCCTGCCCCTCCCTGCAGAACAAAGGGAACCTGGAGGAAATTTGGGATGGCTCCCAGCTGGATCACTGCCCACCCTCACACACCACGAGGAACTTTTGGGCACTGCAGGGGTTGTCAGAACCGGTGGCTCTGGAAGCATGCGAGCTTTGCTGGCTCTGGTTGATGGCTTTGGTTGATGGCTCCCCATCCTCTCCCTGCCCTGGGGGAGGTGTGAGAGCTGAATCAGCCTGGGATGGCTCACTGCAAACACGACACCAGCACTGCAATGGAGTGCATCTACTGCCTCTGAATCGTGGCGTTTTTAGGAATTTTGTGCCTATTTTCTGAGCGTTTATTATTTTAAGAAGTGTGGTTTTCTATTTTTGCAGGGAATGGAGATGGGCTGACGCAGACAGGGTCAGGATCAGTGTGGGGCCAGCACAAAGCAGCTCCTTCCCATGCCAGAACACGACAACTTTGCTCAGGTGCCTCTTGGAGGCAAATAAAAGTGTGACCAAGGTGAGCTGAGTCAGCTGGAGGCTCTTATGGCCCAGAACAGGGGGGTGTGGAGGTGACAACCCCTTGATGTCACCGTACCCTGGCATATCCAGGACAGGACATAGCCAAGTTGTTTTTTGTCTGGCTTTTTTCTGAGCAGCTCTCTGAAGCCCCCGTGGGTGCAGGTGTCTGAGTCTCATCCCTGTGATGCACGAGGCTGCTGCCAGGACCCCTCTGAAACCCCTGGCCTGCAGCTCCTCTGTGGTGGTTTGGCTTTTTCCTGCCTCTTTAATTCCTCCTCTGCCAAGAGATTCACTCCATGACACCATTAAGCCTCAGGATGAGATCAATTAGCAGCCAGAGACAGAGAGAACCTGACTTTAAACATTTTATTAAGGCTTAAATGTCTATCAGGCAGCCAGGAGCTGGGCTGCTCACACGACATAAACCGAGGGTGGGATGGGATGGCTTTTCTACAAGAGTCTGGATGAGCAGGGTGAGATCACTGCCAGCTCCTCACACCTCAGCCTCTCCTGCCGATTCCAGGGTGAGACACCCCCAGCAGGGAGGCACAGCGAGGTGGGGAAGGGGAGGAAGCCGGGGGGGGGCTTTGTTTGTCACTCACAAGGGCTTTACCTGCTCCACAGCCGGGTGGCTGCTGGTCACACGTGGCTGAACTCACAGGGGGGAAGCTGAGCTGGTCCAAAAGGCACCTGTGCTAAACCTCTGAGCCCCGGGGCAGCGCTCGGACACCAGTCCTGGATAAATACATGTTCCTTGGATAAAGAAGCTATGGCTTTTGTCATCCTCGGGCTCTAACCCCCCACCCCCCACTACTCCGTAAGCACAACACCGAGTGAGTCCTCTCCGCTCTGCGGCTCCCGGGCGGCTCCGTGTGGACACGGGGCACAGCAGCAGCTCCTCCTCGTCCCGCCGGCAGCCCCGGGGCTCAGAAGTGAACCCTCCTGACGTCCTGCGAGGCCGCAGCCCTCTTGCAGCTCCCGCAGTGGATGGGGGAAGCCGGAGCCTTCTGGCGCTCGGCCAGGCAGGGCCGGCACTCCAGGTGCCCGCAGGGGAGCTGGTACACCGGCTCTGCCTTGAAGTAGCAGGAGAAGGATTTGCCACAGGAAGCACACGCCTGGCTCTGGCTGCTCCTGCCGTGCTCTGCGAATCCAGAATCAGAGAATCAGCAGGTTGGAAAAAGTGAAGCAATGTCCAGGCTTTCCTGGTGATTCCAGCCCCTCCCGAAGTCTGATCCCTCCAGTCTGAACCTCCCCTGGCACAGTTGGAGAGTATGAAACAAAGGGACAGGAGAAGAGGATTAGGCAGGGAGTGTGAGAAGTGCCACAGGTCCTGCAGGCTCAGGGCACAGCTGTGACTCAGGACTGTGCCAGTCTGCTGTCACCAGGAGAGGGAATGGTCCAGCTCCCAGGGCAGGGTGTGCTCGGAAAGGGATGGATCACATCAGCACTGGCACAATCAGGCTTTTAATTGAGGACAGATGACTGTAAAAAAGGGCTTTTCACTTTTACTGAGATGCAATCAGCCTGCCTTCCGCTGCCATTCCCAGGTGGAACAGCTGAGGGGACACTTTGCATTCCTGTCACACACCACCCGTCCAGGGCTGCTCAGCTCTCCAACAGCAGCAGTTTCAGAGGGGACAGGAGAAATCTGAGGAGCTGAATGTCACTGTGAAACAGCAGAGGCTGTGTGGGGAGGGGAGAGAGGCAAAAACAGACACAGACAGGTGGACAGACAGACAGACACAGCCCTTCCCTGGGTCCCTCTGGAGCCCCTTCCCAGCCATGGGCAGGCAGAGCCTCACCCAGGGGAGCGAAGCCAGGACATGTGGAGGGACATGTGAAGGATCAGTGCTTCCCTGCACCCCAAAGGAATCACTCTGGGAATGCATGCACAGCTGGAGGAGTGGCTGGGCAGCCTGGATCCTGCACACTCAATCCTGATGGGATTTTGGGCACACACACAGCTGGCTGGCCTGGGGTGCTGCTGCTGTCACCTGCTCCTGCTGAGGGCTGGATGTCACACGGTGCTCCAAACAATCAGGGAATGGTTTGGGTTGGAAGGGATCATGAAGCCTCCATCCCATTCCACCCCCTGCCATGGCAGGGACACCTCCCACTGTCCAGGGTGCTCCAAGTCATGCCCAACCTGGCATTGGGCACTTCCAGGGATCCAGGGGCATCCATAGCTGCTCTGGGCACTCTGTGCCAGGGCTCAGCACCCTCACAGGGAACTATTTCTTCCCAATATCCAATCTCACCCTACTCTTTTAGTTCACAAACATTCCCCCTTGTCCAGTCTGTATAAAAAGGGACTCTCCCTCTTTTTCCCAAGGCCCTTCCAAGCACTGGAAGGCTGCAGCATTTGCTGGGTTTACATCTCACAGCAGACTCATTCTCCACCCTCGTGGCAGCTCCCCCTGCTCCACACAGCTCACAGGCACCACTGAACCTCTCAGCCCAAACTGCAGAGCTCAGGGAACAGCCTGAGCTGAGCTGGAGCAGGCTGAGCACTGTGTCCATCCCAGACCATCCTGGGGCAGCACAGCCAGCCAGGAACATGGGAGAATCACAGCACTGGTGCCACAGCCTGCCCTGACCCTGGGCATGGACAAGGTCAGCAAGGTCTGACCTGCCTCAGTGAGAGAATGAACCAGCAAAACTGCTCAGACAGAGGCAAGGATTGTGAAGTAAAGCTTGCTGGGAGGCAATGTAATATTGTTATATGGAATAAATAAAAGTCTGGGGTGTGAACAATCCCTGCTATCCCAGCCCCAGCTGCCAGAGGTGCTCCAGAGGTGCCTGCTGCTCACCAAGGACTGTGCCCAGGCTCCAGGAAGTGCTGCAGCCCCCCTCTCCTGGAGCCTGCTGCTGGCTCTTCATCAGCTTGGCCGTGAAGGAGGGCATGGAGCTGAGAGCTGAGGTCAGGGCAGTGTCCAGGCTCTCCGACAGCTTCTGCTCGTGGGACACCAGCTCTGCAAAGGAACACAGAGAGCTGGTGTGCAAAGGGAAAAACAGAGAAACCTGGTGTGCAAAGGGAACAGAGAGAAACCAGGTGTGCAAAGGGAACAGAGAGAGAACAGGTGTGCAAAGGGAACAGAGAGAGATCAGGTGTGCAAAGGGAACAGAGAGAAACCAGGTGTGCAAAGGGAACAGAGAGAAACCAGGTGTGCAAAGGGAACAGAGAGAGATCAGGTGTGCAAAGGGAACAGAGACCTGGTGTGCAAAGGGAAAAACAGAGAGAGCAGGTGTGCAAAGGGAACAGAGACCTGGTGTGCAAAGGGAACAGAGAGAGAAACCAGGTGTGCAAAGGGAACAGAGAGAGATCAGGCGTGCAAAGGGAACAGAGAAAGCAGGTGTGCAAAGGGAACAGAGAGAGATCAGGCGTGCAAAGGGAACAGAGAAACCAGGTGTGCAAAGGCAACACAGAGAGACCAGGTGTGCAAAAGGAACAGAGAAACCTGGTGTGCAAAGGGAAAAATAGAGAGAGCAGGTGTGCAAAGGGAAAAACAGAGAGAGCAGGTGTGCAAAGGGAACAGAGAGAGAAACCAGGTGTGCAAAGGGAACACAGAAACCTAGTGTGCAAAGGGAAACACGAGCTGTGCAAAGGGAACAAAGGGAATAGAGAAACCAGCTCTGCAAAGGGAAACAGAGACCAGGTGTGCAAAGGGAAATGGAGACCAGGTCGGCAAAGGAAAACACCAGGTCTGCAAAGGCAAGAAAAAGAAGGAGAAGCAGATGCTGGGAAAAAGAATCTGTGATGCAAACACTGCCTTGGCTCTGAACCTTGGAGGATTTTAGGAGCCCTGCCACTAGTTTTGTTGAGAGGTCTCTTTTCCCCACCAAGGGGCCAGGATTTGGGGTGGAGTGCCTCTGCTTTGGGTCACAGAGGTGAAATGCCCTATGCATCATCACCATTCATGTAGTGCCCCAGTGCCAACTTACACAGGACCAGAATAATTAATAATTTAGGGTGGAAAAGTCCTCCAAGATCATGGAGTCCAGCACTGCCAAGGCCATCACTAAATCATGTCCCCAAGTGCCACACCCACATGGCTTTGAAATACCTTCAGGATGGGCAGCCTGTGCCAGGGCTGGAGAACCCTTTGCACCAGGGAATGTTCCCTAATACCACCCTAAACCTCTCCTGGCACACCCTGAGGCCATTTCCTCTTGTTCCCTGGGAACAGAGCCTGACCCCCACCTGGCTGCACCCTCCTTCCAAGGAGTTGTAGAAGCCTGCAGGACTGAAAAAGGACCAAACTCCAAACAACCCAGGAAGCTGTTTTTCCCTGAAATCCCAGCTGGCTCCCGAGGTTCCCAGCCCAGTGCTGCCAGCCTTGCTCCACGCAGCTCACAGAGAACATTAATAAAATCTGTGGGACTTGTTTTTCCCTCTCTGTCCCAGTTCTGAGCCACGGGGCCAGGGCTGGACCCTCCCTGCAGGGCTGCCCTGTGCAGCACCGACGGCGCTAATTGAGACGAGGCATTAAGAGAATGTTGTCTGCATCACTAATTCTGTTAAATCCAGCTCCCAGAGGAAGAGCTCACAATTGGTGCTGCACATTTCCTCCACCAATCAAGGCTGATGATCCAGTGAAGCACGAGCTCCATGGGCTGAGCACTCTGCTGTTATTTATGTATGGACACGGCTGCCCCGGGAGCTCCAGGACCCACAGGGCAGCTCCTGCTCCTGTGGGGCTGGGGCACATCCTGGTGGGAGCTGTCACACACCCCCACGGCCAAAACAACCAAAGATTCCTCCTAAAGCAGGGAATGAGCTCTAGGCTGAGGGATCAGAGCAGAAATGTGCAGTCTGGCTTCTCCCTACTCTTCCTGACATCAATTATTTTCAAGTGAAGAATTTTTTTTTTAAAATCAGCCACCTAAGCTTTGTCCTCAAAATGTTTTTGGGCAGACTGAGAGAACAGACCACACTGGGTTGGAGCACTCCAGGAGACTGGGCTACCTGCCCAGAGAGCCAACCATGAAATCCCCCACACCTGGATTTACCCTTTGTCCCCAGGTGCCACATCCTCATGGCTCTGAAGTCCCTCCAGGCATGGGAACCCCAGCACTGCCCTGGGCAGCTGTGCCAGGGCTGGACAACCCTTTCTGTGAAAAAACTGTTCCCAATATCCAACCTAACCCTCCCCTGGTGCAAGCCTTGTCCCCTCCTGTCCCTGATCCCTGGGAGCAGAGCCTGACCCCACCTGGCTCCCCCCTCCTGTCAGGGAGTTGTTGACAACAACCAGGTCCCAGCTGAGCCTCCTTGTCTCCAGATTTGCAGGACATTTTGCATTCCCAGCATCACTGAGAAAGGGATGGATGAAGGGAAACCAGCAGCCTTTCCCTTCCCCTGCAGCCACAAGTCACATTTCTTGTCTCATTCAGCCTCTACCAGGTTTTCTGCTTTAACCACCTGCAAATTCTGTACAAGTGTCTCCCAGGCTGAGCTGTCCCTCCTGCTGCAATTCCCTTGCTGTGGTTTGTTCTGTGCCCCATCCCTGCTCTCCTTCCCACCTCCCTCCTCATGATGAGCCAGGACTCCCTGTGCCATCACCACTGCAGCACCAGACATTTCTTTTCCTGTTTTTTGCAGGAATAAATCCCCCTGGATAAAGAAACTTCAAACCAGGACGGTGAGGAAAATATTGTCTCCACATGGAAGGAAGAGAAAGAAAATCCAAACTAAAAGGGGAACAGGGTGACCTGAACAAACAAAGGCTGTGAAACACTGAACAAGGAACATGGCAGGTGGATGAAATGACCCAGCTCCACCAGCCAAACACAGCCTGGAAGCTTTCTAGAGGTGTGATGGGAACTTGCACTGGATTTGTCCTGGTTTGAAACCCCAGCCTGGGGCTGTCCCACCACTCAAGGACAGGTGACCTGGGGAGCCACGATACCTGTGGAACAGTCCATCTGGATCAAGTGGGACTCACTGTCAGTTTTCATTTTTTTAGCACTGTTCTCTGAGGTAGCAGTGACAAGTAAGTTTGTAGCAGAAAAATAGGGCGGCTGCAGGGAGCCCTGATCCATGCAGTCCATTTTCCTTTTCAGAGAAGACATGGTGATGGAGGAGGGCACCAGGCTCTCCGGGGCGTGAGCCCTCCCCAGCAGGTTGGTGCCAGGGATGCTGTGCTGCAGCAGGAAGTGGTCTATCCTGGCCTTGAGGGTGGGGTGAGGTAGGGGCTGTGAGTGCTGGCTGAAGGCCACGCCCGTGAAGGGATCGCTGGGAACTCGGCCCCAGGACGCCTCGCTCCGGTTGCACTTCTCCAGGGTGCTCTGGTCAATCACCTTCCCAGAGGGCAGCAGCATGGGTAAGGTCATGATCTCCAGAGTGATGGGGTCCAGGAATTCCTCAGGGATGTCTTGGACCACGTCCACCAGCTTGTGCAGGGTCTGCTGCTCGTTGGCACTGAAGGGGACGCAGTCGCTCTCCATCGGCGTCCAGAGCTCCGGCTTCAGGCTGCCGCTGTCCTGGGCCAGGAACTGGGAGGCCACCTGGAAGACGCCCTCGATCACCTCCTGTGGGCAGGACTTGGCAGGCTGTCCCCACACCTCCAGCCTCTTGATGCTGGGCAGGCCCCCCCCGGCCACGTGGGTGATGCAGATTTTTAGGTGGGACACGTTGCTGAGCGAGGCCGGCCCCTTGTTCCAGAGATCCTGGGACACCGAGCCGGGGTAGGAGAAGACATTTTCCATCTGATGGAAGGGAGGCCTCGGCTTGAAGCCTCTGTGGCCAAAAGTCACTTTGCTCTGATTTTTTAAGACAGCTTTGCCCACCAGAGTGAAGGTGTCCTTGTCCGACACGGGCTGCCCGGGCAGACCTGATCCCTGCCCCTCAGGGCTCTGCCAAGAGGTTTTGTTGCATGAGGTAGAGGTGTAAACTTCCAGCCCGGAGAAGGTCTGGTAGCCCCCGGAGGAGACGTCGATGTTGATCCTGCAGATCTCCACGTTGAAGGGGAAGGAGATGGTGACGTGCACCGGGGGTTTGATGAAGTACTCGCTGCGGAAGCCGCGGTTCCTCCTGGCCAGGTCCTCGGAGATCAGGTTCTCCACCTCGTAGCCATCGGCTGAGATCTGCGTGCCAGACCAAAACTGGGGTCAGGTTGGAGCAAGGAAACACAAGGAAGGCAGTTTCACAAATCCAGAGATTCTCAGGATGACACCAACCAGGAGCCAAGGCTGAGGGTTACGTGCCGAGCAGCAGATCCCTGCTGGAAGGCAGAGCACTCCCACCCTCCGCCCTCCCCTCTTCCTGCACCCTCTGTCACCATGGGCAGACCTGACTTAACTGCTGGAAGAGTGAAAATTAGGGATAATTTGTGGTTTTGGCTGGGTCAGTGAGATAAGTCAGGGAGGAGAGGGTGGCTGGGAGCAGAGGATGAACGTAGGGAAGGTGGGAATCTCCTCTCTCAGTCTCCCTATTTAGGAACTCCTGATTTTCTTTGTGCCTACTTATCCACGTGGAAATGCACTTGGAATCACAGTTACAGAGTCCCAGAGGAACTCTGGATGTTAATCAGCCTCTGGGAGCCACCCCACCCATCCCTGAGGGAGATCCATCAATGCAGGCTGGGTCTGGTTTGGAGCATCCCATCCCACCCTTGCTCTGCTCTTGGGCAGCCTGGTTCAATCCATTCCCTTTCCTGGGAGCCCCAGGCTCTGAGAAATGTGCAGCACTTGCTGAATGGACAAATAAAAACGAGGAAAATCTATCTATTCCACCTTTTTAATATGGTTTTGAGCACGACAATCACACCAAACCTCTGTGGCATGGCTGGGTCTCTCCACAAAAAATTCCAGCACTGCTGCTTTTGCATCACAGTTTTTAGAATGCCAAGGCTGTCCTGGATTTTGGAGTGAGTTGGTGTGGAAACTTACAACTAAAAAACAGATTTGAATGAAAACCGAGTTTCTTAAAGAGATTCTGATGTGCTGAGTGAAACCAGAAATACTTGGAAGGTAACTTCACCGAGTTATCATTTCACAGTTTCACATTAATTGATAATTTCACATTATCAAGAGCTGTGAGTTCCAATGGGCAGAGGGAAAGTTGGAACATTGCAGGGAAAAAGAGATCTCAAGTCAAAGAACTTATACCTGAAAGCACATCATGCTGTCTGGTTATGAGGTCCTGCAAAATTTGGGCTTTTCCCTCCAGTATTTAGTGTGTGCCACATCAGAGCAGTGATGCTGATTATCCCAGAGGAGCAGTGAACCAACTCCCCCCCAGGATAATTCCACCTAATCCCTCCATCCCTCCCACTCCCCAAAACACCCTCCTCACTATTTTACCTTGTTGCAGTGAATTCTTGGCTTGAACTGTGGGAGACAGACGTTTATTACCATCTTGGCAGCTGGAGACAGGTCACTTGCTGAGCATCAGAGTCAGCTTGGAAAAAAGAAATTAAAAATAAAGGAAGTGAATATCCATGAGCAGTGAAGGGACCTCGTGTTTTGGGTGAGTTACAGGATTGGGATTTCCTAAAATGCAGCTCAGATCTGAGTGCAGGAGGTGAAGCCAATACAAACCCAAATGAATGTGGTGGAGAGATGAGATTGAGGGGAAAAAAAATCACATTAATATTAATTAGTGAACCTGTGGAGAAAAAGCAAAAATAAAATGGCTATTTTAACTAAAACCTCCTATGAACAGATCAGTAATTAGAGCTGAAGGTTTATCAAAGATGCAGGAGTTCTGCAGGTGCAGAAAAGCACCAGCACAGCACAGGAGGCTGTCACAGTGAGTCAAGATTAACCACAAATATTAGTAATTGGTGTTAAATAACTCCAAGGGAGCAGAGGGCACGGAGTAGCTCTGAGGGAGATGTCTGGGATCTGAACACCAAATTCTTCTGCCAGCATTCGTTAAAGAAACTCAACTGAACACACCTTCTTTCCCATTGAAAAAAAAACAAAACCAAAAGTGACTGGAATTGGCTGTCTCAGATCTCTTTTAAGAATGAAATTATCTGTGAGGTGAGAGCTTTAACCTCATGTTAACCCCAACTTTAAAATGTCACTGCCCTGGGCAACCTTGCAAATGAGGGACTCGCTGCCTCCTTCAAGAACAAGCAGCTCTTTAATGATTTTCCACTGATCTGTTGGTTCAGCCCAAATGAAATTGGCCTTTGGGGGCACGTTGGAAAGGCAGAGTTAATGAGCTCCCTGTGCTGCATCTGCAAGGAGAAAGGTGGAATTCAAGGCACAAATCCCACGGATAAAACCCAACCCAAGAGCACCTGCAGAGAGCAGAGCTTGGTCACAATGCCTTGAAAATGAAGCAGGTGTGAAGAGGAACGGGCAGGTGAGCAGCACTTCCATCCCAAAATTTGTCTGGCAGCCATCAGGAGCAATTCCTGCTGCTCAAGGAGCAGGACAAGCACACGCCAACTCTCCTCCAACACTACTTTCCTGTCTTTCTGAGTCTGAAAATTTCTGGGCTGCCAGTGGGGAACTGTTTCAACTGGTCTGACTTTTGGAACTCACATCTTGCAGGAGACTGACAGTTCACCTACAGGCTGCACCTCAAAACTGCTCTTTTTGCCTCATTTTGAACCAAAAGTGGTAAATTCACTTGGCCCTCAGCACTGGTGTTATGACAAGTGGCAAACCAACTCTCCTTGCTCCCTTCCTTGGGAAAACTCAGGATTCTCCCCCTGTTCTCTCTCTCCTGGGCTGAAGATTTCTCCTGCAACATGAGGAGCTCTGTGTGGTATTTTATAGGATTTGCTCCTGTTTGTGACCCTGAGAGACTCAGGTTAATTTTTCCAGTCTCAATAACAGCCAGTAAGAAAACTTCTTAGTAAGAAAATGGATTATTCTGCATTTCCAAGTCACTGCATTCCCTTCTACTGAAAGACTGCTACAAATCTCATGGCAAAAGTTGAGTCACTAAGTTGGCTTTTACTTATGGCTGGATTTTTTTTCCCCTCTCTTCAGTGTGTGCCTTCCCTAAGGTGAACAAAGATCTTTGGACTGAGGCAGTGAAACACAGACCTGAAAAGAATCCTCAGTGGTTTTGGACGAGGAGTTTTAAACAGACTGTCTGGAGTTTGTCACCACAACTCTTCCTGGTGTCCTGTGTGGGACTATGGAGCTGCTGCATGGTGGACACCAAATAAAGTCCTTGGAGCATGAAAAGTCCTGAGGTCAGAGCACCCCAAGCCTCACTGAGGAGAAAGCCAGGCTGTGCCCTCAGCCCCAGCCCCATGGGGATGGAAACACAAGGAAATAGCTGTGTGTGTGCTCCTGGCACCCAGCTCAGCCTCATGACTATACATGCTCTGTTCCTGCTCTCACAGAGGCACCAAATCCAACCACTCTCATTTAGGGTGGAGAAAGAAGCAACCACAGTGAAAAATGAATCATTAGGAGCTTTTATTTGTGGTGGAAGTATCTGAGGATCCAGGTACAAAAGGAGAACATGGGAAGTACAGATGTCACCAGAGCAGAAATGGCCACAGAGCAACAACTGAGCCAACAGCCAGAGACCATTTCACCCAGCACCCAGGCACGGAGATGCACTGGGGAGGTTCTGAGCAAGCCCCTGCCCCACTAGGCAGCCTTGGTGAGCAGAGCTGGGCAGAACACTTTGTAGTGGAGGTAGCTGAGCTTCTCGGAGCGCGTACGCTTGAGCAGAGGGAACCATTCCCAGAAGGGAATCTCCACCACGGCGTAGCCCAGCAGCCGCAGCTGCCGCCGCTTCAGGCAGTGCAGCCCCAGCAGCCGCCTGGAGCCGTAGCAGAAGTGGTTCCTGTTGGACACCTGCAGTGCCAGCCTCACCTCCCCAGGCTGCCAGAGCCCTGGTTTAGGCTCAGCTTGTGATGTGGCACCTGCAGAAAGGGCTCCACCCAAGCACAGCGTGCCTGTTGTGTCCCCTCTCTCCTGTCCGGGAATCCCGGTGTCATTTCCCACTTCTGTGGGACGCTGGTTGTGAGCTCTGCCCTGTAAGAGCTGGGCCATTAAATCATCTGTCAGACTAACTCCCATGTCTCTCAGCTTCTTGGCTGCCACAGGAGCCTTGAAGTTGAAAGGGATGGGACGTCCATCGGCGGCCAGACGCACCTCCAGGTCGCTGGACCGGGTGTGGGGCAGGATCATGTGGTTCTTCACGTACTCAGGGCCTCCCAGCATGCTCTCCAGGAGGGACGTGGCTTCCACAATTTCAGGCCTGACGTAGATTTCCCTCTCTGCAAAGCTTGAGACCATCTCAGTGAACTCCTGACAAAGCTGAGGGGTGAGGTGGCTGCCTTGGTAGGTCGGGCACTCGATTTCAACGCTCTTACCAAGGGTGAACAGGTCCTTCTTGAGCTCGTATTTGCTACCTCTGGTTTTCTGGACAAACTCCTCCCTCAAAGCAAAGTCTATCAGCTCCTCTGGGAAGCGTTTGACAAAAGCCAGGCCGAGCAGAGCAGTAAGGAGATGCTCTGGAAACTTGCTAAACTCATGGAGTTTTGCATGCAATTGCTTTATCAGGCTGGAATAAAACTCCTCCTCATTGGGAGGTTCATAGTCCAGGCACCCAAACGACCACAGGAATTTGGCAGCATCCTTGCTCCGACAGTAGGACACCTTGGAAGGCAATGAGGTGGCTACAGCAGCCAAAACATCCTCGTCAAAGAAGTGCAGTGCTGAATAGGTGAGAGTGATGTGCATGATGCCCTGGATGTTTGTTGCAGGAATCCGAGCAGGAATCACCCTCCCGAGCTCCCTCATGAGGGGCAGGTGGTCCATGCGGGTGTAGCGCAGCATCTTGAGCACGTTCACCAAGGCGTAGGTGCTCATGTCCTCCATCTGCAGGGACACCCTGTCTGCAATCCTCCTCATGACATGCTCAGAAATCCCACTGAGGGACTTGAAGAGCCCCAGGCAGATGGCACCCAGCTCCTCCAAGGTGAAGGCGTCCAAGTGCTTCAGGATGGTGCTCTCCACCTTCTGCGCCAAGTCCGCGGGCGACCTCCGGCCTTCCCCGATGATGTAAAGGAGCTGCACAAACTGGGGCAAGGTGAGGTTCTTCCAGTGCAGGTTGGCATAGCTGAACAGAATGCCCAGGTAGGAGGGCACGCTGCGGTCCAGGCAGCGCCAGCAATCGGCCACCAGCAGCAGCTGCTCCAGGCCCATGTCCCACGCCCGCCGGCAGAACTCGGCCTCGCACGCGTTGAGCAGGGGGTGGGAGGCTGGCATGGCCAAGGGGACACAAGCCTTTAAAATCTGGATGAGATCTGGGGTGCTGAACAGCCTGATGGCCGTGACAGCTCGGTGGCACAGGGCACTGAACCTGGCGTCGGACACCAGCGCCGCGCGGCGCTCCGCTGGCAAACGGCTCAGCCTGAGGAAATAATCCGTGAGAGCTCCTGGGCTGCACTCACAGCCAGCCACACTCTGTAAAATGCAGTCCCCTTCCTCTGCAGGGAGGGTCTGTGCTGGCTCAGCGCTGTCACAGGTGAGAGCTCTGTACTCAGGCCTGCCCTTCTGGAACGTGCGGGGGTCCTCCTTGGAGTCGTGCACTTCCCGTTGCTCCTTCTCTGCTTCCTCCTTGTACAGCGTGGCCGGGACGGTCTGCTCCAGGAGCATGCTGGCCTTGGGCTTGGGCAGGGCATTCCTGACGGGTGGCAAAGCTTGGGAAGAGGCAGTGGGGAATGTCTGTGGAGCCTGCACAGTGCCAGGGCAGGTGAACGTGTCACCAAGGGCCTGGCTGCTGTCCCTATCCCCGTGCTGCTGTGTGCCAGCCCTGCCTCTGGCATAGGCAGCTGGATTGTACAGCACCCTGTAGTCCTGTGGCTTCAGCAGCTGGATTGTAGCCCCTGATTCAGTCCCAGCCTTGGCTGCTCCTGGCTTATCTCTCTTTTCCTTCTTGCTTTTGCTGCTCCCACGCTCGGCCTTGCGCTCGGCTGTGGTGGAAATCGCTGTCACCCTGCCCAGCCTGGGCAATCTTCGGCACATTAGCACCGTAGCCATGGGTCTCAACTTTAGTGGGGCTCAGAACTGCTTCCAGGTACTGAAAAAAGGGCAGACGGAGAGTCAGAGGCCTCCACCTCACAGGCAGCACCTTTTAATCAATCCTTTAGCTACCCCAAAGGGAGGTGGCACCGGTGCCTCCCCTGGCCAGGGCAGCTGGGTCCCTGCAAAGCCACTATGGAATGTCACCTCATGCAAAGGCAGCTCAGGATGAGCTCCCAGGTGAGATGGGCTTGGAGTAGAAGGCAGCCAGGCATGACCTGCTACTCAGCAGATACAAGAAACCTGGCACAGATAGGAGAGTTAAGAAAAAAAAATCATTGTTTTTTCATTTTTAAGAGATCCAAGCTGCTTGTCTTTCATTCTGAACAACAAAAATGTGTTTTTGTAGCAGAGCTGCAGCTTCAAGAAGCTTTGTGTGTTCAGACAGAGCATTCTGCTGCTTTGGTCAGCGTGGTCTAAATCACTGACCACCACCTGAGAAGCTGTCCAAACATCCACGGTGCCCTCTGCACCTGGAGACAAGATGTGGAGCAAAATCTCCACAGAACCAGTGCAGAGAGTGAAAGCTGGCCCAGAACCTGCAGATGGAGGTGGGAGGAATGAAGAAAGTGGGAAAGTGGGAAAGAGCAGGGGAGAAGTAACACAAATCATTACGTGATGCTACATCCCAGGAACAGAGCTTTAAGCTTCAGATTTGAGAGCATTTCCAAGAGTTTTAGGGTAGAGGAGGCTTAAAAATGGCTGGTGCCTTCCTAACTCCTGCCTGAAGCTGCTACACAGGAGGGTGAGGATGAGAAATCCGTGGGAGTCCAGCTGGGCGCTGCCAGCCTGCACTGGCTGCCAAAGCAGCCCTGTTTACCACCAAAAAAAAAATAATAAATAAAGCACCAGGTGTCAGATTTTCCCCTCAAATCCTTATCTCACCCAAATATCCATCACACAGGTGTTATCCAGCTCCTGAAAACCCCTCAGTACCACACGGAGCTGGGCAATCGGGAAAGGCAAAGCCTGGCAGAGATGCTGCCACTGCAAAACACTTTGTGCTCCCCACACAGAAATGGAGATGAATCCTCAGGGACAGCCCTGGGAGCTCTGCTTGTATCCACAGCTTCCTGAGCAGGGATGGAGCAAGATGTGGGATCAGTGCAGGCAAACTCAGCTTTGCAGCAGCAAAATGGGCACTTTGGGGCACAAGAGGTGGGCTTGGGGTGTGTGAGCAGCACAGTGTGCTGCTCTGGCTGAGCATAAACTGGATTTTTTTTGGTGTGTAAGGATCCAGGAACACCTTCCACTTTCCCAGGATGCTCCAAGCCCTGCTTGGACACTTCCAGGGATGGGACATCCACTGCATCTCTGGAAGCCTGTTTTACTGAAGGAGATGAGGAGATCTTGCATCCTCTGCTCCATGGGCACAGCTTGGAGGCAGCAAACACCAGCCAAGAGGGAGGAGAAGATGCTGGAGCAGAAACCACCCCAGCAGAGAGGTGAAAAAAACAGCTGGGCTGGGACCAAGAGGTGCTGGGGGGGTTGAGAGAAAAGAAAGGGAAAATGAAATGTGGATTTGTGGGGAGAGCCATGCAAGGAGGAGGGTACAAGAGAGGCCAGTGTGGTTTTAGGGTGATCTGTAAATGTTGTGAGCTGCTCAAAAACGCACTGGGCACTTTTATCTGTACCTCCAAACACCCTGAGGCAGCCCCAGGAGCACATCAGGCTCTGTCCCACAGACCCCAGGCTGTTCCAAAGCTGTCACTGTCCCATCCCAGCAAGAGAAGTCAAATCCTGCCAGGCAGGAGAGACTCTGCCCCTTCCTGCCTGTCTGAGGAGCAGGGAACGGAAAAACCTCAGAAGCTGGACAGGAAAACACAAACCAAGAGCTGGATTTCAAAGCTCTCCTGCTCAGCTCAGGGAATGTCTGATAAAATGATCACTCCTGGCTCTAGGGGCTGTGGTGTCCAGCCTGAAGGGGCCTCGTGCTGGAGACAGGGGACAAGGGGACAGCACCTGCCTGGGGGAAGGAGAAATCCCCTCAACATCTCCTCCTCCAGCACCTCACACAGCCTGGACCATTAGAGGGGTTGGACCAAGCTCCCAAAATCACCTTGAACAAGAGGAGGGTGATCCAGGCGAGCCTTTCCCAGAGATTTCCTTGTGTGACTCGACTTTTGAGCACCTTTATCCATTTTTGTGCTAACAAACCCCAGGTTATTGACATAAACCAACCCCTCCCTGCTGTGAAAGGAGATTCTCCCCAGGAAATCCAGCCCTGCTGCTCCCAGAGCCCCTCCCAGCAGCAACAGCCCCAGCTCAAAGGCAGGGAATCAAAGGCCTGGGGAATGTGCTGCCAAGAACAGCTCCACATCCTGCAGGGCCTGCCTGTGGAGCTGGGACACATTTGGGAATCCAGGCAGTGCAGAGGCTGCTCCTCTCCTCCTTTGCTCCACATCCAGCCAAAAAGAGAAGAGCACACACAGCTGAGTGAGGCTGGGGTGGGACAAGACAGCTCCAAGCACCCTCAAGGGCAACGGGGCTGCTCCAAGTGATTTTTCCCTGATTTCTCCCTCCCCTGGCCCAAATCTTTGTGATCTTTCCAGTTTCCAGACCACTTCTCCTCCAGCTCCACCCACACTTCCCCTGGATTTGCCCCTTCCCTTTCCTTTCCTTTCTTTTCCTTTCCTTTCCATTCCTTTCCTTTCCTTACCTTTCCTTTCCTTTCTTTTCCTTTCCTTTCCATTCCTTTCCTTTCCTTTCCTTTCCCCCCCTTTTTTTTTTCTATAAGTTGTTAAAATTTATCTTTTTTTGTGGGAGTGTAGTTGGTTTTACATTTTTTGCAGCTTTGACTTTAAACTTTTAGTGGTTGGTTTGGAGTGTCCCCAGGTATTTCTTGTTAAAGGTTTTAAGATAAACAATGGTTTTTGGTTGCAGAGTACATTTTTTACATTTGGCTTTGTTTTGATTGGGTTAAGGGTTACTACAGGAGTCATTTTTTTCTGTGATTTAGTAAAGGTTTGTTGCTGTTTAGGGTTTTAGTGGAAAGTGGTTTTGTTTTTATGGGTTATTAGGGTTTATTTATGAATAAATATTCCTCCCTTTCCTTCCTCCTCCCATCCCAGCTCAGGGCAGGTCTCTGCAGCATTTTCACTTCCAAGGAGCCCAGGGAATTTTGGAGCAGGCTGGGAATGCCCTTTTTGGAGCTGCTCAGGCATGGAAACACCTCTGGTTGAGTGTCACCAGCAAACACCTGGAGAAGAACATTCCCAGAGGAATGCCACCCAGCCCAGGGGCTCAGCCTGGCCAAGGGGAGCATCCCAAAAATGCTCTCAGGGCTTCTGGAACATTCTGAGGGGTTTCTGGAAGCCACTCATCCTGTGCTTCCAGCAAAGGGCAGAGGGAAGCTGCTTGGGATGTGAAATGAATGAACAGGGGATAAATGATGGGGATAAAATGCTGGATTGTGATGATAAAATGCTGAATTTTGAGGATAAAACAGCTCCTTTTGGCCAACAGCCTGAGTGAACTCTGTGCTGGGCTGGAGAGGGGAGCAGCACAAAAGGGATTTTATTTCCCCAACAGGCTGTGCTGTCAGGGCACAAAATTGTCACCTTTTGGGTCGTTTGTGGTTTTTCCTTCTCTTGTGAGGCCACAGAAGGGTTTGGGTGGGGAGGGATTTAAAGATGATCTCATTCCACCCCCCTGCCATGGCAGGGACACCTCCCAGTGTCCCATCCAGCCTGGGCACTGCCAGGGATCCAGGGGCAGCCTGTGCCAGGGCTCAGCACCCTGAGGGAACAATTCCTCATTCCCAAAATCCCACCCATGGCTGCCCTCTGGCACTGGGAGCCATTCCCTGTGTGCTGCCCCTCCATCCTTGTCCCCAGTCCCTCTGCAGCTCTCCCGGAGCCCCTTCAGGCCCTGGAGGGGCTCTGAGCTCTCTCTGGAATATTCTCCTCTCCTGGTGAGCATTCCCAGCTCTCCCAGAGCAGAGGGGCTCCAGCCTTGGAGCATTCCCGTGCAATTCCCTTCTGCAGGGGCAGGGCTGGAAGCTGCAGACACATAACACACGAACACACAGAGACATACATACACACATATATACACATACATACACACACATATATATACACACACATATCCGCATATGGAGCGATGCAGCACGAGGGCGGCCCCGCCAGCTGAGGGGGCGGCTGGGGCAGGGGGCAGAGGACGGGAAGAAGGGGGAGAGGACGGGGAAAGGGGCTGAGGAAGGGAGGGGAACGGGCAGGGGAAGGGGCCGGGACTCACCGGAGCCGCTCCGCCGCCTCCTCCTCCTGCCCCCTTCGCCTCCTCCCGCCGCTTCCGGTCGCGCGGCGGTGACGCCACTTCCGGCTCCCGTGCGGCCTCCAGTCACATGGGCGCCGCCATGACTGCCCTGAGTCACGTGGGCGCCGCCATGACGGCCCCCGCGCGGCCCCTGAGGCGTCGCGGCCTCCCCGAGCCCTGCGGCTGCCCCTGGAGCCCGGGCAGTGCCCAGAGCCAGGCTGGACACGGCTGGGAGCAGCCTGGGACAGCGGGAGGTGTCGCTGCCCGTGGCAGGAGTGGATTTATGGTCTTTGAGGCCTCTTCCCGCCCAGAGGCTCTGTGAGGCTGTGGGTGCGGGGGGCAGAAACCCGCTGGGTGCCTGCGCACCCAGGGGTGTCCTGGTGTGAAAAATGCGTATTTTATGATTGGCTTTTCACAAAATCATGTTTGTAGAATGTACGTTGTAAAAAGCACCCAGGTTTTAGTAATCTTACACAGGGTTTGGGAAATCTGTTACCTCGCTGGATTGTAAAGCTCAGGTGGTTACTGAATAGGAATCCTGATTTGCAAATGAAGGAATTTGCTCCTATTCCTCCAACACTGGACAGAGGACTGCATGAAAATTCAAACCTTGAAAATTCAAATCTTTCCCAGACGCGGTTCTGTCTACTTGAAGATAGAATTCTTGCAACACCGGATGGAGAGGCGATGAAGACCACATGAATATTCGGGAAAAAGAAAGAAACAAAGGAAACTTCGCTCCAGGCAATAAAAACCAGAACATAACCAGGGCTCACCGAACGGACTTTGTGAACTCGGTAGATCTGATGTGAGAGGGGGTCAGGTCTGTGTTCGCCCTGTGTTGAGTCCCAGGCTTGGCGCTGTCCCTTTGATTGTGGCTGACAGAGATTGTATTTAGATTTGTGAAATAAAATCTGTCTTCTTTGAATTTTAATCTTTCTCAAATTACTCATTTGGCCTGATCTGGCTGTTGCCGATAACACTGGGACAGCGGGAGGTGTCGCTGCCCGTGGCAGGAGTGGATTTATGGTCTTTGAGACCTCTTCCAGCCCAGAGCGTGTGTGGCTCTGTGAGGCTGTGGGTGCGGGGGGCAGAAACCCGCTGGGTGCCTGCGCACCCAGGGGTGCCCTTTGTGCATCCCCAGTATGAAAAATGCATATTTTATGGTTGGCTTTTCAGTGATATTCAAATGAATATTGTGAAGGCGGATTCACAGGATAGAAGAAGGATTCAGAGGAAGAAGTTGGCACGGACCAGACAGAATCCTTTGTTTGAATGGAATTTATGCATCATGTATGAGGTGCATGAATATGCAACAGGCTGTTGCTTTTAAGGGTTAATCCTCTGTTATCGTGGGTCCTTTTTCGTGGGTCCTTTTTTGGGCTTATTTTGCCTAGAAAAGGTACCCGGACTGTCTGTAACTTTTTCTTTTTATTGTCTCATATTGTCCTAATTCATATAGTTCAAATTTAACATTACTATTGTTATAACCATTTTATTACGATTAAACTTTTAAAACTTTTAAAACCGAGTGATTGGTGTTTTTCACAGCAGGGAGGCACCACCCCGGGGCTGGGGTGGGCTGGGGCTGTGAGTGGGGTGTGTGAGGTGGCATCTGTCACTGCAGCTGTCCCCAGAGCACGGGGCATTCTGCTGCCTCTTGTGACAGATCGGTAATGGATGATTTGCTCTCACAGTAAATGGGCAAATACTGTGTATATAGGTTAAGAAAAGTTGTCTGGATTTATAGTTGTATAAATATATAGTAAATATATATAATTTACTATATACTTATATATAAATATACAGTAAATATATATATTTATTTATACTTAGAGTATATATAAATATATACAAAATATACTATATATACTTACATAAATATACACAAAATATATATTTACTTATAATTTATAGGCTATATAAATGTATATATATATAAGATATTATATATATGCATAAATATGCATAATATATACAAAATATACTGTATACACTACATATACTTATACAAATATATACTAAATATATCTATTTACTTATAATTTTTAAGTTATATAAATATATAGTATATATGTAATATATATAATATATATATTTATATATAAATAAATATATAATAAAATATATTTATATTATATAAAAATATATATGTTTATATTATATAAAGTATGTATTTATATATAATATAAATATCTAAATAAAATTACATATTTTATTTTAAAATATTTTTTATGTGTATATTTTTTTTATATTTGAGGGTGCTTGGAACTGTCTTGTCCCACCCCAGCCTCACTCAGCTGTGTGTGCTCTTCTCTTTTTGGCTGGATGTGGAGCAAAGGAGGAGAGGAGCAGCCTCTGCACTGCCTGGATTCCCAAATGTGTCCCAGCTCCACAGGCAGGCCCTGCAGGATGTTCTTGGCACATTCGGAGCCTTCCCTGGGCCTTTGATTCCCTGACTTTGAACTGGGGCTCTTTTATATATATATATATATAATTGTATACATAATTATATATATAATCATGTATATAAATATTATATATTTATATAAATAAATATATGTGTTATAGAAGAATAAACAGATATTTTTATATTATATAGATATTGAAATATTTACTATATATAAATATATAGCAAATAATTATAAATATAGAAATATGCAAAAATATATGTAGTTCTTCCCCCATTACGTGGTTATCAAGGGACAGCTGGGGTTGGGACACCTGGGAGGGCTGGCCTGTCCCTATGGTGACATCTGACCTCCAGTCAGGATTTGAGGAAGAGATCTCCACCACTGCACAGCGAGGAAGAGCTTGATGGACAGGACTTTGGGAGGGGTTAAAGGGTTAAAAAGGAATAAAAACCTTCGTTGTGTAGCTGAACACATGGCAGGGAAAATATTTTGCTGCCAGCGCCGTAACCTGTTTTGTTTTTTCAGTTTTCTGTTGTATTTTTGATAAGCTTTAATAAAGCTTCCTAAACTATGGGGAGTGAGTAGCAATTTCTCACACTCCGGAGCTGTGCAGCTCCTGCCCCAGCACAGCCACCCACAGCCCGCTGGCCAGGGCTGTGTCCACACAGATTTTGATTATTTCCAATAATCACGGCTCCAAAGTTCCAAGAAATCTTTCTCCTCTCCACTGCAGGCTTTCAGCACTGGCAAATAATTTAAATATTGCCTTGAGCCTTGCTTAGCACTTGTGTCTCATCCTGGTATTTTTACCAGGTTTGCTTCCTGTCCACCTCTTCCTTCAGATCAGGCTTTTATCCCGTGGCGAGGGAGGAAATGCCATTTTCAGGAGGAAATGCCATTTTCATGAAGCCCCCAGGCTCTGGAGGAGAGCCACGCTGGCTGATGGCAGCTCAGGCTTTCAACCTGAGGGAACTCACGGAGTTCCTGCCTCACCTCTGTCACCAGAGGGCAGGAGACCTCTCTAATAAAGCTGCCATCGGGAAAAGTGCTGGAATTGCTGGGTTTTTAAAGAAAAAGCAACATTTTTCTCCTGCTTTTAGTGATGCTGACAGAGATGGGTGGGATGGATGCAGTAAAAACCTGCAGGAGGTTTTGGATGTGGTGTTTTGTCCCTGCTTGAGGGAAGGTGGATGCACCTTGGCCTGGGGTCCTCACCCCCAACAACTGGGATCCAACACGAATTTGATGCATTTTGAGTTTGTTCCACTCCTTCAGCCACGTGCTGGGGAAACCAGGGAACCCCCAGAGGTGCTCCAAAGGGGTGATGTGGTTTTTCCAGGTGGGGGAAGGGGAATTGCCTTCCCACCACTGCAGCAGGATTGGAACGTGCTGGTTCACCCAGGGTGAAGCTTTCCCCTCCCAGCTCCCCTATCCCAGCTGTGGATCCATCCCAAAATCCCTCTGGATCCATCCCAAAAATCCCCGTGGTTCTCCCTCCTTCTCCCAGCTGTGTATCCATCCCCAAAATCCCCCTGGATCCATCCCCAAAATCTCCCTGGTTTTCCCTCCTTCTCCCACTTCTGGATTCATCCCAAAAATCCCCCTGGTTCTCCCAGCTGTGGATCCATCCCCAAAATCCTCCTGGTTCTCCCCAGTTCTCCCAGCTGTGGATCCATCCCAAATCCCCCTGGTTTTCTCCCAGCTGTGGATCCATCCCCAAAATCCCCCTGGTTCTTCCTCCTTTTCCCAGCTATGGATCCATTCACAAAATCCCCCCAGTTCTCCCAGCTGTAGATCCATCCCAAAATGCCCCTGGTTCTCCCCAATTCTCCCAGCTATGGATCCATCCCCAAAATCCTCCTGGTTCTGCCCCCTTCTCCCATCTCTGGATTTATCCCAAAAATCCCCCTGGTTCTCCCAGCTGTGGATCCATCCCCAAAATCCCCCAGCTGTGACACAAACAAACCACACAGTCCTGTTTTTAAAACGGGGCCTTTCTCCATTTTATTTTGCCCAATAAAAATCCTTCACAGTCAGGTGGAGAGAGGAGAGTTGGAGATACGTATACATATAGATTTGCATGTCTATTTATATATATACATACCTCTGTACAGATATATTTATATATTCACTGTAGAAAATGGCAAAGGCAGGAGCTCTTCACATCTGGATAACCCAATGGGAACAGACAACAGGCCAGCAGGGAATTGGGAAGTGTGGTGGAGTTTTAACAAGAACCTCTGAAACAGATACACCTTTGCTGTACAAAAATCTCAGAAAGGTGAGTGTTACCTTTGTTTTTTATTTTTTTAAATTTTTTTTCTTTTTTTTTTTTTTTGTTCAACCTTTTGTCTTTAAACACACTTAACCAGAGGCAAAGTCAAGACAACAGTGTTTGGAAGTGACCAAGTGGACAGGAGAGACACCCGACTTTATGGAGTTCTTTTTTTAAATGTTTTTATTATTTTTTTAAAGTATATATATATATTTATATATATATAATTTTTAATTTTTTAGATGTTTTTAGAGATTTTTTTTATTTTTAAATTTTTTAAAAGAATTTTTTAAGATTTTTTTAAAGAAGTTTTTTTTTAGATTTTTTAAATAATTTTTTTAGATTTTTTTTAGATTCTTTTTTTTCTTTTTTTAAGATTTTTTTTTTAGGTTTTTTGTTTTGTTTTTAGATTTTTTTAAAATATTTTTTAGATTTTTTTTTTTTGCAAAGTCTCGTTTGAACGCAGTTCGGAGAACCAGCAACAGTCGACGCAGAGACAGAACAGTAACGGAGTCGAGTTCAGAACACTTCTGGTTTGAATTCACAGTCAGAGAGGACAGAGTTAAAAAAGAAAAAGAGAGAGCCACCGAGGCGTCAAGAAACGAGAGGGAAGAAAAGCACGAGGCTGGGGCTGAATTTACAGGCGGGGAGGTGCAGGGCGGCGCCGCGCGTGTCGCGCAGGAGCTGCCGCGGAGGGCCACGGCCAGCAGAGCTCCTGTTATTGCTGGTGAGGTCGGACACAGCCTCGCCCACCCCGGGGCAGCCGGGCTTGGTGGGGACAGCTCTGCATCTGCTGAACTGCTCTCAGCCACGTGCGTGGGTTTGGGGGCGAGGAAAAGCCTCCCCGGTGCGGTGCCCGGAGCGGGGCGATGGCTCCTCTGGGCTCACAGCGATTTCCAGGTCCTGGAGAGTGCAAACGAAGACACCTTGGAGGAGCCCTGGGCTGGGCTCTGCGGGGACGCGGCTGCCTGGGGAGGAGGGACTGCATAGACACTTTTCAGCTGGGTGTGCAGCATTGGGTGGTGCTGGGACGCTCCTGGAGCTCTGCCCGCGGCTGTTCTGCTCCTGGCGGTCACGGGGAAGGGGTGAAGGAGCCTTCTCCTCCCAGGAGACTCTCAGGAATGGCAGAGCAGCCCACTGGTTGTCACCGAAGGTGGCTCTGTGAGCTCAGACACCCCAGTGGCTCCCACGTGGAGAAGACCTGCTGCAGGGACCCAGGGACAGCCACGGAGAGGGTGGGTGACACCTCCTGGGTGTCCAGGCTGGATGTGGGAAGCTTTGGGCTCTCTGAATAAACAGGCCCACCAAGCTCAGACCACTGTGGGTATTTAGAGCCAGACTGGACCTTGCATCCCTTTCCAAAGGGGTTGAGGCCAGGGCTGGAGCTGTGAAGGTATTCATGGGAATGTTGGCTTGCCTGCAGGTGTCAGAGTTGGCAAGAGTCCCTTTGAAATCTCCCTGGAAAAACCTATTGCTTTGGGACAGAAAGCAGAGACTTCCTGCTGGAGAGAACAGATTTGTGAAAGAGCTGTGGGGACACAGCCTGGTCCAGGCTCCAGACCTGACACGATCCCTGTCACTGGGAGAACCAGGGAGGAGGATTATCCTGAAAACACAGGAGCTTCGTGCTGCCAGCTGTTCCTCTGCCAGCATGGAACATCCTATTGGGAAGGCAACATCTGCAAACAGCTGGATGTGACCCCAACCCCTTGGTACACTGCAGGGTCCTGTGTGCCCCTAAGGACCTCAGAGACCCCTCAGACCCCTCATTTTTCCAGAGGGTGGAAGGACCAGGGAACTCCAGAGCTGGTGGTGATGGTGTGAATCCCCGTGCAAAGATCCCACAGGATTGCAGGCCATGGGAATGTCCTTCAGCAGGAAGCCAGGATGTCCTTGGAGGTCAAGCAGGGCTGATGGAGCTGCCATGGGGACGTCAGAGAGGAGAGGATCAGTGTTCTGGAAAGCTCCTGAGAGCAGGGATTGGGATAACCCATTCTCAGTGGGGGCTGTAGCTCCAGATTGTCCAGATGTGCCTGGGAGAGCACTGGGAGAGGCACTGACTGCTCCAGTGGGGTGGGGATGGTCTGAAAGGAGGCAGCAGAGCCTGGAGAGCTGGAGCAGAGGAGCAGCAGGGCACAGGCAACACATGAACTGATCTTTTGCAGGGGGTCTTGGTGAACAGGAAATATAAAAGGGTTTCAAGGCTTAAACTGAAGGTTTGGGTTAAATTATCAGCAAGTTGGGCTCTCTTCCATCCCAGGGATGGAATGGAGAAGAGAATGGCTGGGGAGCAGAGGCACAGTTGAGAGGCATCTGCCCAAGGCCCAGACCCACCTGAACACCCACCTGAAGGAGCACAGACCTCCCACTGGCCTCCTGCCAGGTCCAGGAGCCTTCCTGGAGCAAAGGTGGGTGGAGATGCCTTCAACACCCCAAGCAGGAGAAGTGAAGAACACGCTGCCTTCACCTTGGGATGTGGTTCCTTGGTAAGGAGGCTGCTGAGGTGTGGAGAGGACACCAAGGGGGCAGCCAGCGGGACCACCAGCTCTCAGGATGGTAATTTTTCTCAATTCCCACTGAGCCACGACAATTGACTGGACCCTGTAGTGGTGTCTGCTGCTAACCTATTGCTCTGAAGATGAGAGGCATTAAGTTACCTGAAGACAAGAGGGTGCATGGCTTGGCGTGCATCCTCTCTTCTCCTCAAGAAAAAAGGGAATGGCATCCATCCCAGCTCCTAGGAACAGACCCTGGCCCATATTCTCCACAGAAAATGTGTGGAGCTAATTGGTGTGGCTGTGGAGGATACTGGTGTCACCAACTGGGGACGATCACCTCACCCAGGAACTCCTTTCTATCCTGTCCTGTCTCGTCCAGGAAAGGCCCTTATGGACCTGCAGACATTCCCAGGTGGGACACGGGGAAATCATGTCCCCTGCCAGCTCTCCTTCCCCTTTTCCAGCCCACCCCAGCCTCCTGTCTCTGCAGGAAATCCGGGACACAGCTCCAGGCATGCAGCCCAGCGCTCCCTGGAGATCTTTGGTCATGTTGCTCATGAGCTCGCTGCCTTGAGCAAGCTATAAAGTGCCACTGCAAGGGGCAGGAGGGGGGCAGGATGGTCCCTTCCATGGGCAGAGCTCAGAGGGACACTCTGGGAGCCACTGTCTGCATGGAATCTGGGTGTGACACCAGACAGGCAGAGGGGACATCACCCTTAACCAGAGGCCATTGCACACCTGGCTCAGGGTGACAGCATCAAAGCAGGACAGAGTGACACCAGGCTGAGCTAATCCCAAGTGGATTGCTTTCCTGGGAGGTGCTGAAGCCCAGATTCCCAGTGCAGCCAGGCCCAGGTCGGGGTGCTGAGCTCCCTGTGTGCAGTGCTCAGCGCTCGGCCCCGCTTGCCAACAGAGAAGCCACAGAACCTTCTTGTCTCCTTTTAATCATCAACATACAGAGCTGGGCTCTTATTTACATCAAATACACTTCTCTCTGTACAACAGCATAAGAGCAACAATTCCATTCCTCTCTGGAGCGTGGAAGCCCGGAGGTGAGTGACCACCACCAGTGACAGCAGGACTGGGACCACCAGCTGCCAGCAGACAGTGGCAGGAGCAAAGTGGGGCTGTGTGAGGCACAACAACGTGCCCTGGTCATGGTGTTCACCCTGGGGGTGAGAGGGGAGGGCTGGAATCAGCCCAGCTGGCTTGGTGGGACAGTAGTAGCAGGCAGCCTTGGAATGGTGGTGGAGCAAAGCAGCCCTGCTCACAGCAGAGTAAGACCTTCCCTGGCACCAGGACAGCCTGCTTATCCCACATCCTCATGGATGGAAGCCTCTGGAGCTGATCAGTGTCCTCTGTTTGCCGTGTGGATGTGCCTGGAGCATGACTGGGCTCTGTACATGGGGTTCCTGTGACACCAGAGCTGCTCCAGCACTGCCACCACTGGCCTGGCTCTCCCAAAAATCCTGGACCATATTGTCCAGCTGCATGTGTTGGGTATCCCAGAGCATCTCTAATGCTTGTGGACCCCATGTGTGGGCAACTGAGGTGAGATCCTCACGGCCACAGCTTGTGGTGGTGGCCAGTGGCAGGTTAGAGAGGATTTTGGGGGCAGGGCTTGGAGAATGACACGAGAGCCAGGATGTCACGCTGAATTCCACCAGCTCCAAGGTGGAGGACACAGCTGGGGGATGGTCAAGCCCAAACTCTGGGTGGAATTCCATGGGACAGAAACAATTCATCAGCCCTGCCTGAGCCTCCAAGAGACATGCTGCCAGCCTCCTTGGCCATTCCCAGGATACATCACCCAGACACCAGCCTGGCACCCCTTGGCTGTCCTAATCCAGGGCCAAGACCCCAGAGCTTCAACAAAGCTTTTGGTGGGAGATTTCATCAACTTGTGAAAGTGTAAAAGATCTGGAAGGAGCCAGGTGAGCTCCACCTGGACACAAACAATAGAAATCCAGGTGTCTCACCATCATTTTGCTCCATCTCTGCTGAGCAGAGGGCTGGCACAGGGGAGTGGACTTGATGGGGAGCAGCACATCCAGTTTTGGAGAGGAATCCTGAAGCACAAGAATCCTTTGTGGCAGTTTGGTTCCCAATGTCCAATGTGAAAAGAAAGCTGAGATGGTGCAAAATACCAGTCTCCAACCCTGACACTGTGGGATGTTTGACTCTGTCTGGAAGGCCTGGAGTATGACGTGGAGGAAGCTCTAGGATTTGCCTGGCCAGGTGCACGTGGATGTCTCCCTGGGCATGGCAGAGTCTGTGTGGCACTGGCAGGCAGCTGCACTCCTTCCTGGTTGGGGTGCATGGGCTGATGTCCAGGAGTGCTGGAGATCTTCAGGATTTGCAGTGGGACTCTTCCCCACGCCCATCAGTAGTCAGACCTGACCTAACCTCCCTTTATGGCTGGTGCAGGGAATGAGGCTTAGCCTGAGCTGCCCTGGTGTTTTCCATGAATTGTCTTCCTCCAGCTCCAAAGACATGGGCAGAACTGGTGGGAAAAGACAGGAATCATCAACTGGGGTCTTGAAATGCCCTGGTCTTGGCACTTTTCTATTTTCAGTGGCTGCAGGGATCTCTGGCAGCCACCACCAGCTCCTGGCCAGCAGCACTGTCTGATGACTTGGGCTGGTGGGACTGACTGCAGTCTCCACTCTGCTCAGCCTGGAGCTCACCACAACAAAGTTTGTTCTCAAACTGATGGTCACACCTGGTCCTGAACAGGAGAGCTCTGGGGAGACAGAACATGGAAAATGTGCAGCTTCAGGGCTTTTGTTTGGAAGGTCTTCAGCCCCTCAGTGCCTCCAGATTCTTCCTTGGTATGCACATGAAATTTAACCTGGCCAAATTCACCCTGGAGTCACCTCACAGACATTTCAAGACGTCCCAGTGCTAATCCTAATTTTCTCTTCTAGCTGCTCCCCAGGGCAAAGATCCAAAATCCCCACTCCTGTTGATCCTTTGGCCAGCGCAAACTCCACTTTGCAACATTTTTCTTCTCTTTATTGTGACTTGTGGTAAAAAACTGTCCGTGACAGGAAGAACCGAGCTCACCTTGCCCATGTTTTCAAGAGGAATGCCAGGTTTTGCTGCCTCAGTGACCGTGCACATAGGATTTGGTTTATTATTCTGCCAGGGCATAAGCACTTGCGTGATCTTAAGCATTTCCCCCTCTTATGACTTCTTTCGTGCTCAGAGTTAGTAGCTGAGTATTTTCTTGAGCTAGGCCTGTGAGTTGTTACCTCCATCCCTGGGGTGGCCCGTGGGATGGCTGTGGGTGCTGTTTGGAATGGCAGTACTGAAGGCTGACCGCTGCAATCCAGCTGTGATGCTGCTGTGCCCCCCCTGCAACTCCTGAGTGAGTTTTTCGAGTGCTGTTTTTAAGCAGACCCTGGCCCAAGAGAGTGCACTGAGGTGTCGCTCGTTTGGGGACAGGGTGGCACAATTGCCCACTTTCGGGGCAGATTGCTAAAGCTTCAGTTTGCATAAATCCCATGGGTTTGGAGGCTTCCCCAAACCTTGATTCCATTGACTTTGGGAAGTAAGAGGGCTGTTGGGAAGGGAAACTAGCTCGGATTTCCAAGCTTTTTTCTTGCTGTAGCCAGCTTGGGTATAGAGTAAGAGTAAGGGGACCAAGGCAGAGGTGGGAGGGTATTTCTGCTCCCGCGGTTGGTCACAACCTGGGAGAGGAGTGGAACTGCAGGAGGAAACCACAAGGAAGTGAAAACGCAGCATTTGTTAAGCTCTGCTGAGCCTCCAGAGAGGCTCCTGCTGGGACATCATTCCTTGTTGGCTTCTGTTACCAGGATGGGCTCATCCTACTCCTCAAGGATGTCCTAGCCTCTTGCAGCCAGGGCAAGAGGGAGTTGTCTGGTAGAGATATGTCTGGTTTCACTGAAATCAGTGGCCAAGCTCGCACTGACTTCACTAAGACCACCGTCTAGACAGGATACTTGATGCAGAACACTTGAGTTTGCTCATGATCCCAAGAGCTTTGCTCCATTAGCCAATGTGGCTAAAAACGTCCTGGAAAAAAAATAAACCGAAAAAACAACAAACCTGCCACTTTGAACTGTTTTGCTGCACATAAATGCTTGGAAAACCAAAGAAATCAAATACAACCCTCCAAAACAACCAACCGAAGAAGGGTGAATTGTAGGAGAGGGGGTGGCAGCCTCTAGTGAAGTAACAGTCAGGGCAGATTACAAAAGAGCCAATTGACCCTCACCAGCTGTGCTAGGAAAAAAACCCAGGCGAGACGTCGCATTTATCGATAGAAAACCAACGCACATCCACAGTTGTTGTACCTACAGAGCACAGAAGTGGAGAGTAAGGGTGATGGAGCCTGGTGGGAGCACGCTCACACCACTCCGACGGGAGCGCGTTATCCTTCGGAAGATCTCTGGCTTGAGTAGGTAGTACATGCACAGCAATAAAAAATTGCGTTGCGTGGCCTCGGCCCCCCCTCAGATCTCGGTGGACTCTATCCTCTCAAGTCTGGAGGGAGTCCACGTCTTCTTCTCCTCGGTGTGCGGGGGGCTGGTGGCCTTCGTGTTCATCTCGTTGACCTTGTGCTCCAGCAGCTGGTTCTTCTGGTACATCTCCACGTAGTTCAGCTGCAGCTGCTTCTGGTACTTGATGACTTTCTCCTTCTCCTCCTGCCACGTGCGCCGCTCCTCCTCGAAGTCCATCACCTGCTGCTCCCGCTGCTGCCGCTCCAGCTTCAGCTCCGTCTGCAGCCGCTCCACCTCCCGCCGCAGGGTGTTCACGCTGTCCTCGCTCTGCCGCTGCATCTTGGCCTCGTCGCTCTCGCAGGCCAGCGGGTCCCGCAGCTTCTCCCCGAGGTCCCCGCCAAAAGACCCCGCGGGTCCCATGCTGGCAAGTGTCCGCTTCAGGCCGGAGACCTCCAGCTCACAGTGGTTCAGTTTTTCCCTCAGCACCTGGACCTCGCTCATCTTCCTCTGCAGCTCGCCCTCGCAGATCTCCAGGTTGACGCTCTTGGAGCTGTAGGAGTCCTTCAGGGTGAGGATCTGCTCCTCCTTCTCCCGTAGGAAGTTCTTACCTTCCTTGAGCTGCGAGCGCAGTCCCACGATCTCGTTGAGCTTTTGGGAGACGTCGGCTTGGGAGTCCTTCAGCTGCTGCTTGAGCAGGGAGATCTCACCTGCCTTCTGGCACACCTGTGGGGAGAGCACTCGTGAGGCTGGTGGGTGGTAGCGAGGAGCTCCTTGTCCCCTGAACTGCCCATGAAACAACCCTGCTCAAGGACCCAGCCTTCACCAGGACCCAGACCATGCCACAGACCTAGAGGTTGTCCCCACCTCTGTGTTTTCCCTCAGGGACCTGATGCTGTTCCCAGCTGGAGCTGCCCAAACAGCCAAGCCCAGTGCTGCAGTTCCCGCCAGCGATGCTTCACTCCTGCCTTCATCTTACTCCCCCACGCACAAACCCGTGGGGCTCAATCCCAAACCTTCTGCTGAACATCTGGCACATTTCAGAGCCTAATTAATCCCAGCTTCATTGACTTTCCATCAGGATTAGCAGAATAAGGTCGTCTTGATTCTAGAGCTATGTTTTGCCTCCACACTCTTAATAAATTTAAAGTTTCTAGCCTGTGCATGGAAGGATTAAAATTCTTCACATGATCAAGCTGAAAAAATGGTATGTTAGCACTGGCTATACAAACAGACCTTGATAAATGTTCTAAAAATAGAAACAGTAGGAAAAAGTTATGTAGGACTCAACAGGGGAACTAGAAAGAGGAATGTGTCTTTCAGCCTTTTAAGAGACTTATTAACAACCAAAAAAAGTGTGTTACAATGGAAAATGTGAGGTAAACATGGCTCTATCAATGTCATTCTTAGCTCAGTTGCTTTTATATCTTCAATTTTAAAAAAAATCAAATACCTGAAAACTGGTTTCAAGGTTCACCCAAACGCAAATGGTAAAAGAATTTAATTAAAATAGACTTAAGCCCATTTTGGCAGGCACAAGTACCTGTGTGGAAAGACCTGTATTCCGTGAAACTGGATTTGAATGTCACGACTTGGAGTGACCGGACTGTGAAGTCAAATTATTAACCAGCACAGGAGGGTGTGCATAAAAAAAATTGTGCTTATTTTAGCTTAATTGAAATCAGCAGGCCTGGGACGCAGAGAAGTGAGGTGACAAGTGTCACCTGTTACCTGGAGGTCACCAACCCATGGCTGTTATCTGTGGGCTCCACTTGGGGCATGTGGGAGGTACCTTGGGTCAGCAGATCCCACAATGGAAACCTCATTCACGGCCTGTTACATCAATGCTCTTACCTCCCACTTGGTCTCTTCAATCTTCGGGAGAAACTCAGCCTGCTCCTTCTTGAAAGCCACAAATTTCTTCTCCAGCTCCTCTCGTTGCTGGAGGAGTTGTCCCATGTCATCCTGGAGTTTTTTTTTCTCCTGCTGGAGCTTGAAGATTTGGAGCTGCAGAGCCTGCTGAGCCCGCTGCGCCTTTTTGGAGACCTGCTGCAACTTGTTGGCATAGTTCTGCCTCAGGTCCTCCATCTCCCTCTCCCAGATCTTCTGCTTCTCCTCGAACACCTGGAAGATGGCCGCCTCGCTCTTGTCCAGGTTCCTCCTCATCTGCAGCACCTCCTGCTCCTTCTCCCACAGCCGGTCCTCCAGGTCCTGGATGATGTCGTCGGTCGAGGGCGAGTGGAAAGGCATCGTTTCGTTGAGATGGTTCAGTCTGTTGAAGGACGAGGTGCTCTTGCTGGAGGACCGCCCGCTGTCTGAGGTAGATATCCCGTTGTATCCCACGATGTTCTTCTCCACGTAGGTGGTGCCGATGCGGTTGATGTGGCTCGTGGAGGCGCTCATGGGGCCCACGTGCTGGCTGTAGCCCGTCCCGTAGGTGGGCAGGCTCGTGAGCGAGTTGCGGCCCGAATCCGAGAGCCCCCCGCCCTGGTTTGTAGTCCTGTTAAGGCTGCTCTTGTCGAGTCCACCCTTGGGTGCGGACGGGCTATTGCTGTTGGCATGGTTCAAGCTCTTTCTGTTCTCTGCCATCCCGTTGCTCTGCGGCGGGCAGAGGTTCTGCATGGAATGGAAGTTTTTAGGAACTACTGGTTTAAAGGCTGAGGGTCTAACTAAGGGCTCATTGCTCTGCAAAAAGGAAAAAGGAGCACGCATCAAACACAGCAGGAGGCTCGGTAACAGCATACAAAAGAGACACATCAGCACAGGGTGGGGCTTAGGCAGCTCGGGCTGGCTCCTTATCCCACCCTGTTACGCTTTTGGGGTTGCACATGAGGGACCTGTGGTCACTCAAAGGGCAACACTTTGCCTTCCCTTCCCCCAGCTGAACCATCTTGACTCACCCCAAACCTCCACGATTTTTCTCTAGAATACTCCTTAGTGCTTGTCACAAGGAGGGCTCCCCCTTGCTTACCAGACCTGACCAAAAACAACTCTAATTTTTGCTGATTATATTTCTGGCCTTGAGGTTGCATTGCCCTTTTGCTGAAAGCTGAATTGAACCCTTGGATTAGCAGCCCTTTGGCCTCAGGAACATCACATCTCCCTCCTGCCAGCAGTGAGCTGTGCCTGTGGGGACCTCATGTCCTGCTTGTCCTGACAGGAGCAGGTAGGAGCTGTGACAGCAGTGACACCAGGCAAGGAACATGCAGGAGCTGCTCTTCATTTGAAATTTGTGTTTTCTGTGCTATAAGCAATCCTGGGGGACAACAGACCACAGCTGTAAGGGATTTAGAAAGGATTTTAAAGCCTTGCACATTCCTCACCCCATCAATGCACCATTAGAAACTAAATTTTCCTCAAAATGGGATTGAGTCTCCCCTACTGCAGATTGAATTTTAGCTGAAAATTAAACTGGATTAAGCAAAGGTATTTTGAAAATGCTTTTCAGGAGAAACAGAATAAGCTCCACTGAACAGGTTGGAGGCTGGAGACCAAGTGTGAGACTGAGATGGACTGCAGGGACTGTTGGATTAACAACCCAGGAGAAAAGGCCACCAAATGCTGCAGAAATAATACTGGACACAAATTATGGAAGCCACTGGAGCAGAGCAGCAGGCAACATAAAACACTGCTGGCTCTGGGGCTCTGTTCCTCCAGGCCTGGGAGATTTTGCTTCCTGAAGCCAAAATGAGCCATGAGGACTGGGCTGGGCTGGGAGATAACAGGGGTAGTTCCCAAGCCTTTTCCCTCACAAGGGGCACTGGGACGGGAACAGATGCTCGTGCCTACTTTCAAACGACAGCTTTAGGTGTCAGTGGGTGGTTGGAAACTGCCTATAAAAGGCACAAAACACACAAAACAAGAGTGGGGCTCAGCTGCTGGACCTACTGAAACAGGGGCAAACTCCAGCTCCCTCCTCATCCTTCAGGAAGGTAAATATCTGAGGGAAGCTGGAATAGCCAGTGACTTAAATGAGCTGTGTATGGAAGACCTGTGGTCACGCTCTTGGGTTCCTCAAGAACTAACAACGCCCCTGAAAATCATAAGAATTTTATCATCTCTACATAAAAACGTAAAAAAGCAAAAACGAGACCATCAAGATCGCCCCGATGCCCAATGCCTCGTGGCTTGTGCTTCCAGAGAAGCGCCGCGGCCACCCAGCTGCTCCAGGAGGTCCTCACCTGGTCTAGCTTGCCGGAGATTGGCAAAATCTTTGGTGGGTTCCCGGGCTCTCGGTACTGGGGCGGCGGCAGCGGCAGGTTCTTCTCGTTGTTGGCGGTCACGTTCCCGCAGATGTCCACCTTCACCTTCTCGCTCTTGCGCGCGTCGCCGTTGATGTAGAGGGAGTTGGAGACTTTCTCCGACTTGTAGGTCTTCTCCTCGCCCGAGTAGCGGTGGGAGATGTCCCGCGCCACGGAGTAGCCGTTGCGGGGCCCCTCCGTCTGCCGGCCGCCGCTCTGCGTCCGCGTGCCCACGCTCTTCATGGCGAACTCCTGCTCGTTGGCCACGCCGCTGCCCACGCTCCCCATGGCGCTCCGGGGGATGGTCTGGGAATACCGCAGGGAGAAGCCGTGGAAGTTCTCCGGGCTGGGGTAGGTTGGGTCACTGAGGACGGGCAGCGTCTCTAGCGTGGCCATGGCAGCGTAGGGGTGAGGTGGAGGCGCAGCTCAGTGGCACTGGGACAAGGAGGGGAAAAGGGTTGTTAAAGAGATGGATTTTGTCTGCCGTGCCCTTTGCATGTCCTAGTGATGGGGTTCTCCTCTGCTGTGGGAGCCCCAGATCCCTTGGAGGAGCAGCATTCCCCAAATCCCACCCACTGTTATCAAAAAGAGCTCCTAATCTTCTCAGTCCAAGGGTTGTGGTTTTCCCAGGGGAGCGAGTTGTGTGGGTTTTGGTAGGCACAAGGCATCGGTGAGACACAACCATTTGCTGTGCCCAAGCCTGAATTATTTCTGTCACATTTTCCAGTTTTAGTAAGTTTGTGTTCCCACGGGGGTGGAAGGTCTCCATCCCTGATCCTGGCTCATACAAGTGCTCCCTCCAGCACATCCCTTAGGATGACACCACAGGGTTTAAGCAACACAATTTCCATCTCTTTTGTGGAATTGTTGCTGGCCTGAACTTGAGCTTTTAAAAAGATGCTTTTGTGCAGGTGTCATCCTAAATTTTCTTTTAAATCTTTATTCCCCTTCTCCATTTGATTCTTACTTAGGCTGTGCCTTGGGTTGGCCAAAACTAGGCCATGGGACATGGATAACATTCAAATAGTGGTTTCAAAAGTTGTCATTCACTACTGTTGTCCTGGGACCAGTTGTCCTTAGGACCAATTCTCAGCTGTCTAGATGCTCTTCATCAGCTTTTACACAAAAATGTAAAATCTTATTTAAGGAAATAAAAGTCCCACAACTTTTGGGACTGATGATGGAGAATTTGAACCTGTACCAGCCAAGGATCTCATTACCTGAAGGAAGGGAGAAGGTGCATTGCAAATTTTGAGTGATTGACCCAAACCTGGAGGAGCAAGGTCAGTGAGTGGCTTGTGGACAGCTGTGGCCACTCAGCTGACCACTGTCCACCTGCCCTACTGAGTTCACTGACTCGGTCCCCATGGGACAGAACTGATGCTTTTCTTTTGTCTCAGGCACTCTCAGTTCCAGGTTTTCCAGGATAAACCATCCTGACAGCATGGAGACTAAAGCAGGACTTAAAGGCAGCAGAAGCTGCAGGTTTCCCTGTGGATGGATAAAAACAGTGATGCCCTTTGGAGAAAGGCAGCAGTCAGGCAGGACCAGCAGGAAGGGGAGATGGAGAAAATCCCCATTTCAGTGGGGTTCTCCCTCTCCTTGGGGTAGGGACGTTCATTCAGCCCTCCCTGAGTAAAGCAGAACTGGGTTTATTTCCCTGGAGAGCAGGCTGAGGTCTGGAGCTCAGCTCCCACGTGGTGTCTCACAGGGCCTTGCTATTTGCACTAATAATGGAATGGAAAAAGAATTAAAAAGGTTAAAGCAGGGTCTGTGCTGCTCAACTTTGCTTTTATTAAACTGCATTTCTGGAGGCTTCTCCTCCCCCTTTCCCAGCACCCTGCCCTGACCAAAGTACAGCCTGAGGGGCAGATGTGGCAACTGCTGTGCCAGAGGGAGAGGACACAGAGCTGTTGAGATGGGATTTAAGGTCCCTTTTAACCCAGCCCATTCTGGGATTTTATGATCAAAGAGCATTAAGTGAGCACTTTGTGGTCCCTGCTGAGGACACCCTGCAGTTTGCACCTCTGTCCCCAGCAGATGACCTCATGTCATTCCCCGATGAAAGTCTAAAGACCAGGCAGTAAAGGAGGATGACATGAGCACGTGGGGGGCATCCACCACAGCCAAAACACGAGTGTTTATTGGTCATAAGTGACAAAATCTCTGCCAGCAGCAAGGAGTGGCAGGGTCTGGTCACATACGTGGCATGTGACACTTGGACACGTGCTCTGAGCAGCACTCAAAGGCTCCTGACCCCGTCACACCCCACAGACACTTCCCAAAGAACATCACCACTGACAGATCACGAGGGCACAATGCCCAGGGGTCACTCCAGGTGCTTGCTGAGCACCTGGAGACTTGCCTGGGCTGTGGATGATGAGGAAGGATGGAGAACACCCACCTGAAGCTGTGCTCAACCAACGGTGCCTTTGGATTTTATGAGTCGAGGGAAGAGTTTTTGTCCTCCTAATTTAGGAATAACCTGCTTTTCAGTGACTTTGGGAATCTTTATAGGCTGTGACGTCTTTTTATGGGACACCAGGCACCACGGGAGGGATGTGCTGGAAGGTCTCAGCTCCAGACAAGGAAGTGGCACTGTCTCCTTGCAGTGCTCCCCAGCCAGCCAGGGAGAAATCCAGGTTACTTTTCCCTCGCTGGGTAAATTTCACGGTGACATTTGCACATTTACATTGCCTCTCTGAGGGCAGGATGAGGTCACTGGAAAGTTTGATCCTTCCAAAAGGGAAAAGAAAAAAAAAAAAAAAAAAGGCCAACGCAACAAGAAGCGTTTTCTTTTAACTGGGAATCATCCAAGAAAATATTCTGAAAAAAACCCCTTGTTCTTAGCTTATGTTTACTGCAAACCCGGGATCTGATAAACAGAGCATAAAGACAAGTGTTACTAATATGTTATTAAGGAGATTCCAGAGGTGCCAAGAGATCCCTGACAGTACAGCTTTGTTTGCCAAAAAGGGCCATTTTTTCCCGAGAACAACAACCCTTGGGTTTGTATCTTCTGGCCAGCTCCAATTCCCAGTCAGGTTTTACACTGGTTGTTCCTCAGCCGAACTGTGAAATCAAATTTTGAGCACAGGAATAATGTTGCCACATCTCCAGCACAGAGCAGCAGAGTCTTTTTGTTTTCATCCTTCCAGGTTTGGGGCAATGTGTGACTAAAAACTTCCCCAGGACATTTCTCCTCCTTAAGTCTCATCATCTCTGGGGCAAGAGGACAAGAGGGAATGGCTTCAGGCTGACAGGGCAGGGTTATGTGGGATATTGGGAAGAAATTCTTGACTGAGGGTGGGCAGGCCCTGGCACAGGGTGCCCAGAGAAGCTGTGGCTGCCCCTGGATCCCTGGAAGTGACCAAGGCCAGGTTGGATGGGCTTTGGAGTAACCTGGGACAGTGGAAGGTGTCCCTGCCCATGGCAGGGGGTTGGAACTGGACAATCTTTAGGGTCCCTTCCAAACCAAACTATTCCATGATTCCATGAGAACTGCCACCCTCCCATGGGAGCATGAACTGAAAGTTCATGTGTGAACTTTTCACACACTTTGTTGGTGATTCCCAAGGGTGCTGAGCCTGTCCATGAGCACAGGGAGGCTGAGGGAAGCCAGGTTTTGCCTTCACCAGCATTTCATTCCCAAGTCCCATCCTTTAGGAGGAAAGCAGAGCCACCCTCGAGCATGGCTGGGTGACCTTCTCTGACCAGGGACACTGGGAATCCACACACTCCTCCCCATCCCATCCACCTGCAGTGGCCTCTTGGCCTTTCCTGCAGCATCCTCGCCTCGGAGACAGCAAAATTCTGATGCCTGACGCAGAAAATCTGGGGTGAAATGTCCTTTTCCCCAGCTATGCCAGGAAAACTGCACGTCCACCTCTTACCAATGTTTCCAGCCGTTCCTGCAGCTCCAGGACATTCCTAGATGTTATTGTAAATACAGTGATTTGTAAAATAACAACTGCATCTTTGCACCTGCTCCACCCAAACCACTCAGTGAATACCTTCCAGTTAGAAAGAAGAAAAATTGCTCTGAGATAAGCAGCTGAATGGTTAACTAAGATTAAATTATGGAGGCCTGGCTCTGTTGCTGCCTGAGGAGGTTAATTGTTAACACTCTCCTAACAAAGGCCTTGGAGAGACAGACACACCTGGGCACCATGCCATGGGAGAAGGGGATCAGTCATCCCTTGGGCACCCAGAGCTCCAGCAAAGAGCCCCAGAGCAAGGCAGGGCTTGGCACACGTGCCCGTGCCAGGCATGTGGTGCTGCCAGCACGGGCAACAAAGGCACCTGAAGGTCAGAAATTCCCCCTGTTGCCAACTGTGGTAACAGGTGTGCCCCTGCCCTTCATTAGTCAGGTTTGTTTGCATGGGCTTTAACGAGGCAGAGCAATTACTGACACCATAAACCCTGCTCTGCTCTGCTGTTTTTGCTGTGTTTACAGCTCAGCTCAGCTCAGCCAGTTTGTTGGCAGCACTGCCAAGGGGTTGGTTTGGTTGGAGGAGAGAAAGTCAACGTGTCCTGGGGTGGTGGAACAGGTTGGAAAAGGTGGAAAAAGAATGGCTGTGATAATTTCAGCTTCATCCAGGAAGAGATGTGGGGTGGAAAGGGAGGGACAGGAATGGGCTAGCAGTGAAGACAGACCCTGCAGGGAGCAAAGCCAGCTGTGGCCAGTGAGGTGTTAACAAGCCCTGGGGCAAAACCACCACTGAAAGCCAAGGCTTGCACTTGTAGAATCACAGAATCACTGAATTATTCAGGTTGGAAAAATCCTCTAAGACTGTGGGGTCTAACTGTTCCCACACCACTGCCAAGGCCACCACTGACATGTCCCCAAGTGCCACAACCACAGGGATTTTAAATCCCTCCAGGAATGGGTACTCCAGTACTGCCCTGGGCAGCTGTGCCAGGGCTGGACACCCTTTCCATGAAGAAATTTTCCCAAATATCCAGTCTAAACCTCTCCTGCTTAGATGCTGTTCCCTCTTGTCCTCTTAGTTTCAGGTGCAGGTTTCAGCCACATCCCTCTCCCTCATCACATCCTCCAAAAAGGCCACTCAGCTACTGCTCTGCCTCCTGTGTGTCACAGGCCGTCACTTGCCACCTCCTTGTGGCCCTGCTGGTCCCAAACCTGGCTGAGAGCTGCTCCACTGGGATTGATTCAAGAGGAAGGGACAGCACAGCTCCCCTCCCACCTGGCTCCAGAGCCCCGGCACCTCCTGTTCTCCTACACCCTGCTCAAGTTGCTCAGTCTGTAGAGGAGAACAGAATGAGCTTTTCTTGTCTCTCACAGGCATTTTTTCCAGCTCTCAAGTAACTCTTGTGCCTCCTTTCTGCACCTCCTCCTACTCTTTCCCCCCATCCTGGCTTGGTGGCTGCCAGGTTTTCCTCTGCCACTGGAATACAGCAGGAGAACACTTGAACCTGTCTGCAAAAACATGCAGATCTCCAGCTTTTCAGCCACAAGCTTTTTCCACAACCAAAAGCCAAATGAACTCAGAAGAACAACTCCTGCTCCTTCCCCAGGTCACAGACCTCTCTTTCCCCATTTATCCCTGAACTTCAGATGTTTTTGTCCCCATGCAGAGCTACAAATCAAACCCAGGAAGGCAGGCTGGAGGATCAAATAGTGGCAGATTCTTGCAGCCACCCTCAGACACCTCTTGGGCTGTGGGGCTGCTGTGTATCTGCACATTTTCCATCCTTCTGTGCAAAGGATTTATGCTGGAATAACTTTTGGACACAATCCTGAGTAACGTGCCCTAGGGCACTCTGCTGGAGCAGGGAGGTTGGACTTGGACTGCCCAGCATGGCAGTCCTGCCTGGGAACATCCAGTTTGGGAATGTGGGACCACCCTGTCCCTCTGTGACCTCCCCACTTTCCAGCCACCCCTGGGAGCACTGAGGGGTCTCCACAGGGAACTTCAGCATCCTCTGGATGAGTGGAAATTTCCAAGCTCAAAGCCCTCAGCCCTCCCAGTACAATCCCAGGAGGATCACACTTTGCTTTTCTCTCCTGAAGAGAGGGGGTGGCAGGATGAGGGGCAGGCAGGTCCAGGTTTTGGGGGCTGCTCTTCCCCGGGCTGCTGAGGGAAATAAAAGTGAGCAGGCTTAGAAACATTTCCTTTTCCTTTCCGCCTGCTAATGAGATAATTACAGCCTTTTGTATTCTGGGAAACTACTTTCTCATTATGGGGGCCGCATCAGCTATTTACATAATAAGGCTGAAACAAAAGAGATGAGATGAAAAGACCCAGGCAGCTCTTGGGGGAGCTCTGTTGAGCTGCCAAGGGCCAGCCTGGCAGGATGACAGGACAGATTCCTGCATCCCCAGAGCTCCTCTGGTCTGGAGTGGGTGGCAGCACTTGACTCAGGATGTCCCCAGCATGGGATGCTCCTCACTCTCAGCTGTGAGGGTCCCCAGGGTCCTCAGAACCTGCTCACTCTTAACCCACCCACTGCAGTTCCTGGTGCCAGAGGGGTTGGGAGGGTGGCCACGAATCCAGACCCACATCAAGGGGTCATGCCAGCATCTCTGGGGCTCACGGTGGCACCACCAGAGGATGTTTGGTACCAAACTGGCCTGTCCCAGTTTCCTCCAGCTGTGGCCAAGGGATTTTCTGGGTACCAACCTGTCCCATCCCATATCCCACATCCCATATTCCATATCCCATATCCCTGTTCCTTGTTTCACTTTCTGACTAAATGACATCATGGGTACCAGCCTGTCCCATCCCATATCCCATATCCCATATCCCATATCCCATATCCCATATCCCATATCCCTGTTCCTTGCTCCACTTTCTGACCAAAGGACATGATGGGTATCAGACTGTCCCAGCCTATTTCCCTGTCCCCCCAGTTGGCCAAGGGATGCATTGGTTACAAACCTGTCCCATCCCATTCCCATTCCCATTCCCATTTCCCCATTTCCCATTCCTCATTTCCATTTCCATTCCCCATTCCCATTTCGATTTCCCATTTTCCCATTTCCTATTCCCATTCCCCATTTCCCATTTCCATTTCCCCATTTCCCATTCCCATTTCCCTTTCCCATTCCCATTCCCCTTTCCCCATTTCCCATTCCCATTTCCCCATTCCCCATTCCCATTTCCATTCCCCATTCCCATTTCCATTTCCTCATTTCCCATTTCGATTTCCCATTTTCCCATTTCCTATTCCCATTCCCCATTTCCCATTTCCATCCCATTCTCCCCCCAGCTGGCCAGTGTGTACCAACCTGTCCCACCCCGTGTCCCTGTTCCCTGCCCCCACAGCTGGCCAGGGGGACACTGGCTACCCAGCTGTCCCTCCCACACGCCGTGCCCTGTCCCCGAGCTGGCCAGGGAACTCTCTGAGCACCAAACTGTCCCTGCCAGCCTGGCCACCTCTCTTCCCCAATAAAGGCCCCATTGTTCCCGACAATCCCTGAACAGAGCAGCCTGCTCCACCTTCCCTGGCCAGTCCTCCCACTCTGCTATCAGTTTTCCTCGCTGTGTTTAAGGGACACAGTCCACTGCCACCCTGTCCCCATCCCCCAGGACGTGGCAGGAGGGGGAATCGTGGCGAAGCACGGCCACAATCTGCACTGTGGAGCACACAGCCTTGGATCTGTGCCCTCCTGCTTGTCCCTCCTTCCCTCTCAGCTCCCTGAGGGTGTTCCTGGAATGGACACCCTGCCACAGCTTCCTGGAAACCTTTTACTGACAGTGAAATAATCAGTGAATCAATCTGGACATGGCTGTTGCTCATCCTGAGCAAGCTGCTCCACCTATCCCAAGCCCACCTCCTCCATCCCAGCTCCTCATCTCTGGGGGTTTCATCCCAGTTTTAACCCACAGGATTTGCTGGATCTGAAAAAGCAGGCAGAGTGGAATTAAAAGCCAAGCACCTGGCAGGCCACGCCAGTCTTGAGCTGTTCCAGTAAGGGAAGAAATCAGAATTATTCAGGAGGCTGCAGCAAGGTGGGCAAAGCCCCAGAGAAACCTTGGCAAGTGACAGGGAGGTGTGACGAGGTACATTTGTATAGTCCCAGGGAGGCTTTTTTTGTCTCATCCTTGGAGGTTTTCAAGCCCTGAATGGACCAGGCAGGGTCCACCAGCAGCAGGATGGCCTGGAGGGCTCCTGGGATCCTTTCCACCAGGAATTATCCTGCCGTGGAGTTTTTTACACACTGGATATTTTACACACTAGCATTGCCCTGGCCAAAGTCCTCATCCTCAGGGGGATTTTCCCCCTTTTCCCCATGTGCTCTCGGAGCCCCGGCTTTGGATCCAGGCTGGCATCCTGCAGGAGGCACCTGAGGGCAGACAGGAAGGATTTTCCATGATTTATTCATGCCCATCATCCCAAGGGGCGGCAGGACAGGATGGTTTCAAGCTCAGCCCAAAGTGCCATCCCAAATCTCGTGTGTCCATCAGGAAGGGTTCATCCATGGTCTTTTGACTGCCCCCAGAAGACAGCCAGGGCCAGCTGTGTCATTGTCCCCAGTGAGGTCCTGATGGCAATCTCTGCCCAGGAAAGCACCAGCTTTGGTGGCACAGGGAAAATTCCCTGGATTCCCTCAGTACAGGGCAAGGGCAGTTTGATGGAGCAGCCTCAGTGCTGGCTGAGGGTCTGGGATGCCCCATACCATGGGCTGGACTGCTTGGGGTCCTCCCAGCCCTGTGTGCCTCAGTTTCCCCTCGTTAAGGGGCTGCCAGTGGGATCCAGGGTGAGATTTCCCCACCCTGAACAATCCATCTCCGTGCACCCCACCTCTGTTCTGACCCCCTGGTGCAAACCCAGCCCAGCAGGTACTTCCCATCCCTAAAAAAAACCTGGAAAGGGTCCCACCAGCTCAGCCCTGCACTAATACACTGAATTTCTTTTGGAAAGGTGGCTGGAATTGAGGTGATGCCAGCTGAGCCCCTGGGACTCCCCAGCACAGGGGATATGGGGAAGCTGCTGGTCACCACTGGAAGCATCCCAGCACAGAGCCACATCCCTTTCCTGGCTCCCCAGCACCTTCCTGAGCATCCTCACACATCCCTACCCCCCAAATCTCAGCGATCCCAATGTGATCCCCAGCTCCACGGCCCCAAATACCAGGAGGACCCCTCTCTTTGTCACCAGCCCCCCCTGCGACGGGGTATTGCAGTGTGGGGGACCCAATCCTGCTTTTTGGGATGAGCCATCACCCCCAGAGCGGCTCCACGGAGCCGTCCCCCGAGCCCTGCCATCCCCAAACTTCTCCCAAACCTCTGTCCCCGCAGAAGGACAAGGAGGGGACCCGCCACCCGCTGCCACCGGCCGCCCACGCCACCAGCCCGGCTGTGATTTATCATTAACTCGCCCCGAGGAGTTTGCTGGGCTCGGAGCCAGCCCGGGAAGCGCTCGCTCCTCCCCGGACACCACGCTTGGAGCAAACCCCCATGGTGGGCGCCTTGTCCCCAGCGCTGCTGGACCGGAGCGATGCCCTAAAATCCGCCGGGATGCAGGGTCTGGGTGCTGCGGGGGTCCCAAATGGATGCAGGGGGGGTTTATAGAGGGGAAAATCACAGTTTCCCCCACCCACCCCATCTCTGGGGGGAGCGCAGCCCGGTGTGCCCCCCAAAAAACGAGCTGCAAAGCGTCCCAGCAGCTCAGCCCTGCCCTAAATCCACCGCAAACCCTTCGCTCCCTGCCCGGCCCCAAACAAAGACACCCAGCCAAGAGGGGGAAGGAGAGGAAAGCAAAGATCCCACAAAAAGCTGGCACCCCACCCCGGGATTTACCTGGACAAGCCAGGGGCGCATCCTGCAGCTCCCCATCCTCCGCCGACCGCCAAACTCATTGTTTGCCTGCGTGGTATCCCGGGAAAAAGTCCAAAATAATACCTGAGGAGAGCAACCTGCTGCTGGGCTGGGGCCAAGGGCTGCCCTTCGCTCGGTGGGATTGGCCACGGAGCCCGCAGCAGCTTTAACCCTTTGTGCCCGCCTCCGGCAGGGCTTTGGGATGGCTCCGTCTGCCTCAAGAGGGAATTCGGGGCTTGTTTCAGCAGAAATGGGAAGTTTGGGGTCAGACGCTGGGATTTCCAAAAGAAGGATTCGGAGTTTGGCTTTGTCTGTTTTGAGATGGGGGTTTTGGGGTGTGATGGCTTGTTTCTGTGTAAGTAAGGGTTTGTGGGTTTGGGAGGTTTTGGGGTGTGCTCAAATAGGGATTTGTGGATTTGGGGTTTGTTCAAACAGGGGTTTGTGGATTAGGAAGGTTTTGGGGTTTGCTCAAATAAGAATTTGTAGGTTTGGGAGGTTTTGGGGTGTGCTCAAATAGGGATTTATTGATTTGTGAGGTTTTGGGGTGTGCTCAAGTAGGGATTTGTGGGTTTGGGGTTTGTTCAAACAGGGGTTTGTGGATTAGGAAGGTTTTGGGGTTTGCTCAAATAAGAATTTGTGGATTTGGGAGGTTTTGGGGTTTGCTCAAATAGGGATGTGTGGGTTTGGGAGGTTTTGGGGTTTGCTCAAATAGGGATTTGTGGATTTGGGAGGTTTTGGGGTTTGCTCAAATAGGGATTTATTGATTTGGGAGGTTTTGGGGTTTGCTCAAATAAGAATTTGTGGGTTTGGGAGGTTTTGGGGTTTGCTCAAACAGAGATTTGTGGAGTTGGGGTTTGCTCAAATAGGGATTTATTGATTTGGGAGGTTTTGGGGTGTGCTCAAATAAGGATTTGTGGATTTCAAAGGTTTTGGGGTTTGCTCAAATAGGGATGTGTGGGTTTGGAAGGTTTTGGGGTTTGCTCAAATAGAAACGTGGATTTGGGAGGTTTTGGAGTTTGCTCAAATAGGGATTTGGGGTTCAGAGGCTTGTTTTAACTCATGGAATTTGGGGTCAGACTGTTTTTCTTCAAATGGGAATTTTGGGTCTGACAACTTGGTTTTGCAAAGAGAAAGTTTTGAGGGTCTGACAGCTTTTTTTTTGCTTAACTGGAATTTTGGGATCTGACTGCTGGGTTCTTTTGTTTTAATACTTTCTTCTGAAATAAAGAATTTTAGACTCTCAGAACTTGGTTTTCTCAAATGAGGAATTTGAGATTCAATTTGCTCAAACAGGGGTTTTAGGATCAGACAGCTGGGGTTTGGGTTGCTTTTCAAAGAGGGAATTTTGGGGTCTGATGGCTTGGTTTTGATCAAATGAAGATTTTGGGATCAGGTAACTTATTTTATTTTGGCTAAAGGGGGATTTTGGGGTCTGGCAGCGGGGTTTTCCTCAAATAGGGATTTGGGGTCTGACTGCCTGTTTTGTTTTTTGTCTGTTTGTTTTTCAAAAGGGGATTTTAGGGTGTGGGAGGCTTGTTTGGGTACAAATAGAGATCTGGGACTGGGCTTTTTTCAAATGAAATTTTGGGGTCTGACAAATTGGGCTTTTTTTTTTTTTTTTTTTTGGGGGGGAAGGCCCAAAAAAGCTCCTTTTCCCTCA